CAAATGGTGGTAATTTCTATTAAGTGTGGTTTTTGTTTCTAATATAGTAAGATATATATGGACTAAACTGTATAAATGGTCCCCTACATTTGTATATGGATTGAGCCTTTACATTTCATTTTGAAACTTTTTTTGTCTCTTTTCACTGTTCCGTCACTATTTCTGTCTTGATGACCGTTGACCTTACTTAGTCAGGAGTATTTTTAGAATAACATATATAAGATCAAAATAACAAATGTTTTTATAATAAAATATAAAATATTAAAAATTATTATTTTATAATTAAAAATTAAATAATTTAAAATAAAAAAATTAAAATGATTTCAAATTTCAATTTTCAATTTTTTTTCACTTCCCACCTTTGTGGGTCCCACATGCCAGTCAATTTCTCCCTTTTTTTTCGCTACAGTAAAAAAAATTAAAATTAAAAAGCAAACTTACCTTCACCCGTCTTTTACCTTTATCCTTAAAAATTTTATTCTCATAATCCGAAATGTCATTTATTAATTTTATTCTTACCAAGTCACTGCTGGTGAAAGTAAAAGATGGGTGAATGTAAGTTTATTTTTTTATTTTGATTTTTTTTTACTGTAGCAAAAAAATGGAGGAAATTGACTGGCATGTGAGACCCACAAAGGTGAGAATTGAAAAAAAGATTTGAAATTTGAAATTTGAAATCATTTTAATTTTTAATTTTTAAATTATTTAATTTTTTATTATAAAATAATAATTTTTAATATTTTATTCTATTTTATTATAAAAGCATTTGTTATTTTGATCTTATATGTGTCATTCTGAAAATACCCCTGACTGGGTAGGGTCAACGGTCATTAAGACGGAAATGGTGACGGAACAGTGAAAAATGACCAAAAAAGTTTCAAAATGAAATGTAAAGGCTCAATCCATATACATGTTGATATAGGGGGTCAAAATTTAAATTTGAACAAATATAGGGGACCATTTATACAGTTTAGTATATATATATATATATAGATATAAACAGTTATAATATAGAGCTCCTAGGTACACCTTGGAGTTTGAAATTTACACGCCCAAAAAGAGGATAAAAAAAAAATTTCAAATTTTCAATTTCCTAATATCTCTCCTAATTTTCAGTCATCATTAATCATATCCATCCAACTTCCTATTCCAATCCAAAGACGACTCAAACTAAAAAACCTAAAAAATAAAATATTCTCTGCAGTGATTTGGAATCGAAACCTTTCGTCAGCGGTATTTCTGAAGACGAAATCTAATTGTGCATCAAATCCCGTGACTTTGGTTGCAATATACGCTGTTGAATATGAGAATTACGGTAAGATTTGAGATGATTCATCTGCTTTGTGTTTTGTCCGGTGAATTTTGTTTAAAATTCTCAAAATCTTTGATTGGTAATTTCAAATTGCTAGTTCCAACCCGTTCGATGAATTGCAAAAGGTTTATGGATTTTGATTCTTGCGAAAAAGAACAAAATTGATGTGTTTTTTTGATTGGGTTATGTAGATATAAGGTATGTACATTCGATTATAGATTTTTGTTCATCAATTTTTAAGTTTTCTTCATAATTCTGTTGTTGGTTTTGGAAAAGACTAATAAATCTGGACATTATTCATTAGTTCGTCTTCGATATTCATCTTTGAACTAAGCAGATTCATCATAATAATTGTGTTATTAGCTGGTTATTCATATTTGATTTTTTGGTTAGGTTATGTATATCTAAGGTCTCTGCATTCGATTATCAAAGGTTGTTCACTAATTTGATAGATTTGTTCATCTATTGGTTGTTGATTTTGGAAGGGTTCCAGATATGTTCATTATTCAGCAGTTACCCTACCATTATTCATCGATAATATAGGGTTACTCATTATAATAATGGTGTTATGCGATTGTTATTCTTTTTTCTGTTAATTGTTATTTATCTGAGTAGATAAATGGAACATGTATATTTTGGTCATATTCATCCGTAATATTTGGTTATTCATTTATTTGTATGTTCAACGTATTGTTCGAATGACCTGTATATATATATATAATTATAGTGATTCATCATTAAAACTATAAGTATTCCTCCTAACGAATTTATGATCCTAATACACTACATTTTCTGATTTTAATAAGTAAAACATAATAATTCATAATACATGTCAAGGTATTCATCATCAGTGAAATCATTATTCATTAGTATATAATGGTTATTTATCATATTAACCTGATATGTTATATAATTTCAATGGTTATTCATCATTTCAAAGATAATTATTCATCTTCAATAGCCTTTATTATTGATGATTAACAGAGTTTTGATTGAATATGAAATCTCACATATTGTAATATTGTTTTTGTTTGATCTGCGTAAAAAAAATATGCTCATCAAAATGAACTCGATCAGTCGGGAATCAAAAATTTGACAGAGTTGCTGAGATCAAACAATCAACATAAACATATTGAGTATTGGCGGATCTTTCAAGACTTTATATGTTAAAAACAATGACTAGTTTTCCTGATCAATTTTGATATAGTATACTTCATAATAGAATTTTGTTAGCTTAGTTGCTGACATTATCTCATTGTAAAATATATTTGTTAGTTTTCTTAATCAAAGTTATTCATTCTGTTTTGAATTATTCATCCACTACCGATATATTATTCATTTATTAAAATACAATCATTCATCTTGCAAAAACTACATATATTCTTTATTTTAGTATTGTTATTCATCTAGGATGGGATCATTATTCATCAAGATTTACATCGTTATTCATCTTTGTAAATATTGTTACTCATTCATAAATTTACTCGTACACATATCCAGTTTTATCAAAAATAAAACGCATCATTTTAACAAAAAAAAATCTTATGAAATAAAATAATATAAAAGCTAATAAGATAAGCATTAAAAAAAATCAGTTTGAAATTAAACGTGTATTAAAAAAAATGGATAAAAGTTAGAGAATTTAATGTGCGTGTGGTGTCTTAAAATTCGGACTAAAAGCTCCACTTATGTAAAAGGAGAGTGTATTACACATGCCCATGAAGTACACCTTGTAAAGTATACCTAGGTATTTGTTATTATTTGCCCATCTGTGATATTCCAAAAGGCCACTGGATTCCAGTTTCCAAATTCTTTTGGATTGTCTATATACGTTAGTATTATTTTGTCTGCCTATGAGATATGTGTGAACTTCCGACCCAAGAGAATAGGTCCAGAGGATGCCGCTATACAGAGGCAGTATATATACGTAAGTATAGAAATCACCTCAATCTAAAAATAATTTGTTTACAATAGTTGCTTGGCCAAAATGGTAAAGGTGCTTTAATTCCCTTAAGCGAGTCTCATGTTTGAATCTCGTGAATGGAAAGAGTAATGTTGAGAAAGTTTTCCCTCCGAAAGGAGACCGACCCGGTTCGGTGCGGATTAGTATGAGTGCAATATACTTAGGTGGTCAAAGTGGTAAGGTACTTTAGTTTCCTTAAGCGAGTTTCGGGTTTGAGTCTCGTGAATGTAAAGAGTAATGTCGAGAGAGATTTCTCTCCGAAAGGAGACTGACCCCGTTCGGTGCGAATTAGTATGAGTACAATGCACTTAAGACATCGTGCACAGTATGAAAAATAATAATAATAATAATTTATTTATAATATCAAAAAAAAATTTTTTTTTTCCCCCTGGAAATAAGATTGGAACCCTGATGCTTTGCAACTTCTTATAGGAACACTACCAGCTAAAACTTGGTTTCAATCTTTCCTAATTATGAATTAGGACGTCCAGCTAGCTAAACTTTTTTTAAGATTAATTTATCTTAGACTATCTCAATAACAAACTTTGTAAACTCAACATGTTGTTCGAATGCTAACAAGCGCCACTTATGGGGGTATGACCTTGCGTTGGTTTCCTTCTTCCATTAATTTGGCACTTATGGCGAGTTTGCTTATATTTATAGGATAAAACTAAAACAAAATCCAATTAAAAAAAAATCTGAACTAAATCTTCCATTCTTCTACTTAAAATCAGCAATTATTTTGACTTAAAGTTGTTTACCAAATCGAAGATCCTGTACTACTAGGTCAACGTCGACTTAGTATTTAATACTCCTTCCGGTCGTTAATAGAAGACATTTTGATTTGTTTTAAATTTAATTTACTACACATTTTTAATCGACTATGTGTAAATATATTTTTTAGATTTTTTATCGATTAAAAATGTGTACTAAGTGAAACTTAAGAAAAGTCAAAATATCTTGTTATAAGGACCGGAGGAAATAATTTTTATATTACATATGTCTTAAAGAAATAGTTCACGTTCAATTTTGAGGTAAAAATGTATTGTTGTTCAGTCAAACCTGAATAAAAGTCATTAGCAGCAAAAAAAGAAAAAATTGGAGCTGAATAACCTGCAACTTTTCAGGATTTAGAGTAGGTGCAATTTCATTCGGCAGTTTGCAATTTGTTGTCGATCAAGTTCTACCTCCAAAACAGCCTGAAAAAAAGAACCAGTGTTTTTTAAGTTGTGCCTTCGTTTTCAAATAATAATAATAATAATAATAAATAAATAAAAAAATAAAAATTGTGCCTTCCCTAAATATTCAGCAAAAAATATTAACCCATAAGCAAAAATTTTCCAACCAAAAAAAATAATAAATAAAAAAAATACGGTCCAGCAGAAGCAAATGTACAAAGGGCTGCTGGATCCATCTGCTTGGAATTTTGTTATTTCATCTAGAATTGCCGGCCTTCTCTTCTTTAAAAAACAGAAAGAACAAACATTAGGTAAGAAAAATTCAGTCTTGATGACTAAACAAAAAAGTTTACAATATTGATCATTGGATTCAAATGTATCAGAAATCATTTTCACCTTAATATATACTGCCAATCTTTTTGTGGTGTTTTCAGTTTTTGGAATTAAAGATTTCAAACTTTTCTGGTCCAATTTTTGTTTAAGAACCCGCAAAGCGGATTCAGGAAGCATTAACATTCAGTTAAAAAAGTAGGAAAAAAAAAAAACCATGTCTTGCCTTCCTCAGAAAAAGGAGGAAAAACTGCGCCTACCTTCAACTTCAGTGAGTATCCTAAAGAAACAGTATGAAAGCAAACGGATTCATACAGAAAACAATGCCGTGGCTAAACCATCCGTGTTGTTCTCGCGAGACGTTTCAGTTGTTGATCTTGTCAAGATGGCAAGAGAAACAATGTCTCAAGGCAGCAGCAATATCTCTCAGGATTCTGATGATGCTGATTATGAGATGTCCCAAAATCTTGATCTTGTGTTAAGTCTTCAAGCTGCTGCCCTGAATTTCTCGAGACAGAAATTCGATCAGGCGAGAAATCTGCTTAGGTTTTGTCAATGTTATGCTTCACACAATGGCACTCCGCTTCAAAGAGTGGTCTACTACTTTACTGAAGCACTTCAAGAAGGCATTGCAGCAGAGAAAGGGGAAATGAGTTTCCAAGAGCCACAAAAAGGGAGTAAAACAAGTCCACCAATTATAGAATCTTTTACAAATCTGCTTTCTGCAATGGTGGAATATGATGAAACACTGCCTTTCTGTCCAGTCACTCAATTTACAGCAATTCAGGCCTTACTGGACAATTTGGGATCAGCCAGGAGAGTTCATGTGGTAGATTTTGGAATCAGGAGTGGAACACAATGGCCGATCTTGATGCAAGCGTTGCTAAACCGACAAGAATGTCCGCTTGAGTATCTCAAGATAACTGCTGTAGGAACATCAATAGAGATGATGGAGAAGACAGGAAAAGAGCTGTCTTCTTTTGCTGAGAGCTTGAACATGTCATTTGTGTTCAAAATGGTTGTATCAGACCTGAAGAACCTGGAAAAGCATTTCTTTGAGTTAGCGCCCAATGAAACACTGGCTGTTTACTCTGAGTTGCGCCTGGCAACATTGTTAGCATGGCCTCATCACCTGGTATCCGTGTTGGAAACAATCAAGAAGCTCAGACCAAAAGTGATAGTGATCACTGAAGTCGACTCCAGCACTAACGCGCCTGTTTTCCTGGATCGCTTTAACGCATCTCTTTCTCTTTCTGCTGCAATGTTTGATAGTCTGGATGTGTGCATGAAACAGAAAAGTGAGTCTAGGGCGATTATTGAAGGCGTGTTTCTGCGTCAAAGCATCAGTTACCTTGTCACATCCAAAGGCGACGAAAGCATGCATCGACAGGAAAGTGTTGGTTTCTGGAGAACTTTATTTAGAAAATTTAACATTTTTGAGATGGCTCTCAGCAACTGTGCTTTATATCAGGCAACCTTGATGGTCAAAAGCGATCCTCGTTGGAGTTCTTGCACTTTAGAGCGTAATGGAAAAGGATTGACAGTAGGGTGGAAGGGAACTCCAGTTTTTTCCCTAACTGTCTGGAAATGTTGATTGATCACACTGCTTAAAAGTTCCATCTCTTACCACAAATTGTTGAAGCTAATGATGGTTTCATTATGGTTTCTTAAGATGTCATCTGACGCATTGATCATTATAGTTAGTTGTTAACTTCCTTTAGATTTCTTACATTAGCTGTAACAAATTTGTTAATGTTTTGAATCGCTAAAGTGCAAACTTGGAGAATCGACTCAAGTGTTGCGGCTGAGTATGTAACTCATTTCACCTAGAAGGAAGTCAGATGACTTTGAAACTACCTGTATAGCTCTAATGTAAACTAAAATGGATTTAGATATGTAGATAACATTATGATGAGTCTATAGTCAGTCATGTGATGACAGAATATTCATTGAGATTTGATCACACAAGATGAGTGTTGATTACCATTGAATTTGTAATGTGGCACACTATTCTAACTGATCATTTGAGAATATTGAGTTTTCAATCAGTAATTGCAGTTTAGCTTCTAGGAAACATTGCGGAATCTTAGCAGATAGTCACAATTTTCAGTATTAAAAATTGTCTTCTCTGTCTCTCTTCAACTAAGCATAGTAGGAGTTAATATATTTTTGAACATGAATACACTGACAAAGTGCCAAATTCTCTCTTTAGAAGAATATTCTGAAGAAAAGTATGCACAAAAGACTACTTCCAAGCAGAGATAAATCTTGATTCTGGAGAGGTTATTGCTGCATAATCATAGCCAATATAATCAGGTCTAAAGGGTATCTTTCATTACGAAAAGAACAAACTCAAATGTCTATTGTGATCAAATACTATACTGGGGGAACCTGAACTAATAATGTTTTAACATTTTTGAAGATAACAAAAGGCTGCTGGAAGCTTTGTGGTTGGCTTTAGTTTTACCAAATTTTAGAAACCAGCCTTTTTCTTCCAAACAGATAGAAACAAATATTACATATTTCTGTTGGTAGAGTTTTTAGGGATGGTGACACGGATAACTCCAAGTAGAGAGGAGTGAAGGGTTTTTTTTTTTTTTTTTTTTTTTGAGGAAGATCCGTTATTGGATTCTAGTGTATGAGAAAGCATCTTGTAATTTTTTTTGTTATTATTTTTTTTAATGTAGAATTATATCGTCCTTTTCTTGTTTAGATTCTTCATTGTGTGTTCTGTTGACGTCAAAAAAATATAAACAAGGCGCCAAAGACTGATTCCTTGAATGACCTAACTTTCACAAGTACGTACTCAGTACTATCATCATTTTGGGACGGAAGAATGAATAGGAGATTTTATGGAAATAAAACTTTCAGAAGGAAATGAAGAGGAAGGTCAATTAAAAGCTCCATTTGTTTGGTGTTCTTGTGTTCGAGCTGCAATTAAAGCTTCATTTTATGTAAATTGAACGTAAATTTGGTTTAGTCCAGAATTTCGGATACTATAAATTTACATTGTCCTTCATGAAGCTAATGTATATTAATTTTTTCAATTCAATTAATTACTTGCCTCGTTCAAACCAAAACAATACTTTCAGCAATTGGGTACATTTGAGTTTCTCCAATACGGAAAATCTTCCTCCTCAAACGATTTCAGTGACTCTTCCTCCTCTTGTTGCCATTGATCAATGCAATTAGTGCCGTGAGAAAACCCCAGAAAAGTTTGTGATGATTGTATGCCACGTTACGCATACACGGTTAAAATCACATTCGAGATTCTTTAATTAGTTACGGTATAAGTAATAAATTCATTTTTTTTTACTTATATTTTGTATTATAATTTCAGAATCACATAATTCACTTTTTTTACTTATATTTTTTGTTATCAAACATGTTAAAATAAAAAGAATACTTAACGAAATGATTTTAAGCATTAAGTAGTACTGTTATCAAGTAAGTCCTAAGCCATCTCAAGATTTCCAATGTTATTCGTTCGCGGGATTATTTTAATTTTCTCATCTTATAGTAATAGTGGACCTTATTGTATCACTTTAAACCAACCCATTGAAATGAAGCGGAAAAAGGTATATATATATATTATTAATTTGAACGATATTTTGAAATTCTCTAATACTCAAAATAAATTGGTATTATTCCAATAACAACAATGAAGATTGAAGATCGGCCGATGGAAGACCTCTTTGGCTGTGTTTCAAGGTTCCTTGAGGACTAGTTGTTGGAGTTGGAGCACATACCACCATTAACAATAGTGTAAACACATTTGTAATCATAACCAAAGCAATAACAATCCTCATCACTCCAACATAAAGAATTGCAGGAATCCCCAAACTCAAACTCAGAATGAGATGGTTTTATCCTCTCTTGTATTTGATGATCTCTTCCTTCCATCATCCTTAGTTTTGATGAACCTACAACAACAAAAACAGAAAACCAAGCTTAATTCTCGTTAACTATATATGTCATGATTAAGATAAATGTAAAGAATAATCAAATTAAAGCACTCTTTCCTTCAACCAAACATTCAAATATATGTACGCGAACTATACTGATTTGAAATTGAGAGAGAGAGACTAACAAATTGCGACGATGGAGAGCAGCAAGAGGATGGATTTGACTGAACCAGCTTTCTTCATTCTCTCGATACTACGTAGATAAATGTAAGAAGTAGAAATGATTTTTGTTTTCCCACAAATTATTCAATTTATATATAGTGTTCAAACACAGCCTGAAATAATGAACTTAGATAATACAAAAAATATTACTCTTATTTTAAAACGGTGGAGCATTTGTTGTGTTAACCTAGAAATTCTCATCATGTTTAGTTGATCAGCAATAGTTCTGTGTCCATGAGGTTAAAAACAAAAAAAAACAAAAACAAAAAAAACGAAATAAAATTACAAGGTAGCATTCTAGGAAAAAAAAAAAACAACCCTAAACAAAATTACAAAGAGAAAGACAACCAAGGCTTTTTCATGGCATCAAAACCACGAGGGATTATACAAAAATAATTAGGAAACTTTTATTTGGAATCCTTGTGGTCATTAATTATATGTGAATTGTTTTAGGAAAATCAGGGCTACTTGTAAAAATCGTGACATCTATCCTTATACTTAAATAAAAGGCACAGTAGCCAAGAAATAATACCTAAGAAATATTCAAGGACTACCGTCAAATCGATCTTGTCCGTCGAATTGGGTTGATATGATGTCAGCGACTTATTAAGGTTAAAATTGTCAAATTACGCATTTAAACCATCCAAATACTTTACAATCCGTAATGTACTGAATTATTACAAAAAAAACCCCAAACGCAAAAAAAAAAAAAACCCCAAACGCAAAAAAAAAGACCCCGTCTTGCCTTCCGTCGTACTCAACATTTTTAACAACTCCCTTCGCCGCTACTCCCTCCGGGACCCACCTTCGCACCTTTTCCCTCCGCTACCCTCCATCAAAAAAATTCTTCTTACGCCGCTTCTTCCTCCCGCCCCCTCAGTCTAATAGATCATCCTCTACATTTCCGGCAGAATTTGACTCTTCGCTTCTCCATTTCCAGCGGCAGCTTATCCACCAAAACCATCGCACAGCCGACAGCGTTCCTAACAATACTCTGAACATGACATTGGGCTGTGTAGTTAATTTGGGGCTCCAAGCAACGATTTCCGTTCTTCTTCTTCAAATTGGATTAGGAAATCAACAAAAAAAAGAGAAAAATTTCCAATTCAGATTCATCCCCGTCTTTTACAATCCCAATCGAATTACAAATTCAATTACGGTAGGAAATCACCCAAAAAATAGGCAAAATTTCCAATTCTTATTCGTCCCCTAATTTGTGAATCCCAATCGGATTACAAACACCATGACAGCATCCGCTCTATAAATACAACAACAACCCTCACAAATAGAATGGCATCCCAATCGGATTTCCAATTACGGCATCCCAAATATTCTTGCTTATTATTCATACCTATTTTTTTTTCCATTCCTGTAAATTTTTTTAGAATGACTCCTTGTGCACCAAAGATGATGGCGAACAAGGTTGAAATTGACAAGCTCAACGACTCTGATCAGCCTTGGACTGCTATTATCACTGTCGAGGAGAAGCAAAATCCATTCGGCCAATACACTAAAATCCAAAAGATGGTATTCAGCGATGAAAAGGTGAATTAAATTATCTATATTTGTTAGTTGTCATACTAATTTTCACCTCACATATTCATAATATTAATATTTGATTTATTATTGTAGAGCACTAAAGTAGAAGGTATTATATTCGGAATGGCCGTCAGCATCATGGGACCACGATTCCAGACGTGTAGAAAATACCGAGTCTCCAACGCACCTATCCGGTACATTAAACCAGAGTATAGGTCTCCTGGTCTTTCCAACAATGAGTCATTGGTATTGGGACGGTTGTTGAAGAGGCTAACGAACCTATTACTACTCTTGTGACCAAGGAACAATACACGCCCTTTAATTCCCTTAATGATTTTGCTGGTGTTCAAGATGGTTTTGTTGGGAAGTGTATTTGTTTTACTTAAGCATTCTTATCAAATAGAAAACTTATATTGATCTATACTCTTTTAAACAACCTTTTTCTTACAGATGTTATTGGTGTCATAGTCAAGAGAAGCCACCCACAAACTGTTACAATAAGAAAAGGGAAAAAAAGAATGATCCAGAAGTTCTGTAAGCTAAATGAAGAGTAAGTTCAATATAATAGTTTTTGAATTATTTATACAATGCTTTTTGGAAATGCCTAATTTATTCTCCATGAAGTTCCCATCAGAATTACAAGGATCATGCAGTTTTATGAGCTGCTTTCCATTTTGATAATCTGATTATTGTTATCCTTTTGTGATTGTTTTCATGTACTATTGTTACACTTGTATGTTGCATCTCGTTTTCTGAAACGGTAGCAAAAGGTTTGCTAGATATTTAATTCGGAATACACCTCTTTGTTTTAGTTTACGGAATTTAATCATGATATTTTGGTAAAGTAGCTAACATTTAATTTCGGTACTGCCTTCTCAATCAGGTTGCAATATTTGAGATTGTCACTTTGGGAAGAATTCCACCAGGATGTTGGAATATTATTAACTGAACTACTTCAAGCTAAGAGTTACCCAACCGTCGTTTGCCGCCGGATGCTTATCTCTCCATACAACGGTACACTAATAAGCCCTTTTTAAAACAGACTCCTCAACCATACTTTTCTGCACACTTGTTCTCTAATAATTTAATTCTCATATTAATTAGGAATTGAGGTGACAACTTCACATAGATCGGTGGTTTCGATCAATCCTCCTTTTGATAAAGCAAGGAAATTGAGGAACTGGTATATATTTTTATTTTGCTACCCCAACTTTTATAAAATTTTTCAGCATATCAATTACCTTTTTAACTTTTTCAGGTCACAATAAAACAGGAAGGAAATCGATTTTTTCTTGCAGAATAAACCATCATTCTCGTCTACTCCTGGTATCAGTCACAAAAACCTTTCACAAATCACTCCAATCACACATATCGATGATGAACAACAGGTTAACACGCTTGGTTCCTAATACTCTTTATGCAACGTGTATTAGTTCTGCTTATATTTCTTCATTCAAATTAACTAAACTTTCAATTTTGCCAAAAAAAAATTAGGATATCTTAGTCAAAGTCCACGTTGAGTTCAGAGACATATCACAACCATTCTACTACATGGCTTGCAAGGAATGCGGCACTAGAACATCAGCAATCTATCAACAAGATTTCAAATGCAACAAGTGGTCATTAAAGCAATCTACAACCAATCCAAAGTATATCAATTTCAATTTCTTAAGATACAGTTCTGAAACATATGGAAATTTAGAAATATTATATGTGACATTTTAGCCGATTAGATGATTTCGAAATATTCCTAAATCTTACTATTGTCATTCTAGGTGTCGTCTAACGTTCATGACGAGAGTGGATCAATCCAAGCTAGCTTTTTCGGTAGCATCGTAGAAAAGATATTGGGTTTCACTGTAACAGATATCGTTGAGAACCCTGAAAAGGTATGTACATTCTTCGTTTCAGCTATTCAAGTTCCTAAACACGCATGTTTCAAAAATTCAATGTTTCCTTCCGTTATATATGCATTGAAAAATGACACGTCCTTAATATCTTATTTGTTTTTTTTAACAGATAAATCTTAAAGAAATACATGACCTGTTAGAAAATAAAACATTTTTATTGCAGCTGAGAGGATAAAAAAAAATGTACAGGGGGCTTCGAGATTACTACGTCAACAATTTAATTGAGGACGATGGTTCTTTTGTGACGCCATTGCTGATAACCGCCAGAGAGAGTGAACTCGCAGATGAAGTACCTAAGGACAACAACACTGAAGTTACGCCGATCAAACAAATAAGCGACCGACATGAGGTCAGTTTGACACTCAATTTATATCTTTGTTTTCCTCTGCATATCTCAAATACATTTTTTTAGTTTAATTCCCATCATATTAAACGTGAACATTAATGTTTCTTTTTGTTATAAACATACACGAAATATTTATAACTTTTAATATTCTCCGAGTACACATTAGTAAGTCCAACAGAGAAATATGTTTTTCTAAGTATTCTTAATTGCAATTTATATTACACAAGTATTAGTAAAGACTGGTCGCGCAACGCGCGACACTAAAAGACTAGTTTTATTTAAGCATCGGATGCCAAGTTGTTGATGACAAAATATCATAAAAAAAACTGAGGACTTTTTCTCTCACCCAAAATTCATATTGTTGTTGAATTTTGTTGGCTTGAAATTCCTCTATTCTTACGCTTTGATGATACGTAATATGCCCTTTTGGATTATTCTTTTGGCCATTTATCCAATAATCATTCAATTGAAGATTCGATTTTTGTTTGTAGCTTTTTTTACTGGAATTTCGTTTTAAAATACAACTACTCTTATCCATGGCCAAGCAAGAAGGAGAATCAGGTTTTAGGAGGTTGCCTGAAGGCAGGTTTTAGGAACTTGCCTGAAGACATAATGAAAATTCCGTAATACAGCTAGTCTATATATGTGTATGCATAGTCTTAAATCAATTATAACTATTTAATAATTCTATAAATTGGGGTTTTCCCCAACTTCAGTTTAGTTTAGCTTGCACAAATTTAAAGTTTTTAATATCTTGTGTGTGGAGATTTTCCATTAATCTAGACTCTATGTGTAATGATTTGATGTTTATTATTCGATATTTCGTTCTTATGAAAATCCAGATTTTGACATGTGTTATTCATAATATGTGTCTTCTATGAATACTTTTTATACTTATATTCTAACGCGCCCACATTAAAATTTATATATAGTCAAGCCCTGGTTCTGCCACTGTCGATACTGGTATGGTCATGAGTGTCGGGTATGACATATTAGCCTAAAATGTTTAAAATTTCTGAAATATTGATGAGTCGGACACTCAGATCCCCACACCCAATACGACACCCGTCTCCGAGTCCAGGTAACATAGTGGTCCGATGCTTATGGTACGAACCCGAATCTGCGGTTTGACGAGGGAAACTTCAGTGAAATTGCCGAGCAAAAAGGCAGGAAATTAGTTGGCAAAACAGATTTCGACGGGTAATCGAGGATACTTTGGTCATGAAACGCAATTGTGGAGGAGGGATTTTGTGTTTTGATTTGGATATGTATTATGAAACTGATTATGATAGTGAGGTGGCAGCTGGGGTGGACAAATGGCTGAAATTTGCTGTGGAGAATGGAGTCAGAGAACTCAATCTTCAGCTTCAGCCTCAGTACGATCATGATTACATTGTACCGGGCTTCATTCTTGAAGCTGAATCTTTAACAATGTTGTCCCTTCACAATTGCGATTTTCCAGACAAGTTAAACATTCAGAAGATTTCGTGTAAGAACATGCGCACTTTGGTCTTGCCAGAAGTGTCAATCAATGATGACACTTTGTCTTCCCTGATCGCGGGTTGTCCGTTGATTGAGCATCTAAAGATCAATAACTGTAGAGATTTGAACAAAGTTGAGCTGATGAATAATCTCAATTCCCTCAAGGAATTTGAGATATACGGGTACGAATATTATAGAAGGAAGGAGAAACAAACATGTTTTGTTGAACCACCACAACCACATCATCAAGAAACGGTACATAGTTTGACATTTGTTCGGACAAATCTTAGTGAAGCCTTCTTTGGAAATTTCGTGAACCGGTTTCCAAATGTACAGTCTTTGGTGATCCGTTCCTGCAGTGCTTTTGCGAGGATCAACTTAACGAGTTATTCGCTCAGTAATCTAGAGTTTGATGAACTTGGTTTTCAGAATCCTCGTTTGTTTAAGTCTGACGAATGCGACTCTCAGGGAAACATTCTTTGACAATTTTGAGGTTAAGTTCCAGCATCTTAGGTCATTGGTTCTCTGTTATTGCAAAGGCTTTGCCACCATGAGTTTAACGAGTGATTCACTCAGGAATCTAAAGTTTGTGTCCGGGGATTCGCAGGAACAACAAGTACTGATGATTAATGCTCCCAATCTCGCTAGTTTTGACCTTGGTTTATATCGCACTACATTATTGTTTCCAATAGGTATCTTTTGGAGCCCTGTCAACCAAAATGAAATCCCCTGTAACTCTAGGCTGCTGTCCTCGAAAGCGCTTTACGCGCAGTGGCCGAGGATGGCCTGCCGGAAAGGGAATTGAATCATGCGAGATAAACACCTCCAGAAAAAAAGCTGGCTCAGATGCATAATCAGGGCCTGGTAAATGTGATTGAGAGAGTTTGTTTCCACAGCCGGGATGATGATAAAATATGCCGGAAGCAACCGGTAGATTGGACGAGTTTACTGGATATTGGATGTAAGGACTGTGATTCATGGAAGAAGATTCGTTTCGAGTTAGAATGGAATTGTTCAAGCTATAAGATTGGTGATGAACCAACAAATAAGCGTTTGCGGATTGAGCATTATTATTAGGTTTTGATCATTTTGTAAGATCAGAAGTAGAGGTAATCTGTTTCAATGTACACTTTTCCTCTTCTTCCTTTAATGTTATTGAGTATTCTTATAAGAAACAGTCTGAAAACAAAACATTCCGAAGTCAATGTTCAATTTCGTCTTAGGAATTAAATAAAGTCCTACAAACCTTTAGTAAACATCACGCGGAATCGCATGATGGAAATGTCCATCCATCAGGCCTTGCATAACAAAATCAGGTAAGTTTTCTGATGAAATCAGCTTAGTTCTTAGCGCTTGATAACTCCACTTTGCAGATACATCAGGGCTGGGGAAAAATTTTTTTTTAAAAAAAGCTTGGAATTGGAAAGGTCACCCAGAGAATAAAAAACGTTTCTAACAAGTAGGGAAGTGAAAAGGGTTTGGAATATGAAATCTAATTTGCTTTTGGAATACAGTACCTTAATACTACTATAATTAAGAACTTGTTGCCTGACGTTGGATGTTTTTCTAAGGAACTTTAGAAACGGAGGAAAATTTTACTTTTAACAATTGGAATCGGAATCTTTTTCTTTGAGTAATTAGGTGATTTATTTTAGGAAACTTAGGGCTACTTGTGAATCGTGGCATCTCTTTTATTTAAGCATCGAACGCCAAGTTGTTGTTGACAAAATTTCAACAAAAACTGAAGATTTTCTGACCCAAAATTCATATTTTTGGCTTGAAATTCTACTACTCTTACGCATTGATGATGCATAATATGCCCTTTTGATTGTTCTTGACGATACCTGGATTTGTGACTCCGGGTGAACGATGGACCTCCGATTAGGGTTTCCTGCAAAAGAGAGTCTCGGGAGTCTCCCGAGGGTAGACACTCCGATACTTAAGTCAGAAAATAAGTTATGAAAAAGTATGTGTATGTGTTGATTGGTGCTAGAGATAGCGTACCTCAATTATGGAGTAATCATCCTATTTATAGACCTAGAAGATGTCCGAATCTTACTAGGCTTAGTACTCTTGCACCGCCTCCACAGAGTCGGTTGGACTCTGGACTCGGTGAATGGGCCGGTCCAATATAGGGGGTGGATATGGACGCGTCAGTTCTTTTGGCCATCTTTTTTTGGTACGATTTTATATACTACTCACTTATATCCATGGCTAAGCAAGAAGGAGAATCAGGTTTTAGGAGGTTGCCTGAAGACATTATTCATGTGATACTGTCTTTTCTTGATTTGGATGACCAAATCAGGGCTTCTCGTCTATCCCGAGAATGGTCCGATTTGGATGACCAATTTCATGCGGTTTCACGAGGGAAACTTCAACGAAATTGCCAAGAAAAAAGACAGGACAGATATAGTTGGACCGTTGTTTCGACGGGTAATCGAGGATACTTTGGTCATGAAACGCAATTGTGGAGGAGGGATTTCGTCGTTTGATTTGGATATGGATTACTATTATGATGATGATGATGAGGCAGCTCAGGTGGATCGATGGCTGAAATTTGCTGTGGAAAACGGAGTCAGGGAGCTCAGTGTTCGGAGTTGGCCTCATTATTATGTCATACCTGACTTCATTCTTGAAACTGAATCTGTAACAATGTTGTCCCTTCACAATTGCAAGTTTCCAGAGGAGTTGAAGGTCCAGATTCTGTGTAAAAACATCCGCACTTTGGTCTTGTCCCAAGTCTCAATCAATGATGATACTTTCTCATCGTTGATCGCGGGTTGTCCGTTGATTGAGCATCTGGAGATCAATGGCTGTAGTGATTTGAGCAGAGTTGAGCTGGTGAATAATGTCCATTGCGTCAAGAAATTCGACGTTTATGACTGCATCGCGCGTCTAAAAACTCTCCAGAGTTTGACATTTGGGAGAAGAACTCGTCTTAATGAAGCCTTCTTCGGAAATTTCTTGAATAGTTTTCCCAATGTACGGTCCTTGGTCATCCGTGAATGCCATGGTTTTGCAAGAATGATTCACTGAGAGAGTTGTTTTCCAAATGGATGATAAAACATGTCAGAAACAGCCACTGGATCGGACCAGTTTACCGGATGCTGGATGTAAGGACTGTGATATATGGAAGAAGATTCGTTTCGAGTTACAATGGAATCCATCTTCATCTTCTTCTCCTTCTTCTTCAAGTTATAATAAGATTGTTGATGAAACAATAAATAAAAGTTTGAGGATTGAGTAAATAGATTTTGATCATTTTGTAAGATTGGAAGGAGATGGTGATCTGTTGCTGTGCCCACTTTTCCTTTGTCATTTTTTCATCGTTCAAATATGATTTTTCAGTTTAATGTTTCAAATTCTTATTACCGTACTTTACAACATTATATAAACACAATCAGGACATCAGGTTACATTTCTAGTATATGAATATATTTTTTTCAATAATTAGATTGAACCAGAAGGAGGGGCCTATCTATTTGCATTGAAAACAGTTGCATGGGATTTGAAGAACCTGAGGAAATCCTAAAGTGATAAATAACGAGTTTATGGAAGTGAAAAGGATTTGGAAACCAAAAGGGATTTGGAATATGGAATCGAATTGTCCTTTGGAAATCACAGATGTCCTATATATATATATATATATATATATATATATATATATATATATATTAATCTTGGTCGACCTAAACATGTTTGTGGAAATTCATGTTTCAGTTCATCCTACGCAGTTACGTACCATAACAATTTCTTTTTAACAATATCTAAAAACCGTTTTGAATATTCTTTTTTGCCATCAGATAATTTGATTGGCTGATTGAATTTTGTTTAGTTTGTTTCTTGTCCTTTTAGATGGTTGCCAGAAGATATTATTCATCGGATACTTTCTTTTCTTGATATGGATGAAATCATCAGAGCTTGTTGTCTATCCAGAGAATGATTCTGAGGATACATGGAATTGTACCGCCGGTCTAACGGTAGAACTCCGGTTAGGGTTTTCCTGCAAAACAAAGCTTCGGAGCCTCCCGACTTCAGACAAATTGTCAAGCGAAATGACAGAAAATTAGCTGGCCAAACCGATGCAGTTGGATCGTTGTTTCGACAGATAATCGATGACACGTTGCTGCTGAAACACAGTTGTGGACTCGTGTACTGGATGTTGTATTGTAAGGATTGTGTATTATGTAAGCAGCTTCGGTTTGAGTTAGATTTGATTTCACTTCTTCTTCTTCTTCTCGTGAGATTGATTATGAACCAACAAATAAACGTTTGAGGATCGAGTAATAACAATTTTTTTTTGTAAAGACGGGAAGAAGAGGCGATATATACTCCCTCTGTCCCAAAATTATTGTCTAGTTTGAGATTTCATTTTTAGTACAATTTGAACTAGAAATGAAAATCCAAACTAGACAATAATTATGAGACGGAGGGAGTATCTGTTTCCTGTATGGTTTGCTATTATATTCGCTCGTCTAAAATAAGAGTCATATTGAATGCACTGCTTTCTAGTTATCATTCATAAAAATGTACAAAGAAGAACGTGAAGTTATTGGTCATAACAATTGGACGTTTTATGCAATTTAAGTTCTGATTTTCTTATCAAATTTTTCATTGATATGCATGACCACTCTAAATTTAAATAGAATCTCTCATTATTAATCATATTAGCATTTCACAATCATTTCATTTTATCATCTTATTCGCAATAACAAGGGAAACCACGTGAAATAAAAGTGTCTTCTTCTATCCTTCAATCTAACAGATATTAGTAGTTGGAAGATGTGAAAATGACGCTTATATACATAATTGATACTTTTTTTTCTTTTTTTTTTTGTTTATTTTATAACACATAAGTTGATACCTTTGTTTTAACATGTTTGACTCATAGGTAGGACAGTGATATCAAAAAGTTATCTTTTGTCTTGTAGTCGAATCAAACAGATTCACCTATATTATGAAGGGTTTTTTTTTCTCTTTTAAAAAGAAAAAATTGTCCAAGAATTTGTGAAGAATTAAGGCTGTGTGAAACACCTTTTATAGTATGCCTTTCTTCTATTATTTTTTTTTTCCAAATTTTTCTAATTTTGATTAATAATTTACGTTCTCAATATGCTATTTTTCGGGAGACAAAAACACATACACACATAAAATATACTCTTAAAAAAAACGTTACAAATGTGATATCGAAGGCATTTCCTTCGAATATTAATTTGTTGTCATTTTGCTAATATAAACTAATGTAGACTACAATTTGGTAACAAACAGAATGAGGAAGATGCTTCAGTGTAAAATTAACCAATGAGGTATCGTCTAAATCGAAATTTACAACTAACAAGAAATTGAATTGAGCTTGAAATGTTAGTAAAGTACAATCAAATGACTTCATTAAACAAGCTGGTTAGAAATGGAATTGGATTTGACGTCCAATAAATTAAAAAAAGTAAATGTATTTTTAAATGACATATGTCATATATACAAAGGATGAGAAAATATTTTTTTATTACTCCCTCTGTCACGGAATAGTAATACATCTCATTGTACTTCCTATGTCCCAAAATTATTGTCCAGTTTGAGTTTTCACTTTTAGTACAATTTGAACTACAAATGAAAACCCAAACTAGACAATAATTATGGGACGGAGGGAGTATTATTTTAGTTCAATTAGTTTATTCGGTCATTTCATTAAAAGCGCGATATGATTTCAAAATTCTTTGCTTGAGAAAATTTTTAAAAAAAAATAATTAGAAATTAGAGTTGCTTCTCGAAAATTAACCAAAAAAATTTCACTAGTACGAACTGAACCATGATGGCTTCCAACTATATGTAACACGAGATATTATCTGTCACAATCTGTATTTTGCTGGATTTTTGTAATATTCTTTGAGTTTCACAGTTATTGTTCTGATTTTTATACATATATATATATATGTATATATTTCTCCCAATTTTGGATTAATCTTTTGGACAACTCGATCGAATATTCCAAAACCCGGATCCAAGGATTCATTTAATGAATTGTCAGAGTGGTTTCTTAAGCAGGATTTCCTAGGTTAACTTTTAACCTTGAATCAGACAGTTAGCAGCAGACATAACAGAAAGATGCGAAATTCAACCAATGATTAGTTTACTAACTTTCTTACTGTACAAACTTTTGTAATCAGCAAGAATTTACTTATACTCACTTTAGTCCAAAAAAATAATTCATATTAAGTTTAAAAATTTGTAATTTAGACTATTTTTTTTCGGACGGACATAGTATTTATTATTGAAAAGATTTTTTAATATATATAATTCTTACAAGTACATAGGTTATTAAATGTGTGAGTTTGGGGGAGGAGACTTACTACTAGCCTAGTCTAGGGGGGCGACTCCACGCCTGCAACGCCTCTTTCTGCACGTCCATCGGATGCTTAAAGAGCTTCCAACTGCAACCTGCGAAGAAAGTCAGCATTTTAAAAAATGAAAGACTTTTTTTGTCCTCCAAAAAAAAAAAAATCATATGTATAACCATATTTTAGGTAGTAGGATTTTCTTTTATGGGATAAATAGAGTATTATTTTTAACAAAGTGGAGAACAATCCTAATATTATATATATGAAATGTAACACTAATTAAACATAATATATCAATACACTTTAAAACCAAACGAATGGATTAATTTCCAAACAATTCATCAACCAAAGTATGATTAAACACCTTAACCACAGTTATAGCATTAGTTATATATTGAGGAGATAGAAACAAGATGCAAAAGGACAAAACCATTTTGTTTCATAGACTAGCCTTTGTTAGATTACTTCAAGGAGAGATAATATTAGAATCTACCAATTCCTGCTCAATATTCCAGCCACCCTGAAACATTTCAGGAAAAAATTGGATTAAACTTTTTGTCCTCTCTTATCAATATATGCCCTAATTTTCGACGAGGCCTTGTTTTTTGGGAAGTAAATTTTGTGACAAATTACTTCAAAAATTTGCAACATATTTTCTCCTCCTTTTAACAAAGTGAGCACCATCATTTATAAGTGTGGTCACAATATGATCAGATCGGTTTTAGTTTTCTTGGAATGTTTTTATTAGGTGGAAAAAAAAAAGAGTTATGTCTTCTTCTGTCGTTAAAAATCCCGCAACGAAAAATTTCTTCATATATCTTTATGATCAGCTACTAACAATAATATCCAGGTTTTCTATATTGAGCCTAGGATTATCATCATCTATGATGACAAGAAGAAAAGTTAAACAGAATATTATGAATGCACAAAGGCTAACATCCCACTCGTGCTACAATATTACGATCTTTATATCTAATATAAACTCGGAAACAACTCACCAAGATGCTGATGGGTTATGATTTTCCTATATGCCAAGGAGCTAAAAACAATTTATATCACGCTGAGTAAGAGAGGTAACAATTTGTGATACGATATGAATTTAACGTGAAACGTGATATGTCTGTAGTAACACATAAGAAATTTGATGTATCTTGCAAAATCAAAATTTTGTTAATTTTTTGATGAGTAGACGATATACACGACTTGATTGTTACCGTATATGGCCTATGGCTTTATATATTTGTGATGATCATCAATAAAATAATCCTTTTTAAAGTAAAAAATAAAAATAAAAATAAAAAAGCTGTACATATGTGTTTGTATTAAGCACCCTTCATCGATACTATCCTGGTCGGCTTTTTTTTACATGAGAACATCAAATTGATATGTTTGGTTTAAAATTTTGTTTGTTATTGAAAATTCCTTTTGGCTTATGTGAAAATACTTATCTGACTCTAAAGCATATGGGCTTCTTTAGTTGGAATTGACTAAAAGATTCCATTTTTACTTTCCTTTTGTGTTGTGTTGAATCTCGACTTTTACGAGGATCAAACAACTCCAAGTGATGACACATTGATGAGTTTCATGATACAATGAAGGATTATTTTATTGTCTGACTAGCTAGCTAGGTTAATTTCTTTGTATCTTTCTTCAGCTTTTGTCAATGTGTTTCTTTCTGAGTCTGAAAAATGGTATACAATTTTCCTTAAGGCCCCCCCTTATAAAAATGGATGATGAGTGTCATGATCAACAACCCGAAAACCAAACATCCTCAGAAAACATGGCTGCTGGAAGAAGAAACAGAAACAAAGTCAAGCCATCCTTTTGTTCTGTTCAGGAAAAGAATGTTAACATTTCTCTTCCTGCAGCATCAGTTGATATCCTGAAGCAAGTTTTAATGGCAAGAGAGCCGAGGGCTAGCGCGGTTTCAGTCCCTCGTTGTTCTGCTGGCCATGCAGAGTTGTCAACTGATGGCATTCTGAAATTGGCTAGAGAAAAACTAAATAGAAGGAAGGGTATTGATGTAGCTGCCATTTTGTTTGGTGGCTATTCTGATGATCACCCTAATTCCATCCTGTCGCCTCAGAAGTCCGATGATTTTGAACTTGCAGAACTGTTTCAAGGTGCTGTTCTCAGGTTCTCAAAGCGAGAGTTTGAGAAGGCGAAATGGTTGCTGAATATATGTCAAAGTTCTGCTTCACCTTCTGGTAATGCACTTCATAGGATTGTATCTTATTTTTCAGAAGCCCTGCAAGAGAGGATTTCTGTCGAACTTGGGTTGAAGTCAGCGGCGAATGCTTTGGAAATGAACCATAGCAAAATTTCAGTTAAGAATGCGGCTAAATATCTGCATCCTGAATTGATAAAGAGTCATCTGTCACTTCCTTTCTGTCAAGTCACTGATTTCACAGCAATCCAGGCCTTAGTGGATAATGTGGGATCAGCTAAAAGGGTTCATTTGATTGATTTGGGAATCATGAATGGATCAAACTGGCCTATCATGATCCAAGCTCTTGCTGCTAGGCATGAACCAGTTGAACTTCTGAAGCTAACTGCAATTGGAACACCAGAAGATTATAAAACAGGAAAGATGTTGTCATCTGTTGCAGAATCTATGAACATTCCCTTTGAGTTCAGACTGATTGTATCAGACCTGAAAGATCTTAGGGAAGACATGTTTGAGTTATCGGATGATGAAGTGCTAGCGGTATACTCAGAACTGCGGCTTGGGAGTTTGCTATCGACGCCTGATCACTTGGTATCTCTTCTGAGAACTATTGAGAAGCTCAATCCATGCGCGATGGTTGTGATTGAAATTGAAGCAAGTACGGACACTCCTGTTTTCCTGGACCGTTTTGATGGTTTGCTTTCCGTTTCTGCTGCTTTTTTCGATTGCCTTGAAGATTGCATGGAGCGCGATAATCCTTGTAGAGCGCTCATAGAAGGAGGCCTTATCTGGGATGCAGTTAGGAATGTTATCATCTGTGAAGGTGAGGAAAGGATTATTCGCCATGAAAGGCTTGAATTCTGGAGAGGTTTCTTGACAAGATTTGGCTTCGTGGAAGTCGCGCTGAGCGATACTGCATTTTATCAACTAGACATGGTTTTAAAGAGAAATCCTCGTTGGGTTTCTTGCAATGTGGATAAAAAAGGCAAAGGCATCATCGTTGGGTGGAAGAAAACACCGATCAAGTCTCTCTCAGTTTGGAAATTCCAGCATGAGTAATGTTGTAGAAATAGTTTTCACTTTCAGCTGCCATCTTGTTAAAAAAAAATATGCACTTTCTGTTCAGTAAGATACATTATTCTGCTGTGCTACTCTTCTCATGTCTTAGGTTGTTATCCACATTCAAATAACCAGTTGCTTCTTATGTCAGCTCTACGTTGCTGCTGTCGATGCCAACTTACTGATAGTTTGCTTTAGCAGTTAATAGCTTTTCCATCCTTCAATGTAAGTTTGAATTCAAACTACATATCCATCTGAATACTCTATTTCTTTGAAAGAGTTTATTAACCAGTTTTCAGCTTAATCATATTGAGCTAGTTACATGATAAAAAAGAGTTCATTTGCCAGAGATTTTCAGTTGAATCTGATCCCTTTCTTGCTTGATATCGACAGACTATATCTGCAATAGAAGATGAACTTGTACCGCGTTGACATAAATAACACAAAGTGGATTGTTTTTGAGAGATCACTATTTCTGACAAGTTCTAATCATATTGTTCAGTTGGATTAATTTTCTCAGAAAAATGCTTACTTTCAGTTTTCATGCAACATGCATTCTGTGTAAGTTCACTTATCAACTCATCATCTTCGTCTTTTCTTTAGTTCTTATACTAGGTTGAGACTTGATTGTTTCACAAAAAAAACAAAAAAAAAATAGGAACACGGAACTTATATTTGATACCTAAATTCCTTTTCAAGTTTGTCAGATTATTGCCACTCTTCCACTGGCTAACACAAAACACGACCTCACCCTTGCGTGCACAAAAAAAGCTGGATTTGTGAATCTGTACCTTCATTTACAACTTATGAAAGAGGGGTCTGAGTTTGAAATAGGGATAATATTCCATGCACCCAAAGGAGGGGAAAAGAAAAAAAAAAAAACACCATATGGTTGTATTTTGTTCAATGTTGGAGGGGGTCTCGGAATAAGCGAAAACAACAAAGGAACAAGATAACACTATTGAGGATAGCCCTAAATCCATTACCTCTCATTTGTTCCTTAGTTCTTGTACTGGAGTGAAATCAACTTTTGATAGTTTAACCTTGTTATGCATCTCTGTCTCAAACAAGTTTCCAGTTGAATTCTATTTTCTGCAGGATAATGATTAGGACCTAATACTATGCAGTATCTGAGTTTATAATCTGAACACCTGGTCCAGTTCTAGAAGTTCTGTAATCCATCAGCAGTCTAAATTAAGCAGTTTGACGAGTGACTAAACGTTGGCTTGAGGCGAATTGCCCTTCATTACAGTGTACAGCAGGGGACTTTAAATTTGCAATATTGGGGAAAGGATGCAAACAGCAAAGCAAGAAGTAGCTTCTTCATGTTGCTCAAAGTTGCATCTCAAGCTGAGTGAAAACAACAGAAGGAACCATACGACGTCTGGAACATTATAAGTGACAAACTCTAGGACAACTTATTGCTTAAAAGCCTGATAATCTACAGAATACAAACTTAATAGTATTATAAGGAACTGAAATCACTCAGATCTGGTTCAAAATGATATCCCCACCAGAAACCTTCATGTCAGAAGGTGCTCCTTCCAGATTAAAAACCTTAACCTTTCCATCAGCCACATAGGCCGACCATCTGTTTACAAAAAGAAGACAAAGAACATCAGCATTTCCTAGAACAGACAGACCTGACGATGGTCGCTTAGCAGCAAAAAGACATAAAGATGATTAACCAGCAAATTTATTAGCATTTCGATTAGGTTGCAATGTAATCTCAATCAGCAGTTAGAACTTGTAGCTGTGACATACTTCCTCAATTACAACTAAAGATGCTGAAAAGGAGTGTGGCAGTCAAAACTTTGTCAACCCCAAGTATACAAAATGCAGAATACGCTGTGACATTTAAAATTAACTTTATACCTATGAGAACGGGGTCCAAGCAAAGCGGCAGAGAGATCTACCATTAAGTCCAAACTCTTGTGGAAGCTCCCATCAAAATCTCCATAAAATTCTATCTGCATTTATTAAAAGAAGATAAATTTTAACGGCTGCCAACTACAGTTTCAGCCATTGTACACAACATACTAGTGGCTTCAAAATAATAGTAATATGTGATTATTGGTATTAAAGTTTCCATGGCATGATAACTGGACAAAACTTAAGTCTTACGATAAGAAAAATTTCAAATGGTTGTGTTCTCTCCAGTGATAAAATTGAGCAACTCCGCACAAGAACTTGGTTCAATATAGAAATGAACTCAAAACCTCAAACAGTCAGAAGGTAGGATCCGTACAATTAGTCGCATCAACAGAAACATTGATCCAGGGTCTGTTTCTTGAACAGAATGGATATCTCAATTTGAAGTTAAACTAATCAACAGAAAAGCAACTGCAGAACATATAGAAGCTATGAAAACTTCTAAATTTTAATATTTAGTAAAGGTAGCAGCTATAACTTACAGCATCTTTAGCCCCAAGTTTTTCTGCCCAACCATTCATTGTATAGGGATCATTGACAGCTACGCAAATCACAGAATCAATTCCCTTAGCCTTGAACTTGTCAATATTATTCTTGTAACTAGGAACATGCTGAGCAGAACAAACTCCAGTATATGCACCCTGGAAAGCCATAACCCCATAACCAACAATAAGATGTAATCCGACAAACATTTTCCATTGTGACATCCAAATTTAAAAAGACAATTCCCCTGTTGTAACAGAGAAGTACTTCAGTAGATACTAACAATGCAACATAGCTACTGACATCGTAAACTCATACTGAACTATGAGAAGCCAATCCAATTCTCTCCTCAAACCTTCCCATCATAACAGGTGACACAACCAAGATGACAAGTTACAAGGAAAAAAACGGACAAATGCGTAGAGATAGATATGAAACAGATACGGAATGACAGTACTACATCAATACTTCACAGCTTCAAGTCTAGCGCATCACGGATTTAAAAAGTAAAAACATAAGAAAAAGTTATTTAGTTCATAATTCGAACAAACCCAAAAAGGTTATCTAAAATATCAAACACCCAAGGAGTATTTAAGCAAAACCATCATCCTAATTTGAATTAGAACAGATTTAAACCTCTTAAAAGGAAGATTTTTATCTTTTGCTCACAATATAGACAGACATTAGTGAAATGACAAACATAAAGAATCTTAGAGCAAGTCATTTTATTCTCCGAGGCAACCAGATTGCTGCTAACCCTAAACAAAGCTAAAAACTTGCACATCAACATATAGAAAAGAAAAACGCAAATGAGATTCTGGGGTGAAATTTGATCTTACCGGTAGGCCAAAGATCACAACTTTTTTCCCCTACAAATGAAAAAAGAAGAAAACAACTTGTAAGGGAGATGAAATTCCAATAAACAACTCAAAATCATATCAATAACAGTCAAAATTGAAGGAATAAAAAACCCCAGAAAAGTGGAACCTTGAAGATATCCGCAAGAGGGGTGGTGGCGAATTTGGAAGAAACACCCTCATCCCAAGTCCGAGCTTTTTGGAGAGAAACATTTGGTGCGGCTGACAACAAATCCGTACCCACTGCAATTGATGCGAACGCCCTTCTGGATGTTTCCTGCAGGCCTTTGAACATCATTGACTTCACCATTCCGGTTCTTTTCAGCATTGCTGACGCCATGGATACGTAATAAATTTTTCTGAAGTTTTTACAGTTAAGAAGAAGAGCAAATTGTAGGAAGCTTTCTGGGGTTTTTGTATTTTTTGTAATGGTCACTGGTTAGCGATGAACAAGTAATTCTGTGAGAAAATGTGGATTGGAATTGGAACCTTCTATACAAAGCGAATAATAATCACGCTTACTCTGTTTCCCAAATAAGCGTTTTTTTCTGCTAGCTTTTAGCTATACGAGTTCATGCCACAAAGTAAAATACTATGTCCAGTAAATTACTAAATTCCATTTCTCTGGAATCAGATTCTAATTCTGCTTCTTAATATCTGAAAACTTCTAATAAAAAATAAATAAATTTATCTCATCCTTGTTGAAATCATATTTGACATGTTACAAGCCCACAAAACAATTTCTAGTTGGTTTTCCCTCTCTTTTGAGTTCTGATTGGGTTACATTTGTACATGACATTACTTGAAATTGTAAGAGGAATTTGTTGATCTTCTTTCATCAATGTACATTACTCTTACTTGGAAACGAATTGGAAATAAGTTGCATGCAGGTTGTTGGGGTATATAGAACAGGAACAAGTAATCTGTATATTGTTTCAAGTTTGGTGTTAGATTAGATGAGTATGAAGTGTAAACTGTAATAAGAAGAAGAAATCACCGAGTGCAACAGAACAAAGCAGAGAAACCAACTTAGATACAAAATCAACTGACAAAGACTGGTTTCTAGCAGAGATAACAAACATTATCTAGGGTCAAAACTACAAGAAGAAGAAATGGACGGAAGAGAATTACAATTAGCAATGGCCGTGGAATTGCTCATCGGTCAGCATCAGCCGACCAGCAATTCTAATCAGAATTGCTTTCTCGGAATCTTTTGAGCCAGGGTTTAAATAATACTGGAGTTGCCTAATTTGTAGCAATCTTCAACTATTCTTTGTTCACAACTGGAGAGAAACACTAGCAACAGTTGCCACCAAAAAAGTCAAACGTTCTTGAAAGCCTTCATGCAACCCTAAGCCAAGGATAAACAAGATACAATCTATAAGAAATATGTACTACATGGGAGAGAATACACTGTCGGGGCAAAAGAATGAGAATCAACTCACAACCCAAAGAACCTTGCACATACGTTCCATGAAGAAATCCAGTTGTTGTGGGGAAAAGAAAAAACACGTGTCTACTATGTCTAATTCAGGGGGTACCTACTTCTTTCGAGCATGCCATTTGGTGATGCTGTCATACCAATTCCATTGGAAACATAAAGCTGCAATACGTAAGATACTAGCAGCAGCCACCTCGACAAATGCCATTAAAGCTGATCTCTGAGGAGAAAGACCAGCAGTTGCAATGGACAACAAAAATCCCTCCAAGTTGCAAGGAACAATGAAACTACCAGATCGGATGCCATTCAATGCTTTTTTAGCAACTTCTTCAGCTTTCATTCCACCGGAGGAGGATGCTATTATGCTGGTCAGTTCTGGCTTTCTTTTGTTCTCTGCGATTATCAATAAATTAGCAACAGTTGTAGTTGTAGGAGTACTCAATATATGAACTTTGATGAACAAAAAAGAAAAATAAAAAATAAAAAATAAAAACATCCAGCAAAGTTGAATGGGAGTGACTTAACAACACTGTTCAGTAATAAACATGCAGATCCATCACTCAAGAAACTCCCAATGAAGAAAGTATCCTTGCAGTAGTATGACATGCATTTCAGAAATGATAGTTCAGACATAAGATCCAACAAATGATATTGTAAGAAAAAATTTTAATCTGGACTGCATATGTCAAATCTAAAATGTTGCGACTTTACCTTGAAATTATTTTCCCCCCTTCAAGTGCTAGTTATTATATATGCAACATTCTATAGATTGAGATAAATATCATCCATACCTCTCACACTCTTCCTCCATAAAGTAGCAAAGAATGAAATAAAATCAAGCCAGACATACAAGATGGCACAAAATTCTAGCCACAGTTCTGGTTTCAGAACCATTATTTTAAACCCCACACAAACGCAAAATGCACTTCTTTTAAAATAAGCAAGAGAAGGTGCACAACATCTTTGGAAAACCTAATCTCAAGGTGAGAGAGTTCCCCCCTAATCACTAGAAGACCGAAATTAAACATTTTCAAGTTGAATTGTCAACCAGATGAAAGTTTCGGTCCATCAGCTCTTTTCAAGTTCTGAGCATTTAGAGAATGATCTCAGGATCAATCAGGACATATTTAAATTATTAAAACCTATAGACCCCGCATACTGAAACACCTAAATGCAGGATAATATGCAAATCAAGAACAATAGTTATAAATTTGAAGGGGACCAGATGCAAACCTTCAACTAAACCAGGAGTTTCAGTATCCGGAGGAAATATGAGTGAGATATGAATGTCGTCGGCAATAACCTCCTGCTGCAGAGCTTCAGCCATACCCCTAAGCCCAAACTTACTAGCGGCATAAGCTGTATAACCATAGATTCCTACCTAGAATTTTGAGCGGAAAACAATCAACATTATCAGGCCATCAATACAAAGATAATTTCATGAACTGCAAATTAAAGAAAACGAAGTCCAGACTATTAGTTTCTCACAGAAACAAATTTAGTAGAGATTCCCAACTGGTAACTTATAAATATCATCATAAAGTTGATTGAGAATTCTCCCCTACATTTAGTTAAATATTTGACAGGTTAAGCAGGTAAACTATTTGCAAAGGGTGATTATGCAACATTAACTAACAACTTGTCTAAAAAGCTACTCAGGGAGTGATCAAAGAAACAGCTAGTTATAAGCGGCAACAAACCGACGAATATAAGTGGCAAATTAAGATTCAAACAAAGTGATCAGCACTGAAGTTCATCACTTGGACGCAGAACAACTCAATCACCAAAAATCAACTCTCCACCAATATCCCAAAGCACCACATTCATAGTCATAATGAAGTTAAATCAAATATTTTACTTAGCAAAGGCACTTTTCTACCAAAACCCGAAGATCGTATCAGATATCACACACCAAAACGCATTGGAATAGTACAAATATAAGCATACCTGACCAGCCTGAGAAGACATAAGGGCGATAGAACGGGGACCCCTTCCAGCCCCTTGCTTCATTTGAGGTAAAGCAGCCTTGATCAAATGAAAAGTGCCCATCAAGTTCACATCAATCATGAACTTAATCTCCTCCAAAGATTGTTCTTCAAGTTCTTGAGGCACAAAAACGCCCTGATTGCAAACCAATACGTCAATGGGTCCGGCTTCCATAATCGCTTTCTCAATGGCATCGTAGTCTCTGACATCAGCGCTGAAAACGGCGACGTCACGGCCGGTGGCGAGCTTGATCGACTCCTTGGCTTCTTCGAGCTTGTTGGGATTGCGAGCCAGGATCGAAACGTGGGCTCCATCCAAAGCAGCTTGGTGAGCCATTGCCAAACCGATGCCGCTGGACCCGCCAGTGATAAAAACGTGGCGGTTTTTCAGTGGGATTTTGGTGGGTTTTGGACGGACAATCACGGCGAAGAAAATGAGGAAACAAATGGGAATCACCAGGACAAGAAGGAGGAGGAAAAGAAGGGCGCCCATTTTATTCGATTGTTGTTTTTGCTGCTGCTAAAGGCTTATGGAGGCTGAGATTTATGGCGGATTTGTGCCGCCGGCGAGTGAAACTGCCGAGGAAGAACTGTCAAAGGCGGGGAAAACAAGATAGTTTCCTTGTCTGGGGGATATCGGGAAATTACATTTTGACCCCTTAAGTTTGAACTTTTCAGTTTTCATCAATTATTTATTTCTTAAAATTCCTTTTCATTAGCAAAATTAAATGAGTAAATTGAATTTGTCTCCAACAAAAGAATAAATTAGAAAATCAAAAGGAAGATATTTAAACGAGAAATTAAATAGTATTGATGTATATTGTTTTGTACTTTTCACTTGTTGAACTTTCAAATTTTTCGCTTCACTTTTTTTTTTTTCCTTTTCTCAATATAACTTTTTCAATTTGTTAAGTTTGAGAAAACCTTTAGACATGTGATTAGAATAAGAATTTTAGTGATCATTTAAAAGTCAAGTAGTAAACCTGAATGGGAGGTCAATTTTTGTTAAGTATAAGACCAATTCTTGAGTAAACGTGAGTTCATACACGATATACGTGGGTAGAAATAGGAATGTTTTCCTTAAATATATTTCCTTATATATACCTGGACAAAAATAAATCTTTCAAAAATTTTGTGGACAAACTTACATGTCCCGCATTTAGGAAATCCGAATGGGGGTGAAACTCGGATTTCGGAAATCCGAACCTCAACAAACTCGGATTATAAAAATCCGTCTTTGTGTTACGTAAATCCGATATTAAGTTAATGACAGAAATTAGTGTAATTAATCTAAATCTGGATTTTATAAATCTGTATTTACGAATAAAATATTAATTTTCGGATAGAGAAAAAAAATATGTTGAAAAATTAAATTTAGGAAAAATCGGATCACGGTAATCCGAATATACGTAGATTCGGATTACTGAAATCCGAATCTCCTCTGTTTTCTGAAAAATGGGGACTCTCAGTTGGCTACAAACTCGGATTTCCGAAATCCGAATCCTTTAAAAAAGTCTGAGTTCGGATTTCGCAAATCCGAGTTTTTGTCAAAACTGAAAAAAAAAATTGGACTGGTTTTTCACTAGTGCTAAACCTGTTTACAGCACCAACAACAATGAAACATTGGAAAACAGAAATTTAATGACAACAAAACAATAAATGGCATTCGATTAACAACAAAACAAATCAAGTTTCATACCAAAATCAATACAAAAACAACTTTAAATGTGCAAAATACATCAAATGTCTCATTTTTTCCCCTTTTTCTTTATTGTGCGCATCTGGAGTGTATTTGTTTGGGCCCTGCCGGATCCTGTCTCCCCTCTTAAGATACGTGAGTATTGAACTCTGTTGTGCTTTGCTTCTGATTGAGATTTGAAACAAACACCAATGTCCATTCCTTCGGGCGTCTCATCTCACATCTTAAGATCAAACTCATCCTTGTCCACACATGAGGCATCACATTTCCCCATCGTACTATGTACATGGCGTCGGGGCAATGGATTACAATCCCTTTCCTCATTTTTCAACCTTTCATCATCACTTTCTTCAAAATCGCTCTCTCCGAAGACATCACAGTCTTCTTCGCTTTCACTTGGAGCTATGTAGCCGGAATCCGACTCTTCCCAGTAGTCATCTTGTGCAAATAAAAGTGTCTCCTCTTCATCACGGTTTCGAGAAGTACTAGCACGTTCCCCCCTTGGAAAACCACCTGACACGTTTTCCAAACTCGCTTCTCTTTCTTCTTGAGTGATATCTTCCAAATCTATGTATAAATCCAAACATGACATTGGATCTACACGGTTCATGAACTCTACATGCGAATCATTCTTGATCTTCACTACACGCCTACCACCAGGACTATCAAAAATCAAAGAAAGGTGGAGTTTCACGTGAGATGGATCCCAACCAAGTGTCATACAAATCTTACTAATCAATCCCTCATATGACAACTTTCTTCGACAAACATACCATCATCCGGCATATTCGAAAAAGTGTTGATGCTACCGTTCTCTATCACATACTTACTTGTATGATACAAATTAAGCATGTATGATACATTACGTGCCATTGATAACTGTTAAAAAAAAATCAATAAATAATCATTTCTTAATAACAAAATCAACAAATACACCATACATACTCCATTCATAATTCAAAAAACCTATAAAATACTAAAATACTTATAAATCAACTTCAATATCTCATGAACAACTATGATTTCTCATCTCTATCCTCAAAATCAACACCTAAAACATCCAAACAACCAACCAACATAAACCTTAATCTATCATACATCATTCTAACAATCAAAATAATACAAAACTAAACTAAATAACATGGTTTTGCAATCTAACTTCTTTCAAATAACGATTCCCACGTATCTAGAGGCAAGAATGCATCAAAAGCTCCAATTCGCCATTGTTTGAGCTGCAAAAACAGAAAATCCAACTCAGTTCTCGAATGAGAACTGTCTGAAATTTTTTTTCTTTTATAGCACGTTAAACTCGGATTTACGAAATCCGAGTTCGTAAGTAACTCGGATTTTCGAAATCCGAATTACACTAGCCTCGAATTTCATGAATCCGGATTTGGTCAATTTCGGATTATTTTATTCATTTTTGGTCCTCCAATTTATGGCACATGCCTACTTCCACCAACCTAAATTAAAGGCAGTCGGATTTTCAAAATCCGAATTCATAAAACCGGATTACGGACTTCCGGTTTTTGAATTAAAAAATTTTGCGCCGCGATTTTCTTTTTTTCTTTTTTCTTTTTGTACACTCGGACCTGGACTCCTTATTTGAGTTCAAATTTTTCGCGCCTCAATTTATTATTTTTTAATTAAATTCGGATTTCGCAAATCCGACCGGCACTGTTCATTTAAGAATTTTTTAAAAACTATTATTCAACAAAATTTATTTAATTATTATTTTATTAATAAATATAAGCTCGGATTTACGAAATCCGAGTCCTTAATTTTAATCAGAACTCGGATTTCGGAAATCCGAGAGATGTATTTCTGTCCACTAATATTCTGAAAAATTCAAATTTGTTTAAGTTTATTTTAGTTAATTTTTTTTGGGAAAAAGCCCGTAGAAATAGAATGCAAGAATTGTTAGACGGGTTCATAAGTTGCAAGGTTTAAAGGAAAAGAATTGTTTAAATTTTGTTTTAGCACTTGAAAATGTTTGGTTGAAATACCTTAATCAAATAATTAGGAAAGGCACACAAGAGGCAATTTTAAAGGATTCTGAATTTGTACCACATTTTGTTAATGGAATAACAAACAAAACACAGCTCTAATAAATTTACTCTTCTATCTAAAAAAAAAAAAAAGTCTACATTAATTTTTTTTTTATTTTTTACTGTTTTTAGTACAAATTTGAAAACTCAATATAGATTTTTTCTTGTGACAGAAGTATCGTTACATTTGGGCGAAAAGTTCAGTAGTTGTTTTTCAAGTTGACTTTTTGTAAGACGAAATCTAAAAACAAGTAAATGTGCCTTGTGTGATGATTTTTTCTGAGACAACACAAAAATATGTGGAAGATTTAATAAGATCGGGAAAATTGTTTGAATTATCATCCCAAACCCATTGGTATACAATGTTTTCTGAAAGAAAAAAAAAACACATTTGGTTCTCATAACTTCACTGTAGCCCATAAACTACTGTTGTTCCCTTAACCATTCTTCACATCAATAACAAAGTTTCACATTTCCCTTGAAGACCTCACCTTTTCTTTTTTGCATCTAAAATGATCCCAGAAAAAAAAAATAAAGGGGAAAAAACCTAGGTAATTTCCATGATTCCTGTGGGAGGTCTTTAGTTCATCTATATTAACAAATGTCAGATCGAATCAACGAGAAGAGTAAGAAACCAACCTGTGATGAATTACGATCATTCATATCACACTTATCGCTCAAAATTTGCACTAGAATCGCACACAATTATTTATTAATAAGAAACGTATATGTGTCAAAGTATATAAAATTTTTATACTCTCGTCTCAAAATCAATTGATAATGAATGGGTGAGTCTTTGCAACTTATATACTATGTCACTTCTCTTTACGTTAGCGATGTGGGACAGATAATACACCTTAACAACGTCATTGGCCTACAGTACTAAAAGAGCTTTAATTGTCATGTTTATTACAGTAAAAAAATAATTTTTAAAACCGAACTATTATGGCAAGACGAAGGACGAAGGTAACACAATTTAGTTTTGAACTAATGCTCCGAATCTACAAAAAGAGAAGGAGTTTTCATCACTATATAGTTTAGTGATCGTGATTCGTGTATGCCTGCATGGAACTCCATTTTTCATCACTTTCATTTCAATGTATTACATAATCTCACTGTTTTTGTTTCCATCCGTTTTTTTTTTTTTTTTTTTTGAGACAAAAAAAAGAACAATTCATTTCTAACGAGTTTTTTCACATTTTCAATACATTACACTTTGGAAACGGAGAGTTCCAGACAGAATCACATGATCAAAGAAACGTACATATATTATAGTCATAGGATTCAGAGCACTTGTTTTAGTTCAGTAGCTACTCGATTGGTACTCATGATTAGCTTCGTGTTCTATTCAATCGAATGTTAGCTGGATCACTAGTTACCTAGTGGCCCTCACTCGAAAAAGATTTATATGAAAGGGATATCTTCTCAATTGAGTACGATATACTTAACAGTTAACAACATGATAAAAGAAAGAAATTCCAATGACCATCTTCTTTCTTTCTTTACTCTTTTTCAATCTTTTCTTGTTGTTTTCAACTGATATAATTGATTATAATTAATCACTATTATATTTCAACTATAGTCGAAAGAATGATCAGATATGCGAGATTTATTTTTCGCCTAAACCAATAACAACTGGTGAAACTAAATAATCGATTTGTTACTCAAAATACATGTTTTATTTTCACGAGTCAATCTCTATTTTGGCAAATCTATAATCACCTTAATTGACGATTTAATTGATTGCTCGTTATTATTTTTTTTTTTAAAACATGTTCATTTCTCTTGTACCCCTTATATAGACATTGCAATTTGAAGTAGATCTTCTTTTCAAGATTATGCTGTTGTATTTATTGTGCACCCTTACATATTGTGATGTAGACACTATCATTAAGACTCAAATCGAGGCCAGTCGATGCCTTAATGATCCAAGACCCAAAACCCCATAATGATTTACCAACTGCCAAAACCCTGATCATGAAAATTCTTTAATTGTATTCGGTGAATATTTTTTCAATTAAATTAATGGTACGGTTTCAGATCTTGATTGATTGGCAAATGTTTATATAATCCCTTCTCCAGAAATTGGGAAAATTTTTATTCTGTCGGTGTTTGTGTCGGTACTAGCTTCATCAATTGCCCCAATGACAGCTAGCTATATACATAACCTGTATTTGTTTCATTTTTGTAATTACATGGGTGCGACTATATATCTGATTCCCACACGAAGAAATGAAGTAAGTCCTGGGAAAAACAAAACTTAAATGATACATAACTAGTTCTATGATTATGATTCTTATTTTAGAATAGATTGTTCAATTTGTTTTGATTATATACCATTATAAATCCGTAATTTGTATTGTAAACGTTTCATCTGTCTCAAAAAAAAAATAGATAAGATTTCGATTTATAAATTATACTGTATTGTATAATACAGTTCATAGGCTATAATATCGACTATTTTTTCTATTTCTTTTTTTTTTTTTTTTGAGACGGAAAGAGTGTATTTTTATTGATTTAGCTTTTGATTTCATAGGTGATTTGGTTCCGTAGGAAATGGAGTAAACTAACAAGCATCCAAAGGTGGTTTTGTTAGTAAAGTGATGTTTACTCAGGAATCTATCGTTTCAATGTCTTTTTCCATCGTCAAAATCAAAGGATGTCATCATTTTGTTGTAATTGTAATGAAAATCTGATAAAATAAAAAGATACGATCTCATATATTCGATGACCTCCCAACAGTCTGAAACCCAAATAATTAACCAAAATAGAGAAAAAGAAAAAGAAAAAAAACACTACTTTTCCAAACGGTTAGTATTTCTTAATCACTTTATTCCATACACTAAGCTCTATCTCTAGCCATGATGTCTTCATAAATAATTATGAAAATTATCGAAAAAAGAAAAAAGCATGAAAATTCTTGTAGTAAACTAGCATATTGCATCGTAGGGCTCTATGGAAAACTTTATGGATGAAGAATTTCGTTTTGGCATTTTGGCGTTGACCCTCCACAACACTAGGCATATAGTTCCATATTAATTTCAGGTCAAACGTGACACCATGTAACATTTTTTGCCGACATATCATTCATTCATTCATTCATTCTACACAAAAAAAATAAATAAATAAATAATGAAAGAAAAAAGTAGGAATTGTGTAAAAGAGTCTGATGGCAACCATGTGAATTAACTGAAAGCACAACTCAAACTACAGCTGGTGACTCAAACAAAGTGCGAAAGGCCAACTAAGAAAACAGATCACCGCCATTTTGCCTCTTTAGTTTTTTCTTTGTTTATCTCCATTTCATGAACATGATCACATCACTTGCTTGATTGCATCTGATAATCTTAATGATAATATTAATAACAACAAATCATTTTCTTAATTAGTAATCAACTGTGTGTACTTGTCAGCATCGATAATTAGCTTTTCTTCGTTCATGATACTGAGGTCGATCGAGATATCTGTATTTTGTAATTAGAGGTGAAATTTTTAGATTCGTATAACACAGAACAATTTCGTTAGAATGAAAGAATCACTATTCTTTTTGACATTGAAATGTCAAACTTTTGATAAAAACATCACAACAAATTAATCTCCACTCTAAATTAGGGATGAGGTCCCCAACCTTTTAGGGTTGACCATTCTCCCTGAAGCTAAAAACAACAAATGAACACAACTCTCTCCTAATAGACAATGAATCAAATTAAATGACGTTCTCTCCCTAACACATGAGATTGTAGCACTCAACTTCATTTCCTTTGTTGAGGCTACAATTTTGCTCTCCTATGATTTTTCTTGAGCTCTTGAATTGTAATTGGTTGAGAGCTTATTCAATTTGGTTATCTACATAAGACTTTCTAGAGCTCACACAAATAAAGAATAGTAGTAATAATATAATAGTGTCACTAATTGATTAAACTAGTAAAGTTCCTTTGGAAGCTTAAATGAATCATAGTTAGATGGCTTGTGATGATTGTAGGAGACATGATGATGATGATGATGCTGATGAGGAAGAATCATCCCTCTTGATGATTTTTCTTGATTCTGATTCTTGGCCAATTTTGAGTTGGAAAAACTGCTGTTGTTATTCTTCCCTGAATTCTTGTTCTTTCTTCTAGGTTGTGAAATCAATGAAGTTGGAATAAAAACTCCTGTCCCTTTGCTTTCCCTTCTGCAAGCTTGCTGATCATAAACAAATGGAAGTGATTGTTGTGTTGAAGGATAATGGTTTGATTGAGAGAATCCCTGAAGAACACCAAAAGATACAGAAATCAGTCTAAATTCTTCCAGAAATCAACATGGCCTAATAGAACAAGAAATGAAGGAAGAAAATGAACCCAATTTACCTGAAGAGAAACTGAAGAAGAATGAGAAACCAAGTCATCATCATCATCATCCATGATGAGTAAAGAGATTTGTTTGCTTAAGTCTGCAAAGAAGACATCATCATCAAGTTCATGATGAACTGCTGCTATAGCTTCCATTATGTCTTGTCTTGACCTAAAAAGACTAAAAACTAGCTTGTGATTTATAGCAGTACTTTCAAATGAAAACCCTTTGGTTTTGTTTCATGTAATTTGGAATGGGAGGGATGTGATGATGTACTTATACAAAAATAGTGGTGATAGATTCATAGGCACAAAAGGATGGGTTATAAGTAAGGATCTATGGGCTGTAGTACATGTGGGAAGTGGGGACAGAAGAACAAGAGAAGGAAAAAAAAAAAAGGGTCAGCAGTTGGCTGGCCTAATCTGTATATGTTATGGGAGAGCCCCACAAGGATCATGAAGTGTGTTAATGATATTATCCAGTTGTGGGAAAGATATACTCGTCGGTCTGTCTCAAAATACAATTATCGTGTTTGTTATATTATTTGGGACGAAAGAAGTATGAAAATATGAGAAGGAGAAAAAAGAAAATAAAAGAAAAAGGAAGCAGCAAAGACAAGAGCCAACAGCCCACAATCTTAAAACACATATCTGATCCAAAAATTCTTAAAAAGAATCCAAAAGAAACAAAGAAAAGATAGATGATATAGGTTCGATAGACTTCCATCTTTTGAGAATTTACTTAATTGGTTGTGAATGTGATACCACTCTTTCCCATATCTCTCACATGATCACACTCACATCTCCACTAGTTTTTGTGTTCATATTTTTCCAATCTTTCCATGTGCCAAACAGGCAAACATGCACTTTTGAAAATACACGGAATCGCCGGTGTGTCATCGTTAAAAGAAAAGAAATATATATATATATATATATATATATATATATAGTTTTAACAACAACTGCAAATGTTAAATTCTCGTCATTTATATACAACACGTATATAAAATGTGAAACAAATGATCTCTTTTGTTACGGTGTTTTGATTTCTCTATTTTTTCGATGTGTGGGTGCCCTTCCTCTCATTCCCTTAACAATATTATAGTAAGTAAACACTGGACCGCATACGTAATAGGGCAGGTTTCTTTTGAATGAGAAAGTGATTGTTAAAGCTTCAAACACTTATCTTGTTGTCCCCATTAGTATTTAGTATTGTCTTGAGTGATTGTATATACATTGTCAAGAAATCTCTGCAATTTTTCCTCATTAAAATTGATTAGCTATTCTTTGAAGCTTGTTCAAAAAATTTCAGAGACGTTTTGATTTAGATCATTTCTTGCTTGAGATATATTGGGAATGTTGTTGTCGGTCTACAGTAGAATCATGCCAAAATTGGTAGCCAAGGAATCTTCAAGAAATGAATACTAATATATGAAGGCGGCAACTAGTAGGATGATAATTATATGGACATCAAGTGGATGAATGAATATGATTTAGCAAGTGGAAGGCTAATATTTGTATAAGACTAGATATCGATCCAAATTCAACATTTACTGGTGCTGATGAAGACTTAAAGATGTTGATAATAACATAAAAAGAGTTTATATTACACTGGCTTCATTATAGAAACAACAATTGAGCCCCTTATAAGATGTTGATTTGTTACAATTGTACTCCAAATGGATCATTTTAATGAAATTCAATAGATATTCTTATATTTTTCATGTCGAAACTTGAATCCGTTATTTTACATACTAGTGTTTGAAAAATAGCATAATCATCTAGCCGAAGTAGAAAGCAGTTTCTTTTCTTCTTGCAAGATTGTATGCAAACTACACTTGTACCAGGGGTGGGAGGGTTGGGTGGGATGGTTAAGGGATTAGAACAAGAGATGGTTATTATCAGGAGGTAAAGTGTTTGATTCTGCTGGGACCATCCAATTTTATTTTTTTTAAAAAAAAAAAAAAAAACTACACTTGTGCTATTTGATTTAACTTGAAAATAACCAAATGTAAGTTCAACCAATAAAGTTTAACAATTTTTTGGGGATTTAGTTACAAAAATTCAAACTTTGAGGGTATTCTACAAATACAATATATAACTCCCTAAAATTAAAGACTTTTGCACAAACAAGTGGATAAGTACTAAAAATTGATAAATGAATTTGCTTCCCAACAACATTATCATAATATCAAATCTGTAAGGTGCAAGTAGCCACAATTCATCCACAAGGTTTGCTGGGTAAGGAAGAAACAAATTAAGGCCCCATATCCATTCCCCTGAACCAAAGATCGTGGTCTGAAAGTTTTTGGACGATATTTTATTTCACGAGATATGTTATATAAGTAACATGATACAAATTTTGGGACGAAAAAAAGTATTTTTATCTATCTCTGCTTAGTCAATTGAGATGGGCATTGAATGTACAAACAATATTATCAGTTATCAGTAAAGTCCAAAGACTTGATTGCGGAAGTGTTGTACTCCGAATTTATTGGATAATAGATTTGAAAGGTATATCTCAGAAAAGAGAGTCGGCCATTTTTAGCCGTCAAGTTTTATTAGCATTATCCCAGTTTTGATGAGATGTGTATAGTTTGGGTGGAGGATATTACTTCCCTTGTTCAGACATCGCATTCAGGTTTCAAGTTGCACCGATACCACCTACGTCAATTACAAACAATTGATCAAGCGATTTGAGTTTGGTAACATTATTTCGTACCTGATATCACTAGCAGCGGAGCCAGAAAATTTATATATAAGGGTGCAAAATTTAGAAGAAAAAAAAAATTACTAATAAGTCGGGAAATCAATGTAAGAAGTGCGAAAAATTATATAATACATAGTTATTTTATTAAAAATTTAAGATTCGTCTGTTAATTATAAAAATTGAACAGGTCCCTTCGTTCCCCCTAGCTCCGCCACTGTCTGATACCGCCTGCATAAATAACTGCTCAACTGATTTAAGTTTGGTGACATTATTTCGGAACTGAACTAACTTACTACGTTGTTACAGAGTAATTCAGAGTTTGGTAACTTTAATCCATACATAATTGTTCAAACCATTTATTAAATTTCGTAACTTTGATACATAACAGTCCGGGCTGATTACTGTTACAGTCAGACAAGCACTTCAGACAGTGATGATGATGAAGTGGTAATGATAATTTTGTGCTGAAATAGACCTTCAAAAAAAACAAGTTGGGCTAAGAAAAGTCTCTTAACGTCGGTTTCTTGCGCATTTAACGCGTTCTTCCTTTCCAGTTGCATTTGGTCGGCAAACATACAGTTTAATTCGTCTGGAAAAGGACGTTTTCTTTGTCGAAGATCAAATTATAGATAGACATGGTAAATATGTCGGCACGACAACATGAACTCGAAAAGATTCTTCGCTATGAAAGAAGTGGACAGTAGAAACCAAAAGCACTGATATTTAGCTAGAATCTCTCTAATCATGATACAACTTTCTGGTTTTGGTTGGGGTACTAACAATTTTCAGGTAAGACCCTAAAAATTCACCCAAAAAATTAAGAGCTAGTCATTGCTTACAAGGAAATATGATTTCGCTTCAGCAATCCTTTTTTCTTTAGGTAAGCTAATAATTGGACTCTTTACAGCATCAAAATCATCTTTGAATCAACTAACATTAAAACCTGAAGGTAATGGCAACGGAGAGGACTAGGCTCCCCCAGCCGTATCCATATCAGCAACACCATCAGCTCCCTTGAACACTATCCTCAGTTTCCTCGAGCAGGATTGCTTATTGTCAGCTTTACCAGCCATGCCTGTAACACTGACAATATCCTTCCGAGTTTTTCCCATCAATTCAAAGAGTGGTTGGTCTAGAAAGGGTCGTGTCTGCTCTTCAAGTATCGGAGGTGCCTGCATGTACAGGTTCGTCCCTCTGTGTCTGACGCTAACTCTAGTTAGCAAGAGGTTGGGGTGATCCTTGAGTGAATCGATGAACTGTTGCAAGAAGACATGTAAAAGACTCAAAAACAAATCCAAACAACATGAGTTCAAGATGAAAGCTGGCAATTCAATTACAATGACGTAAAAGTCAATGAAACAGCACTTCTTTAGGGTCCTTATTTGGGAATGCAGATTAGCCAGCAAGGAAAGGGTTCTTGCCACTAAAGAACACATCCAAAGCAGAAACAGAGCCTCTTAAACATGTAGCTAAGGAAAAAGAAGCTTTTATAATCATGTGAATTCTGATGTCACGAGTATTAATATAAGAAACCAAGTCAATCAAGTACTACAGGGAATTAGAAGATCTTTTTCCAGTCTAAGACCAAAGCAAAACTCTTAACTTCCTGATTAACATAAAAAATAAGTCCATTTTCCATTTACTCTAAGATGATCATTAGCATTCAGCAGTCATTTCTCCACAAAGGGCAATATGAACATAAACGAAAAACGGTTAAGCTAGCAATTTGCAAAAAGGACAAGGTTAAGACTTAAACAGTTGCCTCTTCCCATAGAAATGTATGTGAATCACATAGTTTGCCAACACCATAATAACTGAGATTATAGGAAAAGTGGGTAATGACGGACCTTTCTTAGAGTAACTGAAGTATCCAACTCGATAAGAACGCCAGGACCACAAACCGGACATTCTTTGTCTCTCACAAAATCTGTCACTTTAGTATGAAGTCCTTCAACACCATTATACCTGTTTTCCGCAACACATACAACTTATCAGACCTTACAAGATGCAATGGAAAAGTTAAAACCAGAAGCATTCCAGAACTGACCAGAAACCAAAAATTGGTGGATATGATTATTTTCAGCAAATTGAGTGACACCATCTAAAGATTATTTGGTGCGAGCAAAATGATGTATGTGTAAATATGTATGTATGTAAGTATATATATATATAGGGTTTACGGTTTATATATGTGTGTGTGTGTGCGCTTCAAGTAACACAGACGGATGGCACCGATGTGACATCACAGAATATGAATTCGTCACCAAAAACTAAGAAAATAGGTCACTAAGAAAAGACATCTCAATGTTCAAAAATACAAACAATTCTACTGCTTTCGCTACAGACATAACGGAACAAAGGGCATACAAGTACTATAAGACATAAATAACTGCAATCATAACTCAGATGTAGTATTTTTTAAATAACTGCAAAAAATAACTGCAATCATAAATAACTTAGTTTTTGGTGACGAATTCATATTCTGTGATGACACATCGGTGCCATCCGTCTGTGTTACTTGAAGCGCACACACACACACATATATAAGACATAAATAACTGCAATCATAACTCAGATGGTAAATTTTCAAATTGAGATGCATTTATCAATTCCACAATCGACGAAGCAGAGAAATACTGACGATACTTACGTCAAGTAATTTGACAAGGTTTTGCTACATCCAGTTATAATTTTCATGGTCTCCAAAGCACAAGCTGCTGAAATGATTGCATTGGTGGAAGCTATAGCTGGAATAATATTTTTCACCACACCCTGAGAGAAGAAAAGGAACAAGGATGAGAGAGTATTATCACCCGTAACATTCGTAACAAAAAAGCAAAAAAAAGCATATGCAAGGGGTAAAACCAGTTTCCTAGCATTGCCAAATAAAACATGATTATAATCAATCCCTTGGAGGGCCAACTAAAAAATTTCAAGAAATACATCACAGAATGCTAGTATATCTTGTGGAAGCTTGAAGTTCAAACTCACCTGTGTCAAAGAATATGTAACTCCTGGTATCCCAAAAAGCTCAGCTCTCTTAACAGCCTGTAGCAAATTAATCCATGAGCTGGAAAGCCAAAATAGAACGCACATGCAATGGACAATAAAAATGAGAGAAAACTGATGCCAGTTTCAATCTACCTCAGTATAAACCCACTGCATATGATCAGGGTCATCTGGATCAAAACTTTTACCACTATGAACCTGCCAGTCAGAGAGTCAGAGTCATATGATGGACAAGGAAAACCCAATATCAAGCATAACCACAATGATGATACAGAAGAAACATGGGCTAAAGGACCACCTCATCCCATTTGATCAGGTGAGCGTATTCTATACAATGAGCGGCAGTTCTTGGTGTTTCAGCAAGAGTACACAAGGGGAACTTCACTTGTGGGGGGAAAAGCCAAATGGTGCATTCAAAACATGGAGTTATTCCTGGTAGAATAACTCTTGCATGGCCCTTGAAACCTTCCGTTCCACCATCCACCAGTGGTTTCACGGTCTCCGGTACAGGGTTATCATCAGAATCATACTCTACATACAACATCCAACAACCAATGTAAGCCAAACTTTCAACGCGCCTGCTTTCTTATGGTAACAAGTTAACAGTTAAACCAAAAAAAGAAAAAAGAGAAGTAACATGTACTTAAAGAAAGTCAACCTGATATTAACTATGAAACATAGTACAACAAAAAAATCTCAACACTGTACGGGAGCCAAATTATGAAAAATAAAACCCATAAGATAAGGACTTTTAACCTGAGGCAAGGAATAAATATTTTAGAAGATGAACTTTTGTGTCCACTCCGTGAATAAAACTTGCAAACTCAGTTCCTTTTAATGTAGAGAAACATTTGTTGCTTGTATTATTAATCACACTAATTGGACTACATTCTTATAATAAAGAGTGTTTTTTCTTTACTTTTGTTATCAACTTATTTTATCTTATTTTTCAGTCCATTATCAATATGGACATCTAACACTTTATGAATGCTTAAGTACAATAGCCAATTCCCAATAGCAGTACAATAGTAACAAGACAGAAATGAATTAGGATGAATAAAGGAAACGCCTCATATTAAACTCCAGATTAAGACAATTAAACACATACGGAAAAGGAAATCCAACATATTTACTGAATGGCAGCTAAGGTGCATCTATGTCCACCATGATCAAACAAAATATCAATATGCAGAGAAGTCGAAAGAAGTATATCTACATGGAGTTGAATAACGTTTTTAACAACTAAAGTGGGCAGTAAAAATTCATTGCCAGGAAAGAAGTGAAAACAAACCTAAAAATCCACAAGCGACTGAGTTTATGAAGCTCCGGGCCTCAATTGAATCAAGACCAAGAACAATGATGCTAAAATCACTGTAGAACTCCATGGGTTTATCTTCAATCCGACAGAAATGGGGCGTGATATTCACCCCACTAATCCTTTCCATCACTCGCTTAGCTGCGACTTCAGCCTTTGGCTTCCCTACATCTTCGACCCTGCAACGGCACATGAAGCACTACTAAATAAACGAAAACTATAATTTAAAATACTAGACAACTAGTTTAAAGATGCCTTGCTTAAACAAAAAATCTAAAAGATCATTAGTTTTCCTTAGCAGATTACAGTTCAGTATTCAAAGTTTCCCATCAAATTCACAGCCCCCAATGCATTGCTAGATTATAAAAAGGACTAAAACCCCATGAAACTGGTAATCTCAAACTGCAAATGAACCTATGAATTCTACACGATATATTAAAAAGTGCACCATAACTTAACAACACAGTGAACAGTTAACCTAAAGAGAAATTGACGATTAAGATTGGTGACTTCAATCCTGTCCATGTCGATCACGTCCAGGTTTGAAAACCCTGACAAAGCCAAATCTTTCAACAGCTCGCAGCCCAAACCGCCTGCCCCAACCACCAAAACTTTGACATACTCCTTCAAATCATTAATCATCTGAACCAAAGTATTGCGAAAACGAATTAGAATTCAAAAACTCCACTAAACAAACCGATAATTCGAATGCACATAACATGTTCGTAAGATTGCCCGAAACGGAGAGCGTGACTTGAAAAATTACCTCCGACGAAGCTTCAAAGGTGGCCGCCACCAATGGACCCGGACGGTGGAACAGCTTCTCGAGATCCTTTGTTCGACTGGGCTGCGTCGCGGAGTTCGCCATTGTTGATCGATTGTGAGGAACTCTCTCAGAGAGATACAGCAAAACCAAGGAAGAAGAAGAAGAAGAAAAAAAAAGGCTTTGGGTTTACGCTACTTATAAGTGACTGTAAAATCGCAGGGGACAGAAACAAAAAGCGGCCAATTGGTCAAGAAAGCGGTGGCCGATTATTTTCTTTTACTATCAGGATTACTGTTTTATTTATATTTCCTCCGTCGCATAATTTATTTTGATTAAAAAAATAAAATAAACTATTCTTTTGACATTAAAATTTATTTACTTTACCGAAATAATTAAAAATTCAAATAGCAACACATAAAAAACAAATACTAGTGCTCAATGTTTGTGCTTATTGAAAATTTGTAATGAATCTACGTATTTGTGAGACTGGATGATTATTACTCCCTCCGGTCCTTAAAATAAAGTATTTTGATTTGTCATAAGTTTCACCTAGTACGCATTTTTAATTAGAAAAAAAAATCTTAAACATATATTTTCGCATTCATTGTGTTCTCTAGATTGTTAGGATATATTTTTAAAGTTTTTTCGTCTATTAAAAATGTGTACTAGGTGAAATCTAGGTCAAATCAAAATGTCTTATATTAAGGACCGGAGGGAGTATATTATTTTTAAAATATTCATAGAAACTAAATCAACTAACTTCTTTCTAGCAAAAAATTATACTCATTATTGTCCTGTTTGGATTTCAGTTTTAATACAAATTGAACTAAAAGTGAAAATCTAAACTAAATAATAATTTTAGGACGGAAAAAGTATTAATCAGGACTTACCTACGTGGCACACCTGATTTTGTGAATAAAAGTAGTCACAATTCGACATTAAATTAAATAAATTTGAAATTGTGACACGTGAATTATATGTCGTCATCGTACTCGGTTAATACATCTTTAATCGTAAATATAAATACTTCATGTCATTCCTAACTCTAATCAGATATCTCCATTTGAGTCTTCTTCCTTGAAATTGAAGAGATGATTACAGATCAAGAAAGGGAGAAATGGATGATGATTGATGGAATGGCTTCCAAGGATTTCATGAAGATGCAAATGAGGTCATAACGTTTCAGCATTCTGAATTCTGAATCAAGAAAAGTTCAAAAAATGCTGGTGGCACCAATAAAATTGCACAAGATTGATACAGAAGAATCAAAGGTTTATTAACAACTTGATCCTTTAACCTATACTAATGCCTTCCCTTCTAACCTGTACTTTTAGATGATCCAAAAAACCACAAAATGAGTACATTCTATTTCTATACCTTTTGTCCCCTATAAGGTTACCTTTCCCTGAAACCAGAAGAAGGTCAAGAGAATTCAGAGAGTTCTCGTCGTCCTCTTTGGTTTCTGTTCATTTGTACAGAAGAATTCCATCTCTTTTAGGCGCTTGGAAAATTAAACTGTTTCCAATTGCCAAAGAAATAATGTACACTGGCTAAAATTCATGTCTGTTGATTGTCGTAAGGTTACCGAGTTGTAGATTCTCACGTTTAAGGAGGACAGCGTAAAGCAGTTCATTCCAAGCATCTGGGACGCCAGGCAGACACCAATGGCTGCAGTCTTGCCGATTTACAGGAGCAGGGCCAACAACAGGACCTAAGTAATACAAAGATGAATGGCCATCTTTTCTCCTTGAAGTCATGTTGGTGACATTGAGCACTTCGACATCTGACTTATTTGAGTAAGCCAAGAAGACATTCCTGAAGATGTCATATTTGTCCCAGGTGTTGGACGGCACCAATGAAGATCCTAGCTCTGGAAGTGTTTCCAAGTGACAGTGTCCCCCATTGTTCCAGTCTCCACCCCTGCATCATGGATCAGAGTAATTAGTGTGATTAAAAGCAACTGCTGACCTTCGTGAGAATATAATTTTACAAACGAAAAAACAGGAGGAAACAATATTACTTATGTACCAAATGCAAAACTATTTTACATGCTTTGGAGACCATACTCACTTCAGTCCAATCCTTGGAGAAATATTTAAATTAAGATACAAGGACTATCACATACTATTTTTCTAGGCTAAGATAGAATGAAAAGGATCAGGTGAAAGTGTAAAAAGAATAAAACACTGGCAAGATTATCAGAAAATGAATTTGAGTTGCAAATGATGCATTCCAGGAAAAGGAAAAGCATGCTTGCAAATTCAGATATTAACACTACATGTTCTATTCCAGTAAGTATGTCATTGGCGAGGCTTCTCTGGATGTACCTGAAATGCACTGGAGCATATGTGCGGAAGAAAACTTGTGTTTTACTAGTATTCACTTCACGATGGATCCAGTTCAGAACAGTCTGCAATGACCTCTTATATGCAGCCTCCACTGTCATATTCATCTTTACTTCTGAACCTTCTTGGAAGTAACATCCCCTAAAAAAGATGTAACTAGGAAATTAGAAAGCCGCAATAAAGCATCCCCTTGAACAAAAGTATTCATCAATTGAATGATTTAGGGTTCACATTGATGAATCTCTACCCTGGTTATAGTGAGATGTATCCATTATTAACCTAACTAATCCAAGTGTTATGAGAAACCCATGAACTATCCTGGTATATATCTCTAACTAAAGGTGTATTATATGGAAAATGTGTCTGTACTGTGTTCACATAAAAAGACACTGCGTAGTTCCAGAAGGTTTTCTCTTCATTTCAAAATAAAACTTCATAACTCCCACACAAAAGAATAGGAGTATTGTTTAAGAGAAGTTAATCAAGAAGAAAATATCGGGGAAATATCAAGTTACCCTCTAGTTGTCTTCTCATTATTCCACCAGTGCCCTGTGTTGAAAACAATCAGATCAGCGTCTCTCCATTTCCAAGAACTCCAATCCATTTGGTCTAACTTCAATGTAGTTCTAACTTTTGATGCAACTCCACCAGGCGGTCTGCTCTGTAGAACCAGAAAGGGAGCCCTGTAGTACTCTACAGTGCAATTATAATCTTTAAACTTGAAGACCAAGAATCCTTTGTGTTTTGTAATGGGATTGCCATTTACTTCATAAATTGAATCCTTGTGGGGAACAACCGAAGAAAGCATACAAAGAAGCGACTCCCACTGGTTTCTTCCAATGGAATCTCCTGCAAATACCAGCCTTTTGTTCCGCAATTTTTCCAACATAATCTTGGCATCAAACCTGTATGTTTGAGGGGTAGAAGAGATCATTAACCAATACCTTTTTTCTTTTTTAAATAAAAAAGAAATCATATGATAGTGACAAACTACAGTAGCACTCCACACAACACTTTCCGGAAGTCCAATATTAGAACTGGAAACCAAAAAAATTCAGACAAATAATATAGAGGCACTTTTTCTAAACAGAGTCTATTCTTTCATTTTAACCATTGATTAGATAGTATGAATATGAATTTCAGGTAACCTTCAACCAACTTCTTCCCAAAAATTAAGACAGTTAGAAGAAAAGAGGTCATCCATAAAGCCTTTTAACATGCTTAAAACACAATTTATGTACAAAAAAGAACCTAATTCACTTGCCTTTCTCAAATTAAACAAGATCACAACTTTCACAATCAGAGCATCCACGAAAATCCACCTTTTTAAGTGGCGGAACAAGCAACAAAAAATTAAGTAAAAGGTCATTTTCTTCTCACTTTCACTTATCATGTCATATGTGGCCATTGTTAGCCATCAGTGAAAAACGGAGGAAAAGTCAAAGAAAATAAAAATCTCAATCAAGCATCAAGAAACCCGTGCTGCAATGTCCCTACAATCAATAATCATATTTTGGCCCCCAAAAGACAATTCAGCCTTCGCCAAAGACCAAAATTCTGCTCCAAACACACATAAGTACAGAACTCAAATCACACTGCAACATACATGGCATCAGAAAATCTAATACTCTTCAAATTCAACTAATTTACCAGGTTAAAAGCAATGAATTTCCATATGAAACGATGAAATTTTCAGCATAAATAAAGGACCTAAAAATGGAAATTACAGAATGATTTACCTGGGCAATTCACAGTCTTTCGGTTGCCACCGCCACTTTGTATAGAAGGAATCTGGCCTACCATTTTCAGAGCACCTGAATCCTTCATCTAATAAACTGCAATCTTTGGATTGATACAATGGATAAGAATCATCCCAAACCCAATCCCCTTCAAACACATTACATCTGCTACCCTCATCACTTAGGAAATCTATTTTCCTAATTCTCTTCTCAACACCAGGTTCGTCCAATTTCCACCGCAATGGCCTATCAGACTGTCCCAAAAATCTCGACCCTTTAATCACAGCTTTATAATCCAACAAAAAGAAACTAAAAATCACACAACCCGCAACTACAAGAAACCCCATAATCGCCAAAGAGGGCTCAAACAGCCGCAAGCACTTGATTTTCTTGAAAAAATCCATAAAGACCATCTCTTTGAAATTCTTGAGCAGAAGGGTCTAAGAAACATTTATAAAGCAGAGAAACTACAAGCACAAATCAGCAGAACCCATATGCTTATTTGGCACAAGGATGGACAGTTAAGTACAAGAGGACAAAACAGAGTGACAAACTGTGGGGTGCAAGCTAAGTTTCTCAAAACAACAGCAATAATCATGACCCAGTTCTCTCTGAATCATGGCTTTGTCTTAAGCTACTTTACTTATCAATGGAGCAAACAGAAATGGGTTGCTGCTAATCAAGCAAAAAACCAAGCAAAAAAAAATCCTTTCTTGCAGATTTGATTAATTGCCAAAAAAAGAAGACGAGGGGTACTGAGAAAGCAAGGTACTTTGTGCTACTACTCAATGGAAGAATTGGTAAAGGCAGGAGAAGGAAGTAAAGGAAAGGAAGAAGTTGGGTGGAGAGTGGAATGATGGGGGCAAAAAATGCCTAGGTGGGCAGTTCTGGAAAGTGGGGTGGAAGCAAAATTGCCAAACAGCAATGAGTATGGTAGAAATTCAAAATCTTGAACGAATCCAAAAATGCTATAAAAATGTCAACTTTAGCATATAATAAAGAAGGAAAAAGAAAAGAAAATGTGTAGAACTGTAGTGTGATTAATCAAAATAGTGGTTTTTGTCCATGGAAATTCTCCATTATCCCCAGCAGTTAACGAAGAACAAGGGGGAAAAGGTGAAAGTGTTATGCGGTTGATAAGACACGATCTAAATTCTAAATCAAGGTTTTTACAACTGTATTTCATCTTCAAACCAAAACAGAGAGAAAATTTTAAAGAGTCCAAGCGGTCCAACTGGCTTTTTTATATTTTTCCTAGAAGATAAATTGCGAGAAAACAAGTAGTAAATGGTTTTTCAATTTTTTCTTTTTTGGCAAATTTTAAGGCCAGAATAGCAAGCATAATAGCATCATATGGAGTGAAAACATTCTCTCCATTCCAGTGCAAGTTCTTTGTGTAACTTTTATAGAATCATTACATTAAGTTTTTTGCAATTTAGTATACCTTGATATATTGAGTTAAATGGACGAAACAAATTACTAGCATAAAGCGTTATATGAGATTAAGAAACACGTGTTATAATAGGATCATAAAGGGTTATATGGGATGAAGAAATATGTATTGTAATAAGGTTAGGTATCGAATATTATATTACTTATAACGAATATAAATGTGATATTCCTTTTCCTATCCTGATAATTTTGTTTGAAACTTTTTAAAATTGGTATTTTTGGGAGTTGAGAATGTAAAAATGTTACATTTAAAATGTGAAAATGGATAAAAAAGAGATGGAAGAATACCACTAGTGTGTGCAACCGAAGACACAGTGACTGAAAAAAACTGGTTTAAACTTTATGGTTCAATAAAATAATCCACCTACCATCATTATGTTAAACCAGTTACTCTAATTGGCATTTATTTATTGTGCTTATATCAGAATCAAAGTTAAATTTCATTCCTTTCTGAATGTATTGGCTTCTTTGTCTTACTTGCACACTCAATTTAACGCATAAAAAATTGGATTGAAAATTGTATTTTAGGACCATTCAATGGTTTTGATGACCAAAACCAACCATGTGAAATTGAACTCCTTGCAATGGATGACGGCTACTAAATTGGATCGAGGTACACAGATTTTAACCCTCCTTGGTCTTGTTATTCATTATTTCAAAAAAAATAATTGTAAAACTGAACTTACATTCAAAAACAGTAGTTTATTACTTTCTATGAACCACTTAAATAATCTCTATGCTGAATTAAAAATGCATATAGAAAAGATTGATTGCTTAAAGGGGACCAAAAAATGTGTATTTTTGGTGTTACAAAGGGAAACCGAGGGAGTGGATCGATCGGTTAATCTTGTGGTGAGTAGTGACCGAAAAGGAAAGGGCCTAAAACTGGCAAAACAACGAAGTGATGGTAACGGATAAATAGACTAGTGTCCCACCTCTCATTTACCATGGACCAAAATTAAAACTTTCAGAAGGAAAAAAAAGGAGGGGGAATAAGAATAATTCTCTTTATTTGTTATTTGATCTCGTCAGCATGTATATTGAATTTTAAATTTTTTATTATTTTTAGTACAAATCTCAAAACTTAATTATTATTTTTTTTTGACAGAGGTAGAACATTATTGTGGTTGTCAAAAAAAAATATTACATTTATCCCCCTCAAAAAAAAAAATAACCACCACATTATTTTTTTAGTTTCTATAATAAACCATAGTAGTTCTAATAACAATTGATAATATTTCAATAATCAATAATAATAATAGGGAGATCTCATGGGGACAAACTGAGATATCATCCTTGTAGTCGGCAGAAAATTGATTACTGTATTTGACTGGAACACAATTGTTGATCAATGGTGAACACTTGTCCATAAACTGCACTTTCCATATTGCCACAAAATAGAAAATAAAAAAAATAAACATAAACGTAGAGCATGCTGTATTTGACAAAATTAAAAACCTAGGCCAAAACCCAAAAGAAATTTAATAAAGTCGACCCTCTCTTAAACAGGGCAAAAGAATAATGTACTTTAAAAAAAGAAATGAATCCTTTCTCAATAAATGATGAGGTCTACCATCTTTAATTTGCATTTAATCCCCCCAATACCTGCTTGCATTATTCCGCTTATGGTACTCCCTCCATTCCAAAATAAGTGTCGTTTTAGCAAAATAGAGAAATTTCAAAATAAGTGTCGTTTTCGGATTTCAATGTATTTTTTGACAAAAATTTTCAAACATACCCTCAAAAGAAATAATATTATTGATGAATATTTATTTTAATGGAGTTAGTTGAGGATATTCTAATAATTTAGCTACCCTATTTAAGTGTGTCTTAAACTATGTGCAAACTCTAGAATGTCACTTATTTTGGAATGGAGGGAGTACAACACAAAAATGAATACTAGACGAATAGAGAAGTATACCTGTTGTATCCCACACTTTCTTGATGAAATGTGTAGTATAAGTTTGATTATGTAGCTGGATTAAATTAATGTTTTCGTGTGGGTTTACATTTTATTGTATTCATACTATCAAATAGTAGTAGTATGATGCAAACATAATTCAAATCAACGAAAAAAAATAACGTGTTCAGAAAAACAGTATTATCTGAAGAATTTCTATAAATCAAATTATCGTGTCAGAAATCATCAAGCTAGTCTCTAAGAGTGGATTATCCCTTTTACCCTATTAAAGCAAAATACATGATGTTGATGTGATAAATTTTTATTAAAAAATTTTGGCTCCAAATGCACCGTATTGCATTAACCATTTTGCCATGTGTCATCCCTTTTTAAAAGAAAAAAAAATTCTTACCCGGAGAAACAAAAACTACTTTACAAAAATAGTTACACAATTTTAACTCCTAACATTTATCATTTATCAATCAACTTAAAATAACGTTTAAATTTGCCCATAAATTTATCTCCTTTATTACTCCACATTTTCTTGTATGATTTCTGCATCTTGTACTTTTTAATATTTTTCTCTTTTGGCAGATGATTTTTTTATTTTTATTTTTATTTTTGGCTAAAAAAGAGAAAAAAACCAAATGTGTAACTATCTTATTTTTTTCAAATCAAGAATTCATTTATTTATTAATACAAAATTAAAGTAGAGGGCGCCCGGCATCATCAAAACTTATAGGAGTTGAGAACTTGAGATGAGTCTTTGAGCTTGCATGATTAATGTAGCATAGAAATGCATGAGATACATCCAATTAGGACGACAATTGGAACAAAAATGGTGGGGTGGAATGAGTAAAACTCACGTGCATTTTTGGTCTTGGAAGGATGTATACCTACTTCCTACGATTCCGGTCTCCCAATTCCACAATCCACACTCAATAATAATTCTATAATTTCCTAAGCATGATTTTATAAAGATAACTTATTTACATTGCAAATGTGACCTAATTCTACTATTACTACTCTTTGCTTCGTATATTTGATAGTATTATTCTCCGTGTAGTTTGAACTTTGAAGTATCCACTTATCCTCGCATAATCATCTTCATCATAGTGAAAATGACCAAAGAGGATTTCAAACTAATGGATCCATCAAGAATAACAGGACCATATTCATAATCATTGGTCAAAAAAAGACCAATTACTCATCATTGTTTGGTTCCTCATGTAAGAAAATAAAATAAAATAAAATGTTTCACCTCTTTTGCTTAACTACGACTAAGAAAGTATTCCTTCTCCTTTTTTTTTTCCTCCCTCCGTTTTCCGAGATTATTGTTCGGTTTGAGCGTTTTCTTTTTTAATTCAAATCGTACTACTCACAATAATTTTGGGACAGAGAGTGTACTTCTTTCCTTCTACTAGAATAGAGCATTATTTTCAGAGATATTTTGTTCAAAAAGGTAGAAATATCACTAAAGACCAAAATACATATGTACACGATGAATCTCTCAATCAAATTCTTCTTCATTCTGCTAACTAGGTCGTTTAAGGAATCACAGTATCACACATCAAATCAATAATCGAAACAGGCAAAGTAGGGAAAATATCTCAGACATAGGCACAAAGGGCAAATTATCTGGTACACCTGGGGCACCGTGTACTCCCCTGTGCATGTACTTTACTCTCTTAGAATAACATAAGCTCGCTAGATAATTCAACTTTCTTTTTTTTTTTTTTTTTAAACGTGGCATATATAAATTACCGAATTCATTCAAATTTTGAAAACTTTGTTGATAACCAGTGTGCACACTATGGATAACTAGTTAAACATAGCTGGATAACCAGTATGCACACTATGAATAACTAGTTAAATATAACTGGATAACCAGTGTGCACACTATGGATAACCAGTTACACACTATGGACAACCAGTGTTCACAATGTGGATAACAAGTATTGGCAATATGGATAATTAGTTATACACAGTTGGGTAACCAGTATTGACAATATGGATAATTAGTTATACACAATTGAACGTACCTTATTTCCATCATTTGGCAAACTGCCCCTCATTCATTTTTTGTTCTCCATCATTTGGCAAAATGCCCCTCATTCGGCAAAATGCCCCTCATTCTATTAAATACTATTTATGAAATTTGCCGTGTTCGGCAGGGGGGCGGCGCAGCCGCGGGCACCGGCGCAGCCGGGTCGTTTAATTTATCACGGGGGGATTTATACAAGTAATTTGTGTCCCCTCTTAACGCAATAACACACTTTCCTTACACACACACGAAAAAAGGATTACCTTAGCAAAATTGGCGTGTTCGGCGGGGCGGCGCAGCCGAGGCAGGTTGGTGACCTGCGAGTCCGGTAGTCGCGGGAGTCGTTTAATTTATCATGGGGGTGGAAGCCCCCTAATTAACATGTCGTTTGCTTCTTTACCTCTGGATAACCAGTTTACAATTTGTGGATAACCAGTTTACACCTTCTGGATAACCAGTTTACGCCTTGTGGATAACCAGTTTACAACTTATGGATAACCAGTTTACACCTTCTGGATAACCAGTTTATCCCTTATGGATAAATTATGGATAACCAGCAATTGTGTGTGTTTGTGCGTGAGGATGAAAACAGTAAAATGGATGAAAACAATTTTGTTTGTGCATTCAATGTAAAGGTGAAAAATGTTGAGCGCGTGTAGTGCGTGTTTGGTGGGGGTATACAGTATACCCGGGTGCACTGGATACGAACTCGGCACAAAGTTCATACGTTTTTCTTATCCTGCTAGCAGACTTGAAATGTGATTAATCATAATTTGACCAGTCACAAAGAAGCATAAACCAGAAACATTTCCTTAAAACAGATTTATGGGCTAATACAATCTTAAAAAAAAAAATGAAACAAGGGTTAAAAAGATTGCATCTTTGCAAATTCCCAAACAGCAAGCAGAGGGAAAATTTTTCTATGCAAGATTAAAATGGACAGGAATACTAAAACACTCAAAGAACTAGAATCAACAACCCAAATTATTACAAATTTCAAAGAAAATGGAAATGTAAAACCGTATTAAGCAGATAAAAGTGAAATACTATTGTCAGTTTGAGGGAATTGTTGCAGTTACATGTTTGATTGAAATATTGTAAAAGAAAATGAAAAGAAGCAAAACCATCACTTGATTTTTCAATCAGATGATTCTTCAGAGGCGTCCTTCGATTGTTGTTGTTGTTGTTGGATGAGGAGTTCACGCTGCTGTTGCTCCTTTTGTGCTCTTTCCAGAACAGGCCTGAATCCCAATTGCAGAGTTAAGTATCCAAATGCTAAAGCTCCCAATACAATAACCCCTGATCTCATAGCATTCATCTTCGCTCTTTCTCTCATTCTTCTGCAAAATTTCCCCCTTTTTTTTTTCTCTTACTCTTCCTTGATTGACCTTGAAGACAGAGGTTGAAGAATGAAGCCAGAGGGTTTTGGGCTATTTCTTTTTGGTACACATTAACTGGACTTTGAAAATGTCAATATTAAATTAAAGTCTCTATCTTTGGGCTACTTTTGGGCTTTTATCCTTGTCCAGGCTGCAATACCAATTGGTTAAATATTCCAAGTAGAAAAAGAATAGAATTTTCTGGGAAATGGAATTTTTTATAAGCTAATAAATATCAACAAAGGTGGAAACTTGGAATTGGAATTGCAATTTCAGTGGGTTAAAGGAGGTTTTTATATGGTGGGATATTCTACTGCTGCTGCTGCTGCGGTTTGTAGGAGGCAGAGCTTCGTTTTAAGGTGTCTTCTTGGTGGTTATAACAATTCTGGTCAGAACAATCATAATTTTTATCATTCAGGTTTTCAACTCAGAATGCAGTCAGCAGTGAGTGGTGGGAAGTCAATGGAAGCTGATTCTACGAGGATTCTGAGATCAATTACTCCGACTTTGGACCCATCTAGACATAAAGGCCAAGCTGGTAAATCAACCCTTTTGATCTTAATTCATGTTTTTTCCCGAAATTAAGCGAGCTTAGACATGCGTTTAATGGTGGTTTTTTTCTTCATGGCTATTGCTGTTGAACTACTTAGTATGGGTATAAGATGATGTGTTCTCAAATTCTTAGATTGTAAATCCGAAATGGCTTTGTTGTTTGATGGCCTACCTGTGGTAGAAGGAAATTCAGCTTAATAGTACTGGAAGAAAAGAATGATCTTTATTGTGTGTTTAGCTTGTAGTTATGAAGTTCCTTTGAATTGTGATATGGGAATCATTGTTATTTTGTTGGACTTCTGTAGCAATATTAAAAAGATAGAGCTCTCACTTCTAGTATGGTCCGAAACTGAAGTGTGAATTTACTTTATCAGCATCTATAAACTTGTTGTAAGAAGCCTTTTGGTGGTTAATGATGAACTGGCTTTTGTGTTCTTGTGCAACAGGAAAGATAGCTGTAATTGGTGGCTGTCGGGAATACACCGGAGCTCCTTATTTTTCTGCTATTTCAGCTTTAAAACTTGTGAGTCTTTTCTGTGAACATTTCAAGTTTCCTTGACATTTATACTTCCTCTTGTAATTACCTTACTTTCATGAGTATTCTAAAACTGTGTCCTAATCTAACTAGTTTAGGGTGCGGATTTGTCACACGTATTCTGCACTAAAGATGCTGCTCCTGTCATTAAGAGCTATAGTCCGGAGTTAATTGTGCATCCCATTCTAGAAGAATCATACAGCGTCAGGTGATTTCTTGACTGTTAACCTTTTTGTGCTGCCATAGTGCCACTTTAGGTTGTTGTTTTGATTTTGGAAAAAGTTGTTTGGCTTTCACTTAAGTTTTGGCAACTAACTTTCCAAGATTATATGTTCAGGGATGAGGATAAAAGATCAATATCCTCCAAAATTATTGAAGAGGTAGATAAGTGGATGGAGAGATTTGACTGTCTCGTAATTGGTCCTGGCCTTGGAAGGGACCCATTCCTGCTTGTGAGTAACTTTTAACCTTCTGGTGATATTGTTTGCTTTTGGTAAGTTCCTGAAATTTTCCGAGGTTGTACGAAGGTCAATACGTCTAGAAGGCATATGTGTTGTGAGTTACGTGGATAAATGCAAACCACATTGATGCTTGTTGCATATTGTATGTTAAAAGGCTGCCTATTAAGTTGTCAATACAATAGATTCCACTATCTGAATTTCTTAAACCAATGTGCTAGAATCAGATTAGCTCCAGGTTGTAATATATGATAAATGACCATCCGGCATTCCTGTGTGCATTGTCTGGCACCTTTTGTAAACATAAGGAAGTTTGTTTGTTCTTGACGACCACTTCAGTCCAGCTTTTAATATTTTCAGTCTTATTGCGTCTCAGATTAGTTTCTTTCTTCAATCTTCATTAGGAATTACTTAAAACATGTTTGTTCTTGTTGGGAGAAATTATTTTCTCATGCTCGAGCTCTGTTTCCAGGATTGTGTGAGTGACATAATGAAGCATGCAAAGCAGTCCAATGTACCAATGGTCATAGATGGGGTATGTACACTTCAAGCGTGGATATTTTGTTTCAATTGATGCAGCTTGTCAGTTGAGCATCTTTCCTCAAACCTAAGCCCTTGTGGTGGCTTTTTTTTCAGGATGGACTCTTTCTTGTCACAAATAGTCTGGACCTGGTTAAAGGTTATCCCTTGGCTGTCCTGACCCCAAATATTAACGAATATAAGCGACTGGTACAAAAGGTTCTAAGTTCTGAAGTAAATGATGAAGGAGCTAAGCAATTACTATCCCTTGCTAAAGGGTATGTTGTTTGTTGGCATTTTTTAGTGCTCAATTTTTTTGACTAACCACTTTATTGAATCCTTTACCTGTTTTGACCCCATGCCAAGAATCTGTACTTTTCATATTCAATTTGGGACCAGTACTAGCATGTTTTACTGCTTTGTTTGCTTGAATCAAATGATTTTACATTTTGTGTTAAAACAAGTTTCTAGATCTTTGTTGAAGAGGTATCAGGGAATGTTATCGCTGTTCTTCCTTTTTATCTTAACAATGTCCTACATACTGACTTGTTGAAATCATAAACGGCATTGATTGTTCCTTAGTTTCAATAGTATTTGAAATGCTGGCTGCTAGCTATACTGACCTGCGTATAGTTGCATTATCACTGTGGCTCTTGTGATTATACTCCTGTAATCTTTCCTTTATTTCTATTCAACCAATTTCTATGTGACCAAGTAAACCTTTCTGTGATCAGGATTGGTGTGACAATCTTACAGAAAGGAAAATCTGATTTTATCAGTGATGGTGAGACAGGTAATGTGTTTATTTTTTGTTATTTTGGTTTTTGGTCAGTTTGGCGGTTTAGATCTTGTTGCAATAATGCTTCGTTTGTTTGTTTTCTAGGGCATATATCTGATTACTACTCCAAAATCATAGCATGGTGTATTTTCTTAGTCATATCAGCACCGAATATGGAACTTGTTATTGTATCTGAATTAAAATCCACTTTTAGTCCTGCAGAACTCATTTCATTCTACTTGCGAAAGTTGTACTTACCAAATTAACTTTTCTGTAAGAACTTATCTAGCGAACTTTCATGTCATTTTAATTGATGACGTAAATGCCTGACATATTGCTGGTTCTCAATGCAGTTAGTGCAGTGAGCAGTTATGGTTCTCCTCGACGTTGTGGTGGTCAGGGAGATATACTTTCTGGAAGGTGAGTTGGTTTTTAAGTTATCTGTCTACACATGCCAGTTTATTGTCTTCTCATGGTGTCATATGTATTGTGTCTGATGTTTTGGTCTTACACTCGTGCATCTCCTGTACATGCATATGACAAATGATCTCATCAGGGCTGGTCTGATCTCTGGTTTGTAGCGCTTCTTTTATGCATCTCAAATGGCTAGAATGTGAATTCTTAACTGCATGATACAGTATCTTGATTTCATCATTTTTTTTCCCAGCAAATATCATACCCAAATCATTTGTTGTCAAAATTGTAATAATAGAAATGTTATTTTGCTTTTCTTGCCAGTGTCGCACTATTTCTATCATGGGCTCGTCAATCCACCTGTAAAGAAGAGCTGGGTTTGAATCCGACAGTCTTAGGCTGCATCGCTGCATCTGCAATATTGAGGAAGGCAGCTTCGCTTGCGTTCGAGGAAAAGAAGAGATCCACCCTTACAGGCGACATCATTGAATGCTTGGGGAGAAGGTGGGTGTTTTTTTTTTTTTTTTTTTTAATTAAAATACCCACAAAGTTAAATATTCAGAAGAAAACTGAACAATTTTTGTATTCACCCCCCTCTTGGTGTTCATCTTGATGCAGTTTGGAAGCAATATGCCCTGCCACTCCTTGAGGAATCGCTCGAAAGTAGGAAAAATTAATGTCAAACCAAACTCTGTACGGCTGCTAATAAAGTTTGGTCTTAGGAGGTAGGGATGTTCCTATGTTCTTTCTTATTTGGTGTTTTCGTGTCTGAGGTACCATTAAGCCAAGTTTGATGTAAAGTGAACGTAAATTTTGGTTACCTTTGTTCTAGATGTAGCCACTAAACTATGTTCTTCTTAATGCAAGGTTATTGAACTTCTGAGAAGGCACCATAAGTTTGTTTTTAAGGAACTCAATGTATGATGTTTCTCCTCAAATGCTTGCACTGTAAACTTAATATTTTCAACAATTGTGATGCTTGTCTCAATCCGGTGGGCATCATATTTGTTTTCAAGTTTCTTCAATTACAGAAAAATCACAAAGCTTAACAATATGTATTCATCAAGATGTGGAAGGAGCTAAACATCTCAAGGATACTACTATATTTTCTTCATAATAGTGGAAAATAGCCCAAGAGTACCAATCATTATGCTCAAACATTTTGGAGGAGATAGACTTATTTATATGCATCATAATCTGCTTGGTTTCTTTCTTGATCGGATCAAGAAGATAAATGGAAGCTGGAGAGCGACTACAAAGTAGCACCTTTCCATTGGGAAGAATTTCCTCGCGCAAAATAGTGGAACAGGACATCTGAGATGGCAGAACAAACGTTTCTTCATCACCCCACATCTTCATCCTGTTGCAGTGCCGCGAAATCATCCCCTAGTTCCCGTCAGGCGATACAGACATGACGGCCAACTGGGGCGAGATACTCAGCAGATATAACTTCTTGTAGTATGTTTTGGCAGGGGAATCCATAGGAACTTCTCACAAACAAGATCAAATACAATGAGGACCGGATTTGGCTGATACTTCATCCAGTAAAGAACTCTGTCTGAGTACCTACTGGATGAGAAGTTGCGCATAGTAGGAGGCGGGACGACATCTCTCCATTTCAAGTCCACCCCAATTGCGAGAATCTGGCACTTGCGGTGAAAATTGCCCCGCGAGAACTTATTGCCTCGGACTAACTTGTACAGTTTATTGACTGGATTAAAACCGAGGAAGCAACTAGTATAGTTTTCATTCTCGCATCCTGTTGTGGTAGGGAGTTCCAGGCTCTCACGAGTCGCAATGTTGTAAAGCCATGAATGGTTCCTACGGTGAAAACAAATCAGGCCGTCGACAATGTTGGTCGCAGCCTTCCACTCATTATCATTGCCAATGCTGCCTCGATCCGTGAAAGAGTAGTCCGAAACTCGGCATCTTATCAGGCCATCATCATCATCATTTTCCAGGGTGCGTGCAGAGGAAGAAAGATGTGATCTTGCAAAATTTAGATGAATTCGGGATATGAGCTCAAAGATCTCGGGAACCAGCACGGTTGTAGTGTTCGGTAAAGGATTTATTCGTGATCGTTGAATACCAAGTCGTGGAAACACAGTTGAAATCGCATCAGGGATTTAATCGGAAGCCGTCTCAGGATTTCGCAATGGAATTCGTCAGGGCGTACTCCTGGATCCCCCATAACAGAATGGCTATAAAAACTAGAAACTTCAAGAATCCAACAAAAGCAAATCAGGCCATAGACGATGTTTGAATATAGGTAGAAAGATGTCACCTTTGCTGAAGAAATATTTAGGGTTTCTATATGAAAGCATGAAACTAGACTGACATGATATCTAACAATTGAATACCAAATCAGGGAGAAACACTTGAATTGCATCAGGGATTTAACCGGAAATCCATTCAGAATTTACCAATGCAATATGTGAGGGAGTAACAACACTAAATCTACTACTAGAATCTAATATGAAATCCTCAAGAATCGAAATGCCTAAAATAAAACGAAACCAGGGAGGTCAGAATATTCTAGAGCTCATGATCTAAAAACAACGGCATCTGTATAAAGAAACATTTTGTAACTCAAAATTTGGATAAATAGATAGATTAAAAAAATCCTTTTTCTGAAGAGAACATTTTTTTTTTTTTTTTTTGCATTTATCATCTTGGTGTTCATTCTTTCTGCAATGTAGAAGTGCAATGTAGAAGAATAAGAGTGAATTGATCTCAAAACTTGTAGTAATAAATGTATATTCCGATCAAGACCTTGAAACTAAGGATCTCAAGGATATGATTTTTTCAAAAAAAAAAAAAAAGGATGTGATATTTTCATGGTAACAGAACCAACGAAATCTGTCCCACTGCCCATAATGTATTTCCCCAAATAAATTCAAACAAGTAAACGGAAGCTGGATTGAGACAAGCCATTAGCAATTTCCAAACGCCAAAGTGATCTACTAATGATTCCTTGAGGATTCCCTCGAAATTAGGACAAATCATGACAAAACCATACATTATAATGCCGCGGCTAAGAATTCAGCTATGTTTGTTTTGTTTTTTTAGTGTGTGTTTTTAGGTGTTTTTTCTATTGAAAATGTAAAAAGGTGTATTGAAAACGTAAAAAGGTATGCTGGGAGGAAGATGTTTCAGCATTCAGAAATCCCAAATCATAGGTAGACACTTCAGGCTGTAGCATAACAACTTGTATCACTTATTGATGGGATCAAAACCAAGAGAATAATTGTAGTCACAATCAGCATGCAATTCTGTGTCAGGAAGTTTTAGGCTTTCCCGGGTAGTAGCAATGTTGTACAACCATGAATGGTACTCGCCAATGATGAGTGGGTGCATTGTCAAGTATTGCGAAACTCGACAGCAAGTCTGGTCCTGGTCATCATCACTGAGGGTGAAAAGGTTGAAAGATGTCACCCTGTTGAAGGAAAATGTAGGTTTTCACGGTTGGCTTTCGTGGAGGATGGATCTATGATAATTGAATGCCAAGTAGTGGAGGCACTCGTAAAATCGCATCAGGGATTTAACTGGAAGCCATGTCAGGATTTCACTGTGCTATTCAAGTATTCAACCAGGAGTTTTATTGTATCCGCCATAACTTGTTACTGCTGAACACCCTTCTGATAAGAACTCTTTTGAGTTCGAGAAGCCAAACAGGAGGCTTTCCTGTATATTCAAGAGCTAATAGCTGGAGTTTTCAGGCAAGAAATTACTTCAGTCTAACTACCTCAAAATGAAACAGATAAAAGAGGATGCACGAAGGAATTACTCTAATCATCCAATCCTATAACCAGAAATGACTTCACGAAACTACAAGGAGCAACCAAAAAGTTATAGGTAACTGGAGTTTACAACTTTTAAGGTCAAGTAAAATGAAACATAATATGCCCTCTTAAAGTCTAACAGCATTCATATAAACTACTCATGATTAAAGCTCCATCTTTGCTCCATGTATGCCGCACTGGTATACAGACGGTACATTCACGCCAGGGATCCACTTAAGAATCGGAAGGAGGCTGCTGTTGAGGCCACATCTGCTGCGGCACAAAAGGGCGAGGTTGACCATAAAGAGCTTGATCCATTGGCTTACCCATGTACATGGATGAGGCACCAACTGGTGGAGCAGTCTGAGGCGGCATGTAGTAGTAAGGGACGCCCTCTGCAGGTCCTCCAACAGGCACAGTCCCTCGGGGAATCGAGGCTAGCATCTCCTCTTTCAAGTCTTCCCTTGGTACTATGTCAACCAGAAAGTCAAAGATGTCAGTCCTAGTGATGGCTGCAGCAATGTCATTTTTCTGAAGTGTCCTCCTCTTGTTCTCTTCAGTATGGTTCCATGCACGCAGGGTTAACTCAAGGATAAACATCTCACAAGCCCGAGCAAATATTACAGGTGCTTCAGCTGATATCATCCTGACATCTTCATCAGCTTTCATGATCTTCTTGATCCTAGCCAATGGCAGGCTATGATTCTTGAAATCAGTCACCTGCTCAATCTCTTGATACTGATTAGCCCAGAAGTTCTGGAGTTGTTGCTGCAATTGCTGTTGCTGCTGCTGGTGGATGTGCTGGTACGCAAGTTGATGTTGTGCCATCTGAGCTGAAGAGGCAGGAAGGGCTCCAGTCTGAGGAGTTTGAACTGCACCAGCAGACGCAGAAAGAGAAGGGCCCATCATTTGGTTAGTTTGGTATGGTGGTGCAACACTATATGGCACATGAGCAGAGCTACCTGGAAGTTGTCCGTTTCCTTGCTGATCCATTCTGGTCAAGCCTCAGTTGAAAGCTGTCGATGATCGGTTCCTGAATGCCACGATTAAAACTAGTTCAATGGATATTCATATTATATATATATATATATATATATATATATATATATATATAAATGACTAACATAAGAAAACTAACAAGCTAAAATTGGCATGTTGTCAGTACTTCTTGATCCAATATAAGCTATACACACAGAGTGGAGCTAAGCTATATTACATTCTCTCCAAAAGTACCGACACATCTATTCAGGACTACTTCTGATTCAATACTGCAATCACAACGTGACACGTAGAGGAGACCTTTAGACCATAAACAACCATCCAAGTCAAGTTATTTATATATTCTTTCACTATTTGATTCCTGAATGCCACGTGCCGAGCTCATTCCATACATATTCACAATAAAGAAGCAGACCAAACAGAAACTAACAAGCTAAATTTGGCCATATTTCTCATTCCTGCGGCCGATTGTAGTGCTACACATATAGGGGGAGTAAATTACTTTTCTATTTATAGTTGACACGTACAAGATGCAACAACTCAAGACTAATTATAATCCAACAATGCAATCACAATTGGGCACGTGTATGAGAGCCATTCAGATACCATAAGCTCAAGAGTCGTTACAATATCCTTTCCCCCATTTTCTCGGATAAAGTTTAACACGACAAAGTGCCATCTGAGTAAAGTAGCCACACAAAAGAATACACTTGGAAAAGCTTCAAATAGATATGCAAAGTATTTCATCCATAAAGCCATCTGAAAAATGAGCAAAACAAACATGCTAATTAACAAAAAATGAGCAAATAGATATACACTTGGAGAAAAATGAGCAAAACAAACATGCTAATTAACAAAAAAATTTATGCCAGTACTCTGGTGCGTTAAAAAACTTAAACCCTGAAACACAAAACACAAACTTAGAGATGAAACAGTCAGACAAAAGCAACTGAGCGACAAAGCCAGGTGTAGTGCCTCTCGCTGCAGCAACAAGTAGTTGAATTCAGGGGAAAAACATAACAAAACAAGAAGCAACACCCCGAACTCATACATACAACTAACTAAGCAAATCTCTTTCCACGAGCACCTTCACAGCATATGATAGGAAAAGAAGCACATAAAAGTACCCCTTTTCTCAATTTACCATACAGTCATTTAAGTTCAGATTTAAATTCAAAATGCATATATCTTGAGCAGCAAAAATCTCATAGGCCTCATTAAAAGCCACATAGCCAACATGGAAGTACCAGATTTCCAAACAATTCCAATAGAGGATATATAGGAGTAATTAAAACTCTAATTACTCAACAAACCAAACTAGGTAGCAATTTCAATAAACAAAACAAATAATCACAGCAAACAGACAAATGAAAGAAGCCCCAAAGAGCCAACACCGCTCAAGTATAGACCTTTTTACCAACCCAAACACAGCAACCGCCAATCATGCAAACACCGACCAAGTTTACACAAGGAAAACAAACTCAAAACAGGAAATTTCTCAAAAAGAAAACCCCTTGCACCGAATTCCACCGCTTTCTCAACTAAAGTTCATACAAAAATCCCAACTTTCAGAGATTCAGGACAAAGTTATCACCTTTCCAGTAAACTCCAATCCAAGCCGGTGATCAGATGCCCTGCAAAACACAGAAGCCAAAAGAACCCACAAAACCCAGTAACCAAATCACATCGAAATTCACGAAATCACCGAAAAAAAAATTTCAAAACACAAGAACACATAATTCAGTAAAAAAAGAGACATGCATCAACCCTTTTAACTGGAAAAAAAAAAGGTCTTTCTTCAAAGTTGCAGCAAGTAAAAGAAAAGCATCAAACCTTGGTATTGAAGAACAGAGAACAGAGAAGAGGGCAAGGGAATTGAATGAGAGTAAGTCGCCCAAAGTCCACCAAACTGCATGTGGTGTTGTCACTACTCACAAAATACGAAGGCAACAAAGTTATTTATATGTGGGATTAAAGTACTAATTGTTAGGTTTAATGATGGATTAATGGGTAGTGACTAATTTGTTTGGTTGGTTTTTTTTTTTTTTTTGAATTAATGTTTACAGGTGGATGGTGACTTGTGAGTTGGGTGTACGTGGAAGCTTGTCATGCCCTCACCATCAATTTATTTATTTATTTTACAAAAAAAAAAAAGAAGAAAAGTTTCATCATACTCAACTTTCAATAATTAATTTTGAATAAGAGAAAAAGGATGATTCACCAATACTTACAAAGGTTGTCTAGATGGAAAGACTTATCTACCCTGCATCCAAAAATCTACAAGATGGTTATTGTATTGTTTTTATCTCATTTTTATTTCTTAGGAATTAACGAAACTCTATTTTCATACGGTTTGCATATCACGCTTTTATTATTCTAAATCGATTTACATAACAATAACAGTAAATGAACCTTAAATCCAAAACAAGGATTCTTCTTCAGTTACTCATTGTATTTTGTCTCGTTGTTCCCATAACTCATAATTTTTCTGAAAGAAATATTGCTTAGGAAGTAAAAAAGAAAAACTTGCTTGATAATGTGTACTCAAAGTGACATTATACTTGAATTGCCAATATCCGAAGACGAAAGTAATTATATCCAATTGACATGAGTCTTGCCCGACTTATTCAATTGCAACATATATATATTAACTTCACCATTTTAAGTAATTTATACCCTCTTTATCTAAAAATAGAAATCTAAATCGAATAATTTTTTGAAAATGGATGAAATATCCCACACCCCAAAATTGAGTTTCTAGTCTAGAAATTAAGATTGAAAGTCTACATATTTTTTTGTTTAAAAAAAAAAGTAAATAAAGAAACAAAAATGGACCAATTCTAGGAACTTCCCGGTTAGGCATTAAAGTGATTATGGAGCTTAACAAAGAAGATTACATTTCTATCTGCAATTATGGATTAATTACGATGTGATGAGAAGCCTGCGTGGTCATGAGATGAACTTTTACCTAATTTCTTTCGATGAGTTCTAGTCCATTTAGAGCAACTAGGCAGGCTAAGCTGATATTGGGCCAAATCAAAGTCAGGGAAGCCCAAAGTTTGGCCTTCAGTGATCCACTCAAGTGTGCATAAGCCCATTCAGCTCATTTTCTTCTTTTGCATACGTTTTTCGTATCCTTTGTTACGTGCTTGTGTTGTCCTTGTGAATCCAGGTTGCAGTTGAATTATTCTCTTACGACTTGCGCTCTTTTTTTCTTTTTTTATTATTATTACAACAAGAGAGACTAAACGCCTAAATCATGCTAATACGTTTCTTAGGTAACTCACCCTCATTAAATCATGATATAATTACGGCTTATCTCCTGTTCGACTTACATTCTTCTTTAATTACAAGACTCGGGCGTATTGGTTGAACATACGACAGTTTGAGAGTCCCTCTTAATTGGATTATGCTAGCTGAGTTATTCAAGTTCAAGGGACCAAATTAAGCTTATCTTCAACATTATGAAAGTTAGATTTATGTCCAAGTTAAGATATAAACAAATGTGGTAAAGGAAAACCCTAAAGTGAGGTTAAGAAACCTCGTCTTACTAGCCTCTTAAGACTTACTAATCAACTTTTGGGTTGCGCGTAAGATTTCATTAGTACTTTATCAAGAAAAGTGTAAGTTGATGTAATTTGATTACACACTTTTTCTTCAAGGACGAATGAAGTTGTTTACAATTTTCCCATTAACATGATGTAAAAATGTAAAATGAAAACAACATGCAACATCTTTTTTCATTGATAGGTCATCGGCATTACAAATTGGAATTCCTTTCCTTGTATTGTTTTCCATGGCTGAGATCATGAGAATACAACAAATTATCCTTTCTCCATTCGATTTTTTTTTCACTCTCATACAGAGTATTATTTCCAGTTGAGAGTTGTTGTAGTCCCGATCCTTTATTTATCTATTGAATGATATACTGTATCCCTTTCTTTTACTATTTGTTCATACAACCTCAAAATATAATTGAGAAGGGATCGCCATTTTACAGTTACTATGGCATATACAATTCTCTTATTAGAAAGATAAAATTATTGAGTACAACTAATACTACAGGGAGTAAAGATAGAGTACTTTTGCGCGAATGAAAAAACAAGTTTTTTAGCGATTGCTTAGTAAAAGAGGCACTTAATGTGACGTCCCCAAAATTAGCACCAATCAGTTTCACCTTGACTAAAGAGCTTTAGGAAATATTTGCCCAGCTCACGTCATGTCTCACACTATATTTACTAAATATATAAATAAATTACACTTCAAAATGATTAAATTAAATCCTAGTAACATAATCAAGATTTAAAACTAAAGCCTGAATAGAATTCTATTTTCAGTTTCCTTACTATAACATGGTGACTATTATAATCAGTGAAACTTCTCACCGTATCACTTTCCAGCAAAACTTGTAAAAGAATAATCCTAAAGGGGTGAGATAAGTCCAATGAGGTCTCCAAAGTTTAAAAAAAACATTTTCATGCAGTATACGGGGAATCACATGCACGCAAGCAATCAACAAGGAAATTAAATTATGCGCAACCACAAATAAATTTTTAGGCAATAATAACGACTTCACGCGAAGACCACAAACAAGTCGAGACTTAGCCAGACCACACAGCAAGCTATAGTCTTCCTAAACGATGATTTAGCCAGACTACACAGCAAGCTATAATCCACAACTAATGGACTTAGTCAGACCACACAGCAAGCTAAAGTCCATATAACACTAAGCACAGACTTGGCCAGACCACACAACAATCCATAGTCCAAATATCACTAAGCACAAGTTGAGCCAGTCCACACAGCAGACTTAAACTTATATAACACTAAGTCGGGATTTAGTCAGACCACACAACATGCTATAACCCCATATATATTATATATATAATACATAATCACACAGTCATAAAGCCATGGACCAAAGTCCCATATATCACACGCACACAATCACTCGGATCGCAACAAAAGCACACAAGCACACCCACATGCTAATCCACACACAAATTATATAAAAAAAATAACATTTGAAATTAAAGACAAGAAATAAATATTTAAAAATCGAGAAGAAGAGTCACCTGGCATGTCTTTCCCGTGATCTCTAACAGTCACAACTTAACTATCATAAGTTCGACTAGCTCTTGATTTATTTATTTGGGAATTTCGATGAGTTCCTTAACAAGGATTCTCTGCTGCGTTGTTACTTCAATTTTACTATTGGTTACTCCTATTTTGCTGTAGAATGCTTCCTCCCTCGACTTATTCTATGGTAAGGCCATAAGTAAATGGAGTTTCTTTTGATTGTTTAATCTTCCGGAAAAATGAATGAAGTGAACCTTTAATTGTGGGAACTAATTTAGAGTGGAGATGGATAATTGATGGTGGACAAAATGGCAAAGATGGAGCTCGATGGTGTTTTTGTGATGAGAAAAAGAATAAAAGGAAGGATGAATACGGCTGAGAAGAAAATGAAGGAATGGAGATGAATTGTTAATTTGATTAAGTGAAAAAAGGACTAAAGAAAAGGGGCATGGTCAAAATAAAATAACGAAGAGAAAGGGTGGGAATGTGGAATGGATAATGCAGACACTTTCTAGTCTTCTCTTTTTTGTTCTAATTAAATTAAAAACTAGTATTAGTTACTAAAAGATAAGTTATCCCTTTTTACCTTATTAAAGCAGAAAATAAGATGCTGATGTAACAATTTCTTATTAAAAGGTTTTGGCTCCAAATGCACCATATTGCAAAGCCATTCTGCCACGTGTCACCTCCTTTTAAAAACAAAAAATATATTTACAATATTAACGAAGAGATCAGATGGCCATATTCATTCAAATTTTGAATTTGACAGTGAATGGAACTTTCCTTCTCCACTTATTTAAGACTTTCTAAAAAATTAATTTTCGATCAATCAATTATCTTCATCAAAAACTAAATTCATTCCTAATCAATTTTGATTATTTACATATTACTTTATTAGGTGAGAGGACGCCCCGGGCATTTGCCTGGAACAAGCATCTAGTTTCTTCTTTATTTTCAATAGATAATGATTAAAAAAATTTTACTTAAAAAAAAATAAACTAACCTAACTATTCACGAACTATATACCCTAATCAGATGACTGCTTATTTTGGTTTTGGTAGGTTAATAAAACTAAGTGAGTTTTAGCAAAGAATAAAAAGAAATAATAGTAGACGTTTTCAATTACTTAAAATCTATTCTTCCTAATGTTTTAATAGTCTAAATATTTTACTAAAGTTATATTTTATGTTCCTCAATGGCCAAATATAAATAAATTTGGAAACAAAAATATTAATGTATACATAACTACGCTAATACTAGCTAAACAAAGAGGTCTCAATTTTTGGGACCTCACACTTAGTCTAGAAAGGGGTGTAATTTTTTTTTTTTAATGTAACTCGGTCATGTATCTATCTACTTGTGAAGAATAAATTTGTGAGAACTAGACATATGCACTAAAAGATATTGTTTATGTCCTAAAATTATTATCCAGTTTTAGATTTCACTTTTAATACATTTTCAACTGAAAATGAAAACTCAAATTGGACAATAATTACGGAACGGAGGGAGTATAACTTAGTGTAGTGTTTCATCATTCATTAACCAAAAAAAAAAAAAGAAGAAGAAGAAGAAAGCAAGCTTTTTATTATTACTCACAGGACAGAACAAGTAAACTGTACAAAATATGAAACAAGGCTACAAAGAGTAATGAAAGGCAAGGAACAAACAACAATAGTCCCCTAATTAAACACCACATTTTTTGGCATCACATCCATCCTCTTTTCATTTCATTCAAGAAACATCTAAGCTTTAGCTACCAAGAGAGCAAAGAAGAAGAAACACACTCCACTAATAATTTACTCATTATTTCCTTTTTCCCAAAACTCCAACCCAGAAGAAGTCCTTTTCCCCACCTTCTCCTCTTTCTTTCACTTTGTGGCTGCAAGAACTGTTGGTCCTTCCACCTGAGTAGAAATATCATCAAAGAAAAGTCGACAACAAACACGAATTTAGGGAAAATTTTGGATCGAAAATGCAATTTTCCATGGCTAAAATTGAATTAAACCCCACATGTAACAATCATCTTTTGACCTTTGCATTCCACTATATCAGGAACAAGTTTTTCCCCCACTGAAATTTTATCGTTTTGTTTTGATTACAAGGATGATTTAGACCTCCACCATATGGGTTTTGATTTTTGATGATGACATATACATAGTTTTTAAAAAAGTAAATTAAATTAATTACCATGAATTTGGCTCCCCATATTTCTTCCTCTCTTGCAGGAACAGCAGTAATCTTGTTCTTAGGATTCTCGTAGCTTCTCAGCTGACCATAAGCTGTGGAGAAGAAGCATCCTGAACCAACCAAAACAAAAGTATGACAATTTTGTAGTAAGTTTCTAGATTATCAATATCAACAACATAAATCTAGTCATATTTAGTCCCCCGCAAGACGAAAAGAGTAGAAATTCCATCCAACTAATACATATAAGACGATGTTATTTTAGTCACACGCGTTTATTTAACTATAAGAAGATAGGGAATATTATTTCAACAGATCGAACCATTCATGCATGAACACTAGTTGTAATAAAATGATATCGTTTCACTGGTGTGACATTATCAAATGGTTTTATACCTTGTGGGAAAGATGCAAGAGATTTGCCACAAGCACCCTTAAGCAAGTCAGCATCATCAGCAAATGCCACACATCCATCAGCAGTGATTCCCCAATATAGAGGAACCTTAGCCAATTGGTCCTGTCATTACCAAACCCCATTGTTTATTAGATAAGTATAAAACAAATATTCCACAAATGTTAGGTAAGAAAACTAATCGAATTTGAAACTAATAAGAGATTAAGATTACTCACAGTAGCCACAAATAAGGTGGAAGTAGATTTGTCAAAGACAATGAATGCGAAATTGCCTTCAAGATGGCCAACCATATGGTTTGGAGGATAAGGTGCCCTATCACGAAGTGCTTTGTAAGCCTCAATCATCAAGACTACCTCATTTGCTGACTTTGATAGCCCATATTGTTGCTTCAAACTCCCTAAATTGTCCAGTGCTCCTTCAAACAAGCAGAATATATCGTCCTTCACCGCAAATGATCTGCAAATATTTACACCAATAAAAAAATGTCAACTTTTTCTTTCACTAAATGAGGAAATTGTAGCTAAAATAAAGGTTAGAAGAGGGGCTTGAATTAGGTGAACAAAATTGCTCCTCCAATAGATTGAAATTGAGCCCTTTTTTTGTTTATGCTTAAGCTAATGGAAGCTAGAAGTCATTAGTCTTCACCAAACTTTGAAGAAAGTTACACATTACTTCAACAAGCAATTCTTGCTTCTCATCATACCAACACTTTCCTAATTTCACTGAAGTACTTCTTTCGTCCCCAAAAAAAAAAATATGCTCCTTGATCCCAAAGTATTGTCCATTCTGAATTTTTATTCTTAGTACAATTTGAACTAAAAATAAAAATTCATGTTGGATAATAATTTTGGGAGAAAAAGAGTATTACACGATTTGTAAATCGGTTTCAATGTCCCTATCAACACACCCCATCGATCACATCAAACAATGATCCCCTACATAAAAACTGATTCAAATAGATAAAAAAAAAAAAACTGAATCCAGATTATAAAATAAAACTGGAATTATTATTATTATTATTAGTAGTAACGGGATGAACCAAAAATAAATAAATAAATAAAACACTAAATTAAAAAAATAATTTCCAAAGCATTATCTCCCAAACAGAGGAGTTTGGGAATTTTTTAACTGTTCGAGATAAAAAAAATACTGGATTCCCCCCTAACGTGGGATTCCGATTCCAGAGGTTGCCAAGTGGGCGGGTGGGCCCACATGGTTAAAAGATAAGATGTAGCTGTCAACCAATGGTAAACGTGGCAGTCAAGTGCAAGCCATTATGTAGTCAAATTAATTACGTCATTAATGTTGACGATGCAACTTAAGATAGTAAAAACGAGTATAGGACAAATTTTCACATTTTATTTATGGTTATTTTTTCAATAAATATTACCGTGATATTGTTTTTGTGGGTTTTTTCGTACCGTAGGATCCTATATATGATTAACACGTGTACGGATGGTGATAGAATGATGGGGGGAATCAGCGGTCAGCGTTACGTGTGAAGCATGCAAGCTAAACAGGACCGTTGGATCACGATTCTCTTGTTTGCACTTTGCAGGCCATTTCTTATATGGGAAATATCATCAATATTATAAACCAAAAACAAAAACAAAAAAAAAAAGAAATATCATCAATATTTCATTCATGAAAATCTTAAAAATTCCTTAAAAAAATCATTTTCTTTTATCATAACACTTTTTTTTTAAAAAAAAAAAAAGAGGAAAAAAGCATATTTATGTGATCTCTACTGATTGAATCACCTTTGGAGAAAGCAGAAATAATGATGCCTTTTTCCACAGTCCAAATTAACCCGGTAGTCCATTTCGGAGGCAAAAATCGGAAAAGAAGTCTACAAGTAACAGTTTTACTTTTATCTAACCTATTCCAGTTTTTTTTTTTTTTTTTTTGTAGTAGAACTTATTAATTACCGGCTGGCGGTAAAATCTCAAATTGAATAAATTAATTCAGAGAAACAATTAAAAACACGCATCCCCATATAAAAACCATCAAAAACATACAAAATGATCTTTTACGTTTTGTAAATGGATTATTACTTCGTAATTATCAACGATTTACCACCGTAAAATCCACATCCATATACATTAGGCGTAATAATGATCAAACGGTAACAAGGTTAGTTCTTGATCATCATGATCATATATGATCATTCATCATCAGAATTCATCACCGTTTTGATGAACGGTCCAGATCATTCTTTAGTCGTCAAAAGACTTCTCAATTGTTTTTAACTTGTAGTTACTGTAGTAGCAATTAAATTGGGTAAAATTAATTTGATGATCGATTAATTTTAATTTAAATTTACCTGGGCTGTAAAGGAGACTCGTTAGCGTGAGTATAAGCTAGTTGGGCATGATCGCCGATCTGAAGCGACACCGCCGACGGATTGTTCTGCAAGAATCGGTTCACCAGAGCATCCGCCGTGATCTTCGGCGACGGTGTCCTGCTTCCGGCGGCCACCAGCTCATCCGGCGGCGACACTATTGCACTGCTAAACACTCCCAACATCTTCGCCAACGATTTTAAAGAGAAAAGAGAAAATTATATACCCCCAAAGTTTCTCTCTCTAAAAACTCAGAAAAAACACACAGAAATGAAAAAAATTGAATTTTCTCTCTCTAGAAATGAGAAGGATTGGACATGGAATGCGGGTGGAACTGCAAAGGTGGAAGCTTCTTTATATACAGGAAACGAAAATGGCGTGGAGGATATTTTTGTAATTACGTAATGATTACTATAATTATTTTTTTTGTATTTTTTGGAGTTTTTAATTTACAACTCCTATTTAAAAGAGAAGATTGAGGAAATATCCAATGGGGTGAGAAAGCAGCATGTGAAGTGGGGTCAGGTGATGGGCGGCGATGATTCCCGTGTGCTCGGATTGCGTTGGTGGGACCCACTGTGGAGTTATTGGTAAGAATATTTTTGGAGTTGACACTAACAAATTTGTAAAATGTTTCAAAAATAAATACTAAATAAAAAATAAAAGAGGAAAAGACCAAAAGAGGGGAAAATTATGGAGAGTAGGGAAGATTATAACGATGTGATTGAGAATGTGACTGTGCCACGTCAATCTTTGATTTTTTATTTTTTGGTCCTTTTTTTGGGATCTGATTTTCCAATCATTTGCTCCAAGTATTTTGTGTGAGAGTAAAAAAATCTCTCCTTTTTTTGAATAAAAAAAGTTGTCCCAAATGATATTGAAGTTTTTTTTTGAAAAAAAAAGAAAAAATTATTCCAAGGAAGAGGGTGAATATTGAAAAATAGGAAAACATATGGATCGATAGTTCGATATCGTCTTGGTTCAATTAATCATGAAATAATTAGGGTTTTAGTTTTATTTATTTATTATAGTTTCTATAATGACATATATATATATATATGTATATACATACATATATATATTTTGCCAGAACTCGTAAAAAGATTTAAAATACTCCTCAATTAAAACACTTGTGTAGCGTATTTTTTTAGTCGAGAACATGCAATTCGTATGCTCTTTTTTTTTTCAAGTTGATGTAGTACTATCTCCAATCACAAATAGATGTCGTTGGAGAGATTTCACAAAATGTAAGAAGACAATAATTATCTTATTAAAATACTATAATATTCTCATTTACTCTTAATACAATTGTAGTTCCAATAACATTTAGTTCTAATACAATTCTACATTAAACATCATTATAGTTTCTAATGTAAGAGTAGTATTGGAAAAATTTAATAAAAGTTGCCTCGATACGTGAAAACGACATCTATTTTAGAATATTTGGTTTTTCTTCCAACAATATCTATTTGTAAATGGAGGGAATAGTTCCTTTCCAGTAAGCATCTGAAAAAATAAAAGAATGAAGAAAAAAGTTGGAGTGAATTAATCAATGATACGAAGTAACAAGATAATCGTAATTAACTTTGCAAAAGAAAAAAGAAAGATAATCGCAATATACTTTAAAGATTCAACCCTAATATAAGCGTGATGACTTATTTCATTTCAAACTTATACTACTATGCATGCATAAAAAGTCTCTAGTATTCCGTAATTATTTATTTCCCGATCACAAAAGTCAATGACTCATAATCTAGAGGGGATACATACATTATTGACATATATAAAAAAATATTTACCCGAGATACGATTGTAATTTTGGGACAAACGAAATATTTATTACTTGAACGTGACTTTTCACAATGCACTTGTAAAATTGGATTCGTCCATCAAAACCTAAGACTTCCATGTTGTGGGAATTTGGTTCCCAATATGACCACTTTACTGCCACACAGTAATAACACGTCGAAAATTCTAACCTTACCTGAAGGAAGCACCTTCGAGATTGGATTTGGACTAACAGAAATTTCGCATCCAAATAAAAACGGACAAATGAACTGTGTTCGATTCAAAAGTTGTCTTGATGTGATACATAAAATAAAATAGTTCAGTTTTTATAGAAATTGGACTTACGAACTCCTTTGTTTGGTGTTTTTGCGGGTTTTTCCAGAAGTTTTATATTAATAAATGTCACATTCTAATTTTTTTTTTAAATTTGTAATACACATTTTATATTTTTAATAAAAAAATATATAAAAAGACACACTAAAAGAACGATCTAAACTTTCATTCATTCTTGTTTGATCTCGTTACATGTAAGATATACGACAAGTATTCTTTCTTTTTCTTTATATATTAATATTATGATCCATGTTTGAAGCGATTTCTCTGGTTATTTAGATTTCGAGCTGAATAGATTTATCGAAAAATAAAATTTCTCAAATGAACGTTTTAATCATTATTTTGCATGTTTATGCAACCGTGATCAAATTCTTGTTATCATAATTAAATTGGCCCGATATATTATGGAGTTGATAATCATTTCCCCCCTTTTTTGTTGTTCCGGTACAAACTACAAACTCATCATCTAACCTCTTTATTCTTTCTGTCTTCCACAACTAAAAGATCCATCGTCAACTAGAAAATTATTCCTAACATTCGACTGATTCCACAATTGTGCATGAATCTCTTGGCCTTAAGTTGCCCGGAAAAGAAAAATAAGTTCGAATAATGACAAGTTGTTCCAATATTTTAGATTCTGAAACTGTGGATTGTGATCTAATCTATGTGCTTGTTTAGTACGTTAGTTTGATAGCATCATACGTAATTTATTTGCTAATTGCTTTCTTCATCACAATATTAAATTCAATATTTTCTGTCGAACGGCCCGCGGTCTAGGAAGGAAGGAACAGTTTTTATTGAGCTAGAAATAATAATTTAATTAACACTGGATTTGCTTATAAATTAGTGGCAATCCGAGTCACTTCTGTACTAAAGCAGCCAAATAATTCCTGTTTTTTAAATTGATCAAAATGTGACATTTGAGGCCAACATACAATTAACATCATAAAATTTTGAAAATTTGATGCCAAGTTGCGTAAAGTGCTGGCCAGTAACGTTCACATATTGAACAAGAATTAAAATAATAACATTTCCCTATTTAAAATCGATTATATCGTCAATACTTTTATCGTATATGATTATATTCATTCTGTACCGAAATAAAAGTTCCGGCCTAAAAAATTAAAGACTTAGTAAATTAATATAGAAAATCGAAATAGGGTAATATGTATTTACTATAATAATTTTTAGATGATATATATTTCTATTTAAATTCAAACAAAATTATATGTTTTCTTCTCAACAGTGGGAGGGGAATAATAGTGAATAAAGAAACTACAATACCCTTTATTTGCAAGAAAAAAAGAGAGACTAGAAGGAGCAATGATGGTGTCGGTTTATTGATGGAATTGATCAATTTTTTGAAATAAATTTATAAACAAGTTGGTCATGATTTGAAAGAAAGAAGATTGAAAAACTAAATCATAAAACCACAATATATTACCCAAATTATTCTTACAGGCCCCTATTAAAAATTAGTTAAAAGTTACCTCGCTACAACATTTTTTGTTCTTCTGACCTGGATGATCTACAACACAAGTAACAAGTTGAGTAAACCTTATAAATGAGAAGAAGAAACCTGTGATTTACTTAAAGCATACTATTACGTAAATTAATTGTTCTGTCATCTCAAATTTAATTACATATCGCTTTCTTCTACCACAACTAGAAATTAATGTCTTCATTCCGACATATCCGATTTGAGAAGGTTATCGGATCATTGGACGGCATGAGTCTTGTCAAAGTTGCAATAATGTTTATGTTTTCACCGTGTGACTGAGATATAATCCAACTCTATATTCATGAGAAGATTTTTTTTTAAAAAAATTATCTGTTTAACCAAATTGTCATCAATCAATGACTCCTTCATTTCCAAAATTATTGTCCAGTTTGAATTTTTTCTTTTAGTTTAGTTAATGTTAAAAATGAAACTTAAATTGGACAATAATTTCGGGACGGAAATAGTATAAAAGATCAAAGAATACCCAGTTATGCAAAAAAGAAAAATAGTCGTTATATTATTTTAGTTTAAGAAACACGATCTTAAAAAGTCATAACAATAAAAGATTGAAGGGGCAAAAAAAAAAAAAAAAAGAATAGGGTGGATTAGGTTTTGATTGAGTGAACTGTAAACATCAGAACGTAAGATTGAAGGTAAAAACGAAATAAAACAAGTCAGTCGAGATGGCGACTGCCCATAGTAATCGAACAAGTTGTGAATTTTTCTTTCTAGTAAATTAATTAAATCAGGATCACAATTATGATCCATTAATTAATTAACTAATTAGGGAGTAAGAATCTGGAGAATCATTCATCTGCGAGGATGGAATCTTTTGAAAAATGGTATCTTTTTTTGTACAAGTCATACCAACATCCTCTGAGCCAACAATCAGTTTTTAAAATTCAACTATAACTACTCTACTCTGACTTCTTCATCTTCCTTCATATATATCTTCTTTTTTTATAGTTGCAGAGGATTTCGTGTCTTTGATGACTTGAAAGAGATGGAGATGTTCAAACAAAAGTTATTTTCGTGTAGAATGAATCAACCGGAAAAGAACGGTAAAAAGGGTAAAGGAACAAAAACAAAAACTTGCAGTACAAAAAAATGTCATGTTTGTTAAATTAAAACTATATTAAAAAAAATAACAAAACTGTTATCTAATATGAAAAAACAAAGGATTTATTATTATTATTATTATTATTTTGGAGGAAATACATAAATGGTACTCCCAGTTTCTAATAAGGCAGTAAGCCAACCCATTGGATGATCTAGTAGGATGTGTGGGAAGTGATGTGATCAGATATCTTTAATTACTTTGTACTCCCTCTGTCCCATAATTATTGTTCAGTTTGAATTTTTATTTTTAGTTCAATTTGTACTAGAAGTAAAAACCTAAACTGAACAATAATTTTGGGACGAAGGGAATATTATTTAATATAGGGAACACTTTTTTATTGGTATTACAAACCGAATTTCATAAGTCATTTGTCCGAAACGTTGATACGGTTCTAATTTGGTAAGTTTTTTTGTCTCTTAATAAATATTTTGATCACTATTATTATATGTTTATGCTTAAATGAACTTGCGTCATCATTAACACGATCCAATATTTCAGCACTCAAATCCAATACCATCAGTCACACATTATCCGCGACATCGAAATTCAAACGCTTAATCTTGGATGAGCGGCTACTTTTCAACCTCAGTCACTGGTTGAAATACCATACGTGTTTCAGATTTTGAACAGATTTTGAAAGTTTAAAATCTATTTAAAAAAAAAAAGAAAAAAAAGATTCAAAAAAACAGCAAAATATATTTTGTTGCAAATACTATAAAAGAAATAGAACAAAGAAAATTATAAAATTGAATTAAAATCCCATGTGATAAAATTTAAAGAAGAAAACACAATGAAAAAGAAAAACGGAAGACAAATAAATATTACAGAAAAATTTCAAAGGAAATGCTATTTCTTAACGCATAGTGTTTTAACCACGTAAGATTTGGACTTATTATGACGTTAGGCGTAGTTGATTCGAGGAAAATGATATTTACTGTCGTGAATTAATAATTGGTCCATCAAACTTTCTTAAGGATTCCAGAATCTCAACATGCAATTTAAAAAGAAGAAAAAGACATAATATTATGTTCGTAAGATGTGTTGTAGGAGACACTTTACCTCAATGATAATTTATATAGGAAAAAAAAAAAAACTCGCATGTCATTGTTTCTACACCTTCGTCCTATAATTATTGTCCAGTTTGAGTTTTCATTTTTAGTTCAAATTGTACTAAAAGTGAAATCTCGAATTGAACCATAATTTTGAGACAGAGGGAGTATTTTTTTTTTCCCCATTATTATACGGCACAATGATTGATACGATTAAACTTTTTTCAAGCACGATATAAAAATATGGGAAAAAGTACCTATCATTTTGGTGTAAAATTGAATTGCAGTTGTCATCCTCATCAAACTTTCAAAATCATGTCAATGTCAATTTAGAAAGTTATGCAATATGAATATATCCATTACCAATGGACTAAAGTGGTTTTCCTTTTTTGTAATTTATTGCCTTCAACAGTTTTCTTTGAAATGGATTGGCTTCTTCAATGTCATCAGTGCACAGATTTGTTCAAAGGCAAAGTAAACAATGTGGTAAATCAAACTTTTAAATTAGCTATAAATATATTGGACTTTTCCATTATCATCCAATGCTTGCATATACAACATAATTACCGGTTCATAACCATCCGATAAAATATTTGACTTGACGATTATATATCGCGTTTAATTACTACTCTTCGGAAGAAGGATGGCAAGCCCAGCCTTGAAGTCGAAGAGCCCGATACAAAACGCCACCAAAAATGGCTCCTAGGGTTGGGGCAACAAGATAGATCCACAACCGATCAAAATCCAATGTCAAAACTGCAGGTCCAAATGATCTGGCAGGGTTCATTGATCCTCCTGAAATAGGCCTACAAGAGCAAAAGATGCATGAAAATTAGTTGAAAATTGTGTAAAATACTGCTTATTTCACGTCCCAAAATACCAGTCATGTTTATTTTAAAAGAAGATAAAAAAATATGTTTGATGTCATTATGTGAGAGTAATTGATGTACCCTGTGAGTATCACTCCAAGTCCAATAGCTGTTCCCATCACAAATCCAGCCAATTTCCCCACCTGTATAAATTTTTTACATTCGCGTGTTAGAGGATTATGTAGAATGTAGAAAAAATACACGTGATAACTAGTGATACGACATGAGAATATGATACAAACCTAATTCAGAAACTGAAATAGTTTCAGTGGTGTGACGTTATTAAGGCAAGTTTGTTTTGGTAAGTCATGTCTACATGATACTCCCTCCGTCCCATAATTATTATCCAGTAAGAGTTTTCATTTTCAGTTCAAACTGTACTAAAAGTAAAATCTCTCAAACTGGACAACAATTTTTAGACCGAGAGAGTATGAAAAATTGGGATATAACAAAACACAATTTGATTGTCATCGATAACGATCACGTGAATGGCATTCTAATGCGAAATTCTCTCCACCATAGTTCATCTCTCTCAACATTTCCTCCATTTCCAGTCTTATGGGCCAACTATATACATAGTAAGAGCCAGAAAAATTATAAAGAAGATCCAAGCAAAGTAATTATCTTACTGGTTGTGTGTTACTTGAGAATGTTGCAGCTAAAAACACAAGGATTGATGTTGCCATGAATTCTACAAAGAAAGCTGCAGCCCATCCTTCTTGGGGTGGTTTTGTCATCAAAAGTTCCAGATTTATGCCATATATTATCCTTCCAGCAAAGCTTCCCAACACACAACCTCCAAATTGTGCTATAATATACACTAACACCTTCAACCATAACAAAATTTTGAAGGCCACATCAGTAACTATGATTAGCTAAAGCAAAAACAGTGATTTATAAGAAAAATCGTTACCGAAAACCAGGGAAATGAACCAACTACTGCAAATGCCATAGTGACTGCAGGGTTAACATGAGCTCCAGAGATTTCGCCAAACGCGAAAACGACAATGACAACACTTAGGCCTGCTGTTGCTGCATATTCCATTAGGCCTCCTTTTGTTCCCATTAACTCTAAGCTTGCCAGGATTGCAGATACGGAGAAAACAATTATAAAGCTCCCTATTGCTTCAGCTAAAGCCTGCATTTTTTTTTTCCCCAGATGGGCTAATCAGATGAATGAGGTAAAATTGATTTTTACCAAAAGTCAGAACAATGTATGGACTGATGTACTTAGGTTACCATTCTGAAAATCATGCGGTTAAATAATGGCTGCTTCATCATCTCATCCTCATTGCTGTTTGTGATATTATTAGCTTCCATTTCTCGATCATTCTTCGTCTCATAACTTTCCTGTGTCTCAATTGCAACATGTGCAGGTGGCTGATCTTCAAGTGAAGTTTTCATATTCAACTTATGAAGGCAAGCTCAAATGTTAAGGGATCAAGTTGACTTAGTTTTTAAAACTTTTTTGTACAAACAGGTGTTTTCTGGTTGGGAAGTTGTTTTTTGTTGAGATTCAGGTTCTGATTTGAGGTAGGATTAGTATGTAAAGAAGTGTTGTTGTACAACAGTACTTATACAACAGAAACAACTTATATCATGCTTCTTGAGTGTTTCCATAAACTTAGCGTTTAGGAAGCGAATGCGAGGTTAACCATAACAGATCAAACCTAAGTCTGCTTTTTTCTCTGTAACTCATATAAAGTTTGTTACCCAATTTGGTACATAATTTCTTTTTGTGAACCAACCTTCATTGTTCCACCAATCTCACTATCTTTCTCAGCTCATGCATAACAGGATATACTTATCATCGCTAGAAAAGCGAAAATGATGACTCACTTCTTAAGCTACCAAGAAGATAGAATTGGACACACAGAGAGAACTCTTCCATCTTCACAATTGGAAGGTACATATATATAGTTCCTTAATTCAAACTAGGCAGTAATGCCTTGAAACAAATACAAGAATTATGAGGGTTATGTTTACAGAAGCGAAACATCGACAACAACCCACAATGGCAATTTGTTCAGAAACACAGTATGACTTTGACATACAGTAAAGAGTCTGCTGACAGGAGAATTACTACAAACTTCCCTGTTATGCAGATGACATTTTGAGATTAAGATATAGTTGCAAAATTGAAGTCGCTGCAAGTGGTTCGAATAGAGAATAAGGTATAACTGAATCCAAGCCTTGACTTTGCAAGATCAAACAGCAAGAAATTATTCTCCATTTGGAATGATCCAATCACAATAGCCTGCTCAGCCATCAATCCGCCATTGAGAAACGCAAGGCAGGCTACATCTTCACCAATTAGCTTCATTGAGTTTGCACCAAATATAGTCCAGTTCTTCCCATTGGCTAACTGCAGATCAATGGGAGGAACATGCACCCCAACACGACTAAATCCTATAGCCGTGGCATTGTAGCAGAGGCTAAATGGTGTCACCGCAGGCACCCTAGGAAACCCCTGAGTAGCCTTCTTGAAACTTTTGATGAAGGACCTGTAAATGCCAGTTCTGAGTGTAGTGTAAGGGACAACTGTGCTGAGCTTCACCCCACCGCGGCCTAATCTGTCTACTGCTAGGGACTTTCTTGTCATGGGGATCGCCTTTCCATCAATCGAAATGGCCTGGACATCTATGTAATAATCTGGTGATTTGGGAACCTTCAGCAAGGGAGTGTAAGCTAGGATACTTGCTACATCAAAGCTTGTTGGAGGCATCAGGTTATACGGTCCATCCCCGAAGAAAAGCAGGCCAGGAGAAGCATCTGTATCAGGCAAACAAACTGCGAACTTCCTACTCAGGCCAAGATTCAGAGGAGTGAATTGATAAGACAGAGCTAAAGTAGCATTGGAAAGCCCAGCAATGCCAATGACTCCTTCAGGCAAGGACTGCAGGAGTTTCCGAGGAGCACATGACACATAAATTTGACTGAATGTTAATCTTCCATTGGGATTAGTACCACTAACTGAGGAAATGGAGAAATTTTTGTAGCTCAACTGAGCTGAGGCACAGGACTTGGTTATTGGATTTACAGGAGTGACAATACAAGTACATGGAACTTGTGAAAACTGTTCTTGTAAAACCGAAACACAAGATTGAGGCGGATAAGATTGCGCTTTCAGGCATTCGGGTGATCTACAGAGCACAGTTTTGTGTTGCAGTGGGCAAACATTCCATAGGAATGGAGAAGCAAGGTCAATTACATAGTGCTCATGAAGGTTAAGGGTGATGCTATAAAGAGAAGTATTAACATCTTTAGTTATGGATGCAACAAGAGTTTTTTGAGGTTGAGCTGCTGATATTCCATAAGATAAGAATGCTAAAAGAAGCAAAAAGAACTTTAAGGGATGCATGATCAGTTAAAGAAACTTGGATTGTTTCTCCTTAGAACTTCAATGGTGATCAGTGAGAATGCTGAGTTGAAAAATGAAAGCCACTCCACATTGTATACAACACCCTCCGTTCCATTTTAATAATCTACTAGTACATCGTACTGTTTTAGTTCAACAAAATAGACTATTTAAAATGGAACGAAAGGGAGTAACTAATGAATAAAGAGTTGACTTTTGATTATTCTTAGGATTATGACCCTTTTCCACACGCAATACGGCAGTAGAATTGAATGATGACAGTTCATACACAACTAAGATGTACCTTAAATTTGACTCCATTCACAATTAAATTAAAGAAAGCTATTTTTTTTTTAATTGCATATGAGTAACGACTAAATTACAGTCAAGATCAGAACACATTCCTTAGTAAAAACCTTCACTTTTTTATTAACCAAAGTTCAAAATTCATTCTTTTGCATACAATCATAGTTCAAAACTCAGAAGGGATAGATTGAAAGTAATCAAGCTCGAGAAGTGAAGTTGAAGTTGGCACATGTTGTTTGACTAAACAGGAGTGAAGAACTGAATCCAAGCCTTGAATTTGGAATATCAAACTGCAGTAAATTGTCTTCAATCTGATGGCCACCAATGACAATTGAGGTCATAGGACTAGCTCCTCCATCCACAATACCAAGGCAGATGACATCCTTGTTCACTTGCACCATTGAGTTTGCACCAAAGATTCTCCATAACACTCTTTGTGTCTGTAAAATAAGATCAATGGAAGGAACCGCGGGTCCAACTACCGTGCTGCCGATCCTTTTAGAGCTGTAACATGTACCAAAAGGCGCTACCGGGGGCACCTTAGGGACGTTAGCGAGCGCTTCAGCGAAAGCCTTTGATACTGCATTGTAGATTGAAGTTTGCATAACTGTGTAAGGCTTTCCAGTGCTGATTTTGGTTCCACCAAAGCCATTCTTGTCAATGGCCAACAGTTTCTTGTTGATTGGCACTGCTTTACCGCTGATATTGATAGCTTTTACTCCAATGAAGTACTCAGATGAAGGCTCATTTAAGTAAGGCACATATCCAGTTCCAACTTTGTTAATGAGCAATGGAGTATAAATGAGATTTTTGGAGATATCAATATTTGGCATCATGATATAAGGACCATCTCCAAGAATTACAACACCTCTAGAACTTGTGGAAGAGCTTAAACATATCGCGAATTTCCTTGGGAAGCCAAACACGCGAGCGAGTTGGGATGGCAGCGCGATATCATTCCTCCCCAAACCAGCAGTGCCTTTAACTCCACTGGCAAGACCTTCAGCTAGAAAAGATGGAACACAGGTGAAGATGAAGTTTGGCACCTTCAAAACTGGCCCTGGATTGACTCCATCTGTGGATTGGATGGATAACGCGTCGACAGCGATTTCACCACCACTGTACAAAGTATTGATGAAAGGATTTTCAGGGGTGTTGAAACAGGCATTCAGATTACAACCTGGCCTTGGAGGATTGTCGGTGCAGTTCTCGCAAATGTTAGGCTTAGCAATCTTGCATTCAGGCGATCCGCAGATAGCAGACCGATAAGTCGAGCTAACATAGCCTTGTTCACAATCTACCCACAAGGTTTGACCACCAAGATGAATGCTGAGTTTAACAGGAACAAAAGGGGTTCTCTGGTTAATCTGTGTTACATATTGCAAAGTGGAAGAGTCTTTGATTACTGGAAGTATAATTCCCTTAGGTTTAAAGGAACTTTGGCCATTGGACACACAGACAAAGAAAAGAAGGCAGAGAAAGTAGTATAACAAATTGCCATGATAAGAAGCCATGGAAGGTTGTGAATTGTAAGAGTTTGAATATGCATCATCTGCAACTGTGCCTACTTATAGAAAAAAATTCACTTTTTTTTTTTCGTACAGATGAAAAGGTTGACTTTGTACGGCGATCATTGTCAACATAAATTGTCAATTAAAAGTGGATATGAAATATGAATGAAGATCTTAACTGTAGTCAGAATGAAATGTCCAAACTCCGAAGGCAATAAAAATTTAAAATTTGTAAATCCCTGTGGTGATATACAATACGAATTGTCAGTTTTACATTGCCGGATAAAGGTTTAGTAGTTGTGACTCCAAAAATTATCTAACTTTACTGTTAGTTACCTACCTACTAACCCGGTTTGATAAAACTTAATTTGAGTCTATTTGATAAAAATCAAAATCTGAAAACTGAATAAAATGTCTGAAATCTCAAGTCTAAACACTGAAATTTAAAATATATTGACTTATAATTTTATCTAAAAAATGATTGATGTATATATGTATGAAACTATGATAATAATAAAAATAATAGTATTATTATAAAATTATGTAATAAAAATATTTAAATTTTATTATGTAATTATTTTTTTCAGTTAATAATAATATCATATCTTTATTATTGTCAAAAAAATATAACATCTTTATGATAAATATATATCTATAATGGACTTTATTCATATTTTATTTTTTATATTAAAAAAATAGTTATTAAATAAAAATAATTTAAATCAATTTAAATTTATAATTAAACACCAAGATTAATAAAAAAAAAACTCAAGATCAAACATCAAAAGTATAAATGTAAAATTAAATATATAGAAAAAAAATCAGTAATTCAGTTCAGACATAAGCATACTACTTATTTTTAGACTCAAATTTGTACTAGTATTTCAGACTCACTTAATTCATTAAGACATCATAATTTGAGTTATCAAACGCACTTAAAATTTAAGTTCTTAATCAATTAAGTTATTATGAGATTGTGATAAATCAATTAAATACTTAATCAATTAAGTTTAAGCGCTGAATTGGTTTATCAAACAGTACCTAAGTTGATGAGAATTAAGGGAGTGCACAAGTCAAAGTCCATTGAATTTGCTACTGTTTAATGGATGAGATGATGAGGAAAGTGGAAACTACGTAGCAACAGGAATTCCACAAGATAAATGAACAATCATTAAGATAACAAGGTTTGACAAATTGACATAAACCTACATCCAAACGCGCAAAACCATTATTGCTGATAAGGAAAATTGAAAGTCAGAAGTCAGAACAGGATGTTTGAATTTGGGTATAACATTAGAAAGGAGGAATAAAAACATTACTCTCACTCATCAGTTGGCCTAAAAAGCTCTACAGTGGCCAAAGTTTTCCTTTAGCATACCTAATAATTCTACAAAAATACAACTAAACTACAAATCAAGAATTTGCCTTCTGGGGAATTTTAAGCACATTGAAGTCAGAGCAACTTCTGTTTTCAACATTAGACAAAGAAGATGATGAAAATCCAAGCATGGAAGTTGCAAGATTGAACTCCAAAAGTTTGTCCTCCAATTGATAGCCTCCAAGTACAATTGAAGCCTTTGGGTTCAATCCTCCATCCAAGAATCCCAAGCACATAACTTTATCACTTACAAAAACCATTGAATCCCTTCCATGAATTCTCCACTTCACCATTTCACTTTGCAAAACAAGATCAACAACTGGCACATTTGGACCAACCCTTTTTGTTTCTAACCATTCTGAACCAAAACAGAACTCAAATGGTGCAACAGGGGACACCATGTTCATGTTCATAGCAATAGCAGAACTGACATAGGCCTCTGTAAATGCAGAGTACAGAGTGCTTTCCATTGTGCTATAGGGAACAGTAGTACTGATTTGTGTTGCTCTCACCAGTAAATCTTCCTTTATAGCCAATTTCTTTCCATTAATTCTGATGGATTTCACCTGAAAGTGGTAACCATTCGGCTTCTTACTTTCACTGACAACCAGGGGAGTGTACATCAGTGACTTTGCTACATCAGAATTAGGAGGTGAAAGATAAGTACTTTCCCCTATGACAACAACACCATTTGATGAAGACAGACACATAGAAAATTTCCTCTGAAAACCAAATGTTTCAGCAACCTGAGAAGGCAGAGAAATTCTTGAATTTCCAAGGCCTAACATACCTTTTACACCATTTCCTAAGCCTCTGAGAAGTAACGCAGGAGCAGATGACATCAGGAAGTGAGGAATTAAGGCCAAAGAACCAATCTTTATCCCATCATTCACATGTACAGACACCATATCTTCTGTCAATTCACCAAATTTCACCATTTTTGTGATGGGATTTTCCGCTTGAAGAGTACAACTTTCGTTGTCTGCGCAGCTACTAGACTTTGCCATTGAACACTGCAATGAGCAACAACTAAAGGGCTTCTTAGGTGAGGGTGAAGAAGAAGTAGAAGAACTCATCCAAGAAAATGAACCAGCCAGATCTACAACAAGTTTGGTTGGTACAAGTTCTTCATTTCCCATGAAGATTTTTGCCACATACTGATTTGTTGAGACATCTTTTCTCACGGGAAGAACTACAGAGTCGGGCAAAAAGGGTCCTTCTTGGGCATCAGAAATTGCAATGAAAGTGATTAGTACAGAGAAAAACAGTAATTGAGCAAAGCAAGCCATTGATAGAGCTTGAAGAAGGTAGAAGAAAGAGAGGAAGGAATCAAGAAAAGGGATCTAAATATTCCAAATGGTGCTGCTATTTTTATGGTTTTCAGCGGAGGATTGCCGCATATGATTTTTCCTTGGATTGGTCCAATCACACTTATCTCTCGGTCTACATTTTACTTTTGGCCTAAAAATGGAATAAAAAATGTGAAGAGGATAAGGCCTGAGGTTTTGCTGAGTAGATTTTTTGTACCTTTTTTTTCGCATTTCTGATTTTTCCCAAATGGCAGCAATATCTCATATGTATATTTGATATGATGTGACAATTATTGATAAGTCATAGCTGTTGATCAGCTGATTCATTATTCCTTATCAACATATGGCATCAAAAGTATTTTATGCCAGGCATATTCATCTGTCTTAAGAACACTAAAAACTATGGGTAGTAATAGTGGGAAAGAAGGAAAGTCCACTTTACTTATTATGAATCTCGTGTACCTAACGAAGCAATTGGCAAAAGTATTTCCCAGTCATTTGCGTGTTAGATTTTTATGTAACATATACGTAGTAATTTCTTCGTCCTAAAATTATTGTTAAATTTATATTTTTATTTTTAGTACAGGCTGTACAAAGACAATAATTTCAGACTGTACAAAAAATAAAAACCCAAACTGAATAATAATATCGGGACCGAAGGAGTATATCATTTAAAAATCTTATCGAAATGATTTAGGTAAATTTGCTCTTTTAAAAATCAGTTTTATTTAAATGAAAAAAAAACTGAACAATGCTTAAACTAAATATATGGAAAAGCCAACAAGGGGTTGCCCAAATGGTAAATGGGTATGACATCAACCTGGAGGTCTTAGGTGCAAACCCCACTAACAACACCTTGTGTGTTGAGTTGTGCAGGTTATTTTGCACCCGTCAGGAAGGTATTTTAAGTACCAGATCAAAGCGTGCGCGCGTGGAGTCTCTCCCTAGTAGTATTACCCCCTTTCCCATAGGCTTTACCCACATGTAATAGACTAGGTACTTGTAATTGTGTATAAAATATATATATATATACATCCTACTATATTAGAAACAAAAACCTCCCTTTCAAACACCTCATATGATTGCCACGTGGCATGTAGAAAGTACTAAATTGCCTTTTTGTCTAACCATAACTAAATTACTAAATTTCTCATTGCACTTTACGTGACACGTTTTTTTTTTTTCTTTATATTTCATTCAACTAGAGTGGTTTTTTAAATTGAATTGATCAATAGGTTTTTGTTACAAAGTGTCAACTTTGTTTTAAGCGTATACCCTTCGGATGAAGCTTATTACGAAACTAGTAAAAATCACCAAAACTAAGTATTGATTTGGCACGACCAATGGAGAACATCAATAAATCATCTTACTAATATTTAAATTTATTAGGATGCTTTTATATTTTATCTAACATTTACTTCAACATATTTATTCGATTAAGACTATTTATATTTAATAAGTAATACTTATAAAACATTTCTAAAACATACATGGCGAAATACAATTTTTTTTTTCTTTTTTGTGAAATACAAATATTTATATGATCACACTTATAAAACATTTCTAAATCCTTCAAACATTTCTAAAATATATCGCTACAAATACAAAATTTTATTTTTTTTTAAATATAAATATTTCTAAAATCTATAGATAGACTGAGCTAGGGTCGTGCATTGCGTGACCAGACATCACTAGTATATATATATATATATATATATATGGAAAGGGCTGGTCATCAGAATGATATATAGCCGAAACCTAAATATGAGTCCAACCCAACAAAACGCCCAAAATAAATCTAAGAAGTTTACAAAGCCCACTCCAAGCATAATAATCTAAAAAAATCGCGGGAAAGGAAACGAAGCAAAATTATTCCGGCGCCATTTTCCCTCTTTCGTCAACAGAGATTCATCATTCATCAGACTACTCTTGAATGGAGCCCAACGAAATTGAAGAAGAAGAATTTGGATTCTCCAGAAATTATTTCCTGTCCAAGGAAATTGGGAATTCCGGCAAAAAGTCTGCTCATAAGCTCTCCGATATTGACCTCGTCGACGAACAGGTAAAAATCTGGAATTCAAGCTTTTCTTTCTGTTCTTCCTTTCCATCTTTTGAACTATTTAGTGATTATGGAAAAAGGGTTGGAGTTTATTTAGTTATTGTTATCACTGGGAAATATGGCAGGAGCTCAGAGATGCGGTTGCCAAAATTGAGCAGAAGCATGAGAAAGAAATTGACGATTTGATTAAAAGCTATAAGTGCTTGTATCAAGAATGGGTTCTTGAATTAAGGTGATTTTTTAACTATTGAAGCACTGGGATTTTTTTGGGTTTATTGATGTGGTAAAAGTAAAATTCCCCAGCATTTGATTTTTGATTATGCGATGGTTAGGTGTGGTTTTGGACTTTTGATGTATGGGTTTGGGTCAAAGAGGACATTGCTTGAAGATTTTGCTTCCTCTGCACTTACTGAGTATTCTGTGATCGTCATCAATGGTTATCTCCAGTCCATAAACCTAAAGCAGGTATCTTTGTTTGATTTGATTTGATTATTTGTCGTTCGGGTTAAAGCATTGTGGATTCCTGATATGTAAATCATTAGGTTTTTTAATGAAATTTTTGCTGTGCTATTCTGCTTTGATATGTAAATCTGATTCGTGAACATTGAATGAATTGAGACTTTATTGTTAGTTTTTTTTATCTGAACAAGAAAAAAATTGTCATTTGGAAGTAGGGTCTAATGAGTAAATGCTAATTCATATATTACCAATTTGAACCTGGGATGCTAGTGTAAGTGGATGCCAGTATAAGTGGCTTTGTTCAATGCGTATACTAGGATGTTGAGTTGGTGGTTAGATCAACTGTAGTTTAAATGTTAAATGGAGCAGGCATTCCAGCCCGGGACTTTTTTGGTTTAAGGTTTTGTGGAAAGCAAATTGAACTTTCATCCTCTTTCTTTCATTATGCTACCGCTACTAGAAGATGAAAGTTTCTTTTTCTTGTCACATGATGATAATATGTTCTTAAACTTTGTAGGTTCTTATAACCTTAGCCGAGCTCATGTGGGATCTTGTTAAAACCCAAACGAACACTAGTTCTGGAACTTTGCGTAAACATCAGCAGCCATTCACTACTCAATCCATGGATGATTTGATAGCTTTTCTGAATACTTCACACGTAGAGGATGACGATTCTTTTGTATGTGTTGTTGTCCACAACATTGATGGACCTGGTTTGCGTGACCCTGAAACTCAGCAATATCTCTCAAGAATTGCTGCTTGTCCCAATATACGTATTGTTGCTTCTATTGACCACGTGAATGCGCTACTCTGTAAGAACTATTTTTATAGCGGATTTCACATCTTTTGAGCATTTGTTACTGTAACCCAAGGGACTTTTATGTTTCTTGAACACTTTTTGGCTATTTAGCTTATTGTAGTGATTCACATCTTTGAATATTTGTTATGCTAGTGTGGGATAAGAAGATGGTTCACACCCAGTTCAACTGGTATTGGCATCACGTCCCTACCTTTGCACCATACAAAGTGGAAACGACATTTATGCCTCTCATTCTTGCTCAGGGCAGTAGTTCGCAGAGTGTCAAGACAGCTTCAATCGTTCTGCAGAGCTTGACACCAAACGCTCAGAGTGTATTCAAAGTTCTTGCAGAACATCAACTTGCTCATCCTGATGAAGAAGGTACAAAGTCCTTCACCGTTCCTTGCCCTTTTCAACAAACTCATACAAAGTTCAATATAGTAGTGATCATTGTTACTCTTTGTCTGCAGGGATGCCAACTAATAACTTGTATGCTATCTGCCGAGAGCGATTCTTGGTGAGTAGCCAAGTCACGTTGAATTCTCATTTAACCGAATTTAAAGATCATGAGTTGGTCAAGACGAGACGAGATTCTGATGGCCAAGATTGCTTGTACATTCCTATCCCTAATGAAGCACTTCAAAAGATTATGCAAGAGCTTAGTCAATAGGGAAGAGATCCTGTTCAAGCTTCTCCAAAGTTTATGGTGTGGAATTTGGATACGACACCGGATGGCTGAAAAAGTCATTGAAATCCAAAATCTCCAGCCAAATATCAGGCCTCTGTGAACTCTTTATCTTAGTCTGATTACAGCATGAGCAACACCAACTTGACTGTCTAATCTATATCAATGCCATTCACTTTGTTTTGATCTATGTTAAACTGGGATGGGAAGAGATGAATAGATTGTTCAAGTGAATTCAGATCATATTAAGATTATGTTCCATCAGTCAACCATTTAAAGTAACTTGTTTCTTAGCAAAATTGATCATTCACTTGAACAAGCTGTAGTGAAGAAATGCCCAACTAATTCTCATTAATGTACATGAAATTCATATAGAAATGTTTTAGGTCAATTCGCTTTTGTAAACATCCATTTTTTTAATGAAAAAGTGAACTATGATTAAAGAAATACAATGACCAGATAATATTTATTAATTTAATCGAATAAGAAGCAAATTGAAGAAAGAACTAGTGGATTGCAACTTCCAAGAAATGGCCAAGGTTAGGTGGTTACAGACACTAAGTTTTTTTAAAAAAATTTAGTTTTTGTTGTTTTTTGATTTGTTGATCAGATCTGCTTCCTGGGGCTTTCTCCATAGCTACCATGAGAGCCAACCAGCTGCTTGAATATATAAAGCTTACCTTGAGGTTGACCATCAAAACATTTTTCTTCTGCATGATTATTAGCTGGTAAGTCCTTTGTATATCCCTTTTACTGTTTTGATTATGAGTCCATGGATATGTTATATGTCTGTCTTTTAGTTTTGATTTGACTTTTCTTTTCTTTTTCTTTTTTTTTTAATTTATTTAATGTTATGCCCCAAATAGGAGATCATTAGTTGCTTTATCATTTTGATTTGGAGAATATGATCTGAATTGGCAATATTGTACCATGAAAATTGATGAGAATCTGTATCCTTGTTAAGAATTCCACGTCAGTAAAATATGATACTTTTAGCCAATATTCAAGATTGTGAGTCACTCAAATCATTGTCAATTGGTTTTAAGTTGGGAGGCGAAGTTACACGTGGATCATGAGTTCATGACTAGCAACTGGTTCTTAGTATTAGGACTTTGAAAAGATTCAGTATTTTCTTGATATTTTGCCGGTGAGAATTAAGATACTGTTGTGTTAGTTACTAGGATTTTCTAGGATTTGGTGGTGAAAAGATTCAGTGTTAGTTCCTACATTGGTATAGTAGGATAAAGATTAAAGACTAAGTTGTTGTCATTTTAGCATCAATTGGTTTGGCTTATCAGCTGTTGCAGGATACTGAGATAGAAGCTAGCAGAGAGATTTTGGCAACTTTTTCTCTTAAAAAAAGAAAAAATAAACAAAAAAATAAAAAAACCACGCACAGAAGGTCGAGAATTCCTTTATTCAACAATGGAGGGAATGGTGGAAATCAACCATGATACCGCAAGTGTCATAGAGGACAATATACCATGCAAAATTGAAGAGGTAATGATAAATCTTGAGTTAGATATGCTGTATCAGTTAGTTTAAATACTTCTTTTACTTCTTCTGTTGTCCCAAACAAATAGGTCAATCATTTTGGGATGGAGGGATGAGGACCTTGTGATTGCATATAACCTCACCCTTCTCTGTCTGTTTATGTATCAGGGTCTCTACTTGGGTTCTGTTGCTGCTGCAGAAAACAAGGCTGCTTTAGTAAGCTTGAATGTCACACATATTTTGACAATTGCCTTTGCTGTGCCTGCTCGTTATCCAAATGACTTTGTCTACAAGATACTTGACAGTAAGATGCTTAATTTAGCAGCTTTTATCGAATGCAAAAACCTATACTGTTTTCGCCTTCCATTTATAATGATAGCTGTCTTACATTACGCCGGTTGGAGGCTTTGTATTATTCTTACATTGATATGTTTTGTTTCAACTGATGAAACTGCAGCAGTAATAGATGAAAAAGAGACAGATATTTCACAACATTTTGATGAATGCTTCGAGTTCATCAATGAAGGAAAGAAGAAAGGCGGTGTTTTGGTTCATTGCTTTATGGGTATTTCCCGGAGGTAATATGTTAATATTACATAACTTTACAAATACTATTTTGTAATTTTGGTGGCATGTTAGATGATAGAACCTAATGGGAGGAAAAAATTCTGGTAACAACTTGTTTTCATGACAAAGAAACCAAGCACAAAAAATTTGCACAATGACATTCCATTTTCAGCTGATGATGCCTCAGACTATCAGTTACCTTATCTGTAGTTGTTGATGGATATGCGAAAAAGATGCTGAAAATCTCAGAACTGACATGTGTGTTATATTGCAGTGCTACTGTAGTTATTGCTTATCTGATGAAGCAGCATGGTATGAGCTTATCTAAGGCCTTGAACCACGTCCAAAGCAAAAGGCCAGTGGCTTCTCCAAATGCCGGTTTCATGGCACAGCTGAGGAACTTGGAGAAAACTCTCAAAGGTTTCGAATTTCTTTCTCTTACTCTGTGTCCTGTCTTGCAATGGCTACAGAGTTTTGTTTCCTGTTTAACATTCAAGTTCCGTTTGGCTAGATGCTTTGATATAAGGTCAGTGAAGATATCTCTTTTGCATATTGCAGGGTCTCAGCCTAATGGAGGGGTGACATCCTATAATGAAGTGTGATCTTCTGACAAAATAATCAGGTGGAAAAAAAACACGACTTTGATTTTAAATCATGGAGTGACTTTGTGTTTGGCTTCATGTCATGTTCTTGGTTTCCATTATCACTTTGATGCTGAGATGCTCTAATGTAAAACTCCATTTCGCCATTGCTACTGCTATTGCTATTGCAGGTCTGAGCTGATGATGAGTTAAAGTCGTTTTAGGCTACAAGCGACGTGGCCACTTTGGTTTCTAAAATCAACTTGGAAACTACCTGCAAAAGTCCTGAATTAGAAAATGCAATTTATAAAAGTTCAACCGCAAGCAAAATAATAATTAATTAAATTTACGTCCCAAAAGTAATTGTCTTATTTCGTAGTATACCATTTCCTACAAAAATGGCTTCAAATTCTTGCTATGAACTTAACCAATTTGGCTTCCTCCAAAAAAGAAAAACTAAGGCTTTGTTTGTTTTGTTTTTTGGATGATTTTTTCATAATATTAAAATAATAAATATCCCATTCCACTATACTTTTTTACATTTTCAATATACTTTTTTACATTCCCAATACAAAAAACATCTAAAAACACACACTAAAAAAACATAACAAACATAGATTTGAGAAGATGATAATTACATATTGATACCATATTACCAACACTAGTTGTTAAACCCGCACGATGTGCGGGGTTTATTCATATATACTTATAAAAAAATATTTTAAATTTCAAATGTGGTAAATACAATAAAAAAAAATTGTTTGTAGCGATAAATATTATATGACCACAGATTACATCATCACTATAAATAAAAATATTACATCTATAAAATGACAGTAGATCACAGATTGCACAGGAAAAATGTATAATGCGATAAATATACATCTTATACAACTAAAATTAAATAAAACACCAAGTATAGATTAATTTATGCACAAATGACTCCTGAGACTAATCACTAAGTATAAGAATAAAATTGTATAATTTATGGAAAATTATGTTTACACTGATTTTTTTTTATAAGAATACAATTTATAATTTATGCATACGTACATTCTAGGGATATCTAGTGAGTGGCATGGGTTCAAGGCTTCAAGTGTGTCTTATACATCTTGAAATTTTTCATTAAAAATGCACAAACTTGATATTAGCAATGGAATAGAAAATCATTTATAATTAGGCTTTTTTTCTCTTATAACTTTGAATTTATTTTTCACACGTAAACACATTAATTTACACCAATTTAAAAATAAACAATAAATATAATAATTCAACAAAACTTGGATATACACATTTAATAGATAAGATTAATAATTTTGACGTGTTGAAGCCTTGATCAGTGCAAAATAATGATGTCAATTAATCAATTATTTTAAACTAATGATATATTATAACTATAAATGTAATACTTGAAAATAACAAAATCTCAACAATCTCCTTATCCCAGACTAATCCAAAGGTAATTTAAAAAATACTAAATTCTTCCCAGTAGTGTATTATTTTGTCTTCATCTTGATGATCTAAAACGTATTTCCTTTGTGAACTTTAAAGATTAAATCCGTTCCGGATGATGATCGACGTGATGTCTTCTTTTGTGGCTGGACCTCTTGATTGTGGATCAAAGCTACATAAAATAATTAGACAAATAATCACTATGTTTCAAAATAAATGCCATGTTTGAATCTTCACATTCAATACAATTTTCATGTGAATAATTATTTTGACACAGAAAATTATTATTATTTTTTTTTTTTGTAAAAGCATGAGAGAATAGTTAATAATATTGATTTTTGGGATTAATGTCTAATTTGCAAATTACAAATTATAACCTGAGACAGTTTTTTTTGTACTTTGGATGATAGATCAATGTTGTAGAGACACATGAATTATAGCATTAAGTTAAAAATTAGTTTGAAAAACTATTACAGAATAAGCATATTACAAACCCCAAATTTAAAAGTAAATTAAAACTAATTTGATAGTACCTTGTCTTATGTAAACTAATATAATCCGTTCTGCCATACTTCATGAGAATCAATATCTTCTGCTCTTCTATATATAACCCGTTCAAGATGCAAACATGAAGCTTCGCTATCAATCTCTAATTGACAAAATCAATAGGAGGTCTCCAACTTTTGCCATGAAAAAATTGCTTATACCATAGCAAAAGGTTTGAATGTATATAGTAAGTTGGATTGCATAGTTTCTTAGGGTTTAATGGAGCCTCAATAGCCTTGAGGTGTTGGGTGGATCAATATTTATACTGGTTCAAAGTTTAATAACAATAGTGATAACTTCCTAATTCAATTCCTTGATTTGGAGATTGATTTTATAATACTCATCCAATTAGCTTATCAATGACATATATTCTCAAAATTTTTCCAAATCTTATTTAGATGGTAGATGTGATACGTTGATGGTGATGACTACCAAGATGTTAATTGGATTATTGATGATGATTGATTTGGGAAGATATTTTTTTGGGGGAAATTGTTTTTGAATTGGCGGATTAAAAATAATAAAGTAAATTAATATTGATTGATTAGTCTCGTTCACACAAACTTAATATTGGGAATTATTTTAGTTGAAATATCAGAGATCACGTTAATATTTATTACTTTCTCTAAAAATTTGTACTGAATTAAATATTAAATTAAAAAAATTCCAGGGAAATGTAATATAGATAAAAATTGATTGGTTCTTATCATTGAAGTTGATTAGTTCTTACGAAATAGAGTAATATAGATTGTTCTCAAATTAATGTTGTTTTTTCAAATTTTAATCCTTTTTAAAAAACTTTCCTCTCACCGTTTATGAGTTTGGCCACAGAATGTTATTATTATACATTAATTGTGTAATGAAGTAACTATTACTTTTCTGGAAATTCAATGGAACTTTATTGCAATTGTTGTAAATATTTTTTATGCCCACCAATAAGAAAATGATACATAGGATTTTGTCCTATGTGTCAACGGGAGGAGAAATTTGATTCCCTCTCTCTGGTTTCTCTCTTAGTATAATACCATAGATTCGTGGTAGTCTTAGTCCAACCATTTCTTCTTTTCCCAAAACGAAGAAGCATTTCGCGGCACTTTTCAAACATCTAAATTTTCGCTCAAAACTCAATCCAAATCCAAACCGGAAACAAAATCAAAAACAAAATGTTGTCCGTTCAAGTATTGGCAAGAGAATGATTTCCTATCACAAAACACCACTAAACCACCACTTTGTGTGTGTGAAAGAATAGAAAGACATTTGGCAAGAGAGTACTGGGCCAAGAGCCCAACCAAAAAAGGTCAGGATAAAGAAAATAGAGGAAAGAACTAGTAGCAATAGCATGGCCTAAAAAGGCCCAGGGTTAGGTAAATGACAGCGCCAAAAAATTTAAAAAATTCTTTGATCAAAAACTCTTTCTTCTTCTTCTTCTTCTTCCCCAGAGTTTTCTAAGTGGAGAGGAAAAAAATAAAATAAAATAATAATTCTCTGCCATTCATCTCTCAAATTTGCTAACTACCCCGAGGTCCACGAGGGCCAATCAGCAGTCTGTACAAATTGAAGTTGACCATCAAAGCAGTTTCATTTAGCATGATACTTAGTTAGCTTTTTGGTAAGTCTTTTTCCACATCTAATTAATTATATCATTAGCCCTTTTCTGTTTTGACAATGAATTCCATGCATATGTTAATTGTCTGTCATTTTTGTTTTGATTTGGGGTTCATAATGTTGTTTTTTTATGAGTTCAGAAGAAACCCAATAGTTCCATTCATTTATTTGATCTGAATTGGTTGGGGTTGTGTAATTTGAATCACTTGATTGGATCGGGACTTTGCAAGATTGAATTTTGATCAAAATTTCGTA